ATATGCGTCCCACTAATATTACTTGTCATAGACTGAGGAAAGCGATGACTCAGTCATTAATTTTTTTTTTCTCGTTTAAGTAATGCTTATTTTCGATGAAGGAATATTTCTTTCACATACTCAAAAGAAAAATTTATTCTCTCTTGTTTAGAGTATCAAAGTTATTTTATATAGATTTATTTTATATAGAAAAAAATATAGGAATGGGAAAAAAGCGAATCCTGAATTTTTCTTTTAATTTAATATTCCTATGTGTTATTTTAATATTTTCTGTACTTGCTAGGATTCAGAATATATTTTGAGTAAATTTAATGCTTATGATGAACTTATCATAGATTGACGGATATATAAACTTGTTTGAAACAAGTAACATTGACTTGATTGCGGTTTGTATTTTTTTATATGTAGCAAACGTGTCAATGCATCATGAGTTATGTGACGTTGCCCTTTCGTACTGAGTTTCAAAACGGTTCGAAGATTTTTATGAATACACGTACGGAATGTAGCCGATGGTCTAGTGAGAGAACCTGTTTCTTTAAAAAATTCTCAAATATTAGCTTTTCCTACTGCACATCGCTGCGTTCTCGGAATTGTATCCATAAAAAGCTCAGACCGTCTTGAAACTCAGCTCTTGATCCGAAATGGAGAAAATCATTGATAGAACATTATTTCAACAATATATTTAATATCGCATAACACTCACTCTGACATGACTTTAACATTACATCGATATTGTGTTACGAATAATTTCGGTACATCGACGTTCTCAAAGGATCTTCACAGTTATCCTAAGAAATATGTTATTCCGTAATATTTTCGAAACATTTACAAAATGTGGATTGTGAGCGTATATGAGAGAATAAAAATGACAAGATGAAATCGACATACTTCAAGAAATTAATCTGTTTCTTTTGTTTACTGGGAATTTTCCCAGTAAACTCGCTGTCTCGAATTTTCTTCGTTTTCCCGGGACAGCTCAAGCCATTTCAAGAAAGGAACGACCCGCGGCCCAAACGTCCGACTTTTCGCCGTCACCGATGCCGATCAAAAAGCTATGATTCGAAGGGCTATTAACACGTCGCTTCCTCAGTCGCGGTCGGCGAGAGAACATCGGAGCCAGGGGCTCTCTCTTTGTTTCCCGCGCGGCCTCGACGGTCCTCAATTTAGTCCGTCTCCCGGCGCGCATTTATTCCGCCGGTTCTCCTCGCGGCGCCCTTTTTCCGCGCCCGTGAAGGACGCGCCTGGCCGCTTTGCCGCCCCTTGAATTAATCTCCTGCATACGTTAATCCTAATGAATTCCGAAACGCGCGCGCCAATCTCGGCTCGCTCCAGCCCTAGGAGGGCCTCTCGTTGGCCGCGCGCGCGACGACGCCGTCATTTAAAACGCCAACGACGCCCGCCGTTGATTTACGCGCGACGACTTATTAGAAGGCACGCGGGAGCGACGCTTTTATGCGACGCCACGCAGGCGTCGCGCGCGTGCCCGCCGAAAAAAGTCCTCGCCTCGCCGGAGAGAGAGCTCGCGGTGAAGGTGGGCTCACGCGAACAATCGGAATTAATTGATGCCTTAATTAATGCTATGCGACCGGTCGCGTTGGTCGCGAAGTCTGACGCGAAGTGACGACGATCTTGAAGCGTCGCGTACTCTCTGCCGCTTTTTCTTGTCTACGTTTCATACGAGAGGTGGCTTTCTCACAAGATCTGCCTCTCGTTTCTTCTCGGGTCGAGACATTCCCGAGTCGAAATGTTGATCCTACTTTGGACATTACATTCAACGCTGATTTAATACTCCGACGCCTATCTGTTTTTGTTGTATTTAACCCACAGCTTTGCCGGAAAGTCTTCTTAAGACCCCACAAATGGCGGATTGTGCGTTTTTTGCCATTTAGAAGCGCTGAGTAGGACTTTAGGGTCCATATCAATTAAATCCCCATGAATCCTTCCGAATGTACGGATGTTAAGCAGTTTAGGTCGAAAAAGGGGCCAAAATTTCGATTCGGATTTCTAAAATATCTTTTTCAACTCGTCGGGCCACGGACATCGAGGTAGAAGTAAAGACTGTCAGTTTCATGGGATTTAATATGTGCGAAGAGTTTCGCTGTTTAATAATCTCCTTCCGGTAAATCTTGTCTCACATTAGTATAGGTGATAATTGTAAAAATGCAGAAAAATATCTAGTATATTTCACTGTAAGTCTACACACACACACACATACACACAAATTATCGATAGATGCGTACTTTTATATTTTATTTTCCTCTCTCAAGATTTTGTTGATTATATTATTTTGAATATTTACACATTCACGAGTATTACCAATTGGTACCGTAAAATCGGATAACTAATTTTGTTCTTATTCTAACAAAAAAGTAACAACTGCAATATAGTTATTATTGCTAGCACTATATTACTAATACTTATTACAAAAATAATTCTCCCCCCAATTATAATTTTGTCACAATATGCGATTATAATTACAAATCACACACACGCTTTCTTCTCCGTCTAGCGATTTCCGGAATGTCCTGTTTGTATTTTAATTTTTATTCACGCCATTTAATATTTTTCGTTGAAATTATGTCATCCAAGATGTCGCTTTCCGCGAGAGATTGTACGAGAGAGAGAGAGAGAGAGAGAGAGAGAGAGAGAGAGAGAGAGAGAGAGAGAGAGAGAGAGAGAGAGAGACACCCGTCACCGTCGCGGGTCGCGACTCGCACGTAGCTTTTCTTACCCTCGCTCGCGTACTCGACGATGCTGTGCGTCGCTGAATTCACCCCGGATGATTTCGCGGTGGTAGGTATACAGATAGGCAGGCAGGCAGGCAGGCAGGCAGGCAGGGCAGGTAGGCAGAGATAGATAGCGTGAAACGTACACACGCTTATGCGGCAGCATGTCGGCAGGTGCTTAAAAGGGGTAAGTGGTAGTGCGATGAATAGACTAACGGTATGCTACCGGAGAGAAATGGAAGAAACGGGGGGTTGGCTCGGTTGCAAGTGGCGCGAGGGATGCGGAGGGACGGTATATGGCGCTCGGGATGGTTGCATGCATCATGCATATTTACGCTCGCAAACTACTTCTAGCTTCGAGCCGGCGAATGGGGCACGAGAGGCCCCGCGGGAGGGAAAGACAGATCCCCGCGAACTGCCAAGGACGTATTTATGCAAACGCTGATGCGCAGCCCGCGTTATATTCCGGGATTCTCGCAGTAAGCGAATTGATTTTATCTCTCTCGATGCGGCTTACGTTTTTACGCTTGACGCTGTCTCTTTCTCCCTCTCTCTCTCTCTCTCTCTCTCTCTCTCTCTCTCTCTCTCTCTCTCTCTCTCTCTCTCTCTCTCTCTCTCTCTCTCTCTCTTTCTCTCTCCCTTTCTCTCTCGTTATATCGTAGACGACGATTTACGTCACGACTAAATAAATAAAAAGCTGAACGAATAACCGGATAATATAATAAAACTAAAATCAAGGATAATAATAAAATAATTATAGCTCGGGATGATAAACTAAAAGTAATCCGCATACAATTTTCTCGGGATTTTTTCAAGCGCAGCATAAATCCCAATTAGAAAATTCGCAAATCTGTCGCAAAATTGGTTATTCGTTCGCGAGAACAATTTTTGGGGATCCCAGATTTATCCATAGATGAACTAAAAATCTTATTTTTAACAACATAGATTTTCTCTGTTTAACGTTTTTTTTCAGCCAATAACACGTCGGTGCTTTTTACGGTGTCAAACAGGGAATCCCATTCTTGTACCATCTGTTGTACTCAACAGAGCAAAAGATCGCAAGAAATAAATAAAATTCTACTGAGCAAACAAAAAAGAACGTTCTAAGTGAACATTCTACAGCTTTAGAGAACTCGAATTGGATCTCAATTAGATTTCACGAAATTTTCTACACGGGTAAGTGAATAATCGACGACACGACTTCACAGATCATTAGAAAAAAAGAAAAAAAGAAAATGAAAAGGCATTATTCTACCGGAATCGATTTACATCCTCACGATCAGCAGCTCGACGAGAGAACAGACACTCGAAAGTACGCGCGATAACGAAAATGCTCGTTGGACTCGCATCCTCCGTTGAATCCGCGCAACAGGAGTTGCATAACAATCGTAACGAAGCCGTGGACGAGCGAGCGACGGGGCGACCGAGACAACAGCGATAACAGCGGTAACTCGGCAAGCGTCCCGCTTTTCAACTCACTGGAATCATAGAAAGCAGCTGTGTATATCGTGCGCCCGCAGAAAAGTTTCACATTCAATTTGTTCCTCTCGTTTCGCCGTAATCGCTCGTCAATGACTTCCTCCCCCGTCTGCATCTCTGCCTCTCCTCCGCGCGTCCCCAGCATCCTCGAAGTTTCTTCTTCAGCCTCGACCGCCCCCGTCGCCCTCCCCTAGCCCCTTTCCCCCCACGGCCCCTCTGGTCGCCCATCTTCAGCTTTCCAGTGCAACCGCCGCAACCCTCGGCAACGCAACCCCCTTGCGCCCGGCGGGGTCCACTTAAATCGAAGCGTGCACCGGTACACCGGATTGCCGCGGCACGAGGGGGATGTGCCGCGGAATCACCCCCCTTGCGCACAGGGTGCTGTCGTCGGACCAATGGCGACGTCGGAAACTGGTCTCCTCGCCACCGCGTTCCAGCTTCCGCGCACCAATCGCCGGGGACGCTCGACGCCGAGACCCGCGTCGGGGTGAGCATGGCGCGGCCACCCCCAAAATGGCTGCGAAATCGCGCGGGCATTAGGCAGCCCGTTCGAAATAAACGGGCGGATTAATTCGCGAGGGGGTCGCGGCGCGGCACTGCACGGAGGGGTAAGCGAGCGCGCACTACCCCCCTACATTCGCGTGCGTGCTAACTTCTTGGCCGTTCCCCCCTTTCCCCGTGTCTCCACCCCCGCGTGCGTTCGCCTCGCGAGCGTTCGTCGTCGGCGGCAGCGGCGGTGGCGGCGGCGACGACGACGACGACGACAACGACGACGGCGAGGACGACTACAACGATAACGACGACGACGACGACGACGACGGTGGTGGCAGCGAGGACGTCGGCCGAGGACGAAGGCGAGAGGACGGTACCGGGACTCGAGGACGTTTCCGGTCACCCGCGCCATCGGCTGCCATCGGCGACGCAGAGCGACGCGGAGCGTCCGCACGGTAGCATGACAGTCGGGTCTTCCAGTGCAAGTGCATCGACACAGTTGGTACTGCACCGCCGCGGCTGATTGTTGTTACTGTTGTTGGTTGTTACTGTTCTTGTTGTTGCTGCTGTTGTTGTTCGTGCGCCGCTGCAGCGCGGCTGCTAGCTCGATCGGCAGTCACGAGTGTCGTGACTATAGCGCCGTTCCACCCCGTGGACAATGATGCAAGAGCACAAGTCCTTTCTCATCAGGGACCTCCTGGGGGACGTGTTGGCCGACCGGGTGCAAGGTATCTTCAAACACCATGCGAAACAAGTGCGTGACGTTTCAGCGCAGGGGCTGACCGCGTGGCCGACGGTCAGCGACGTCAGCGGAATCGCGCTTCCTGCACAGAGGAAAATGTCATTCTGCCGATGAGAAAGGCGACTTTTGTATAGTCAGGAAAATTAATTTGTTCGCTTTTCCAGCGATTGCCTTCAGCGAACAATATTTTCTCGCGACAGTAATCTCAGGATGTAGTCATCTAGAATTTTAGAAAAAATTCATCATCATTAAATAGAGAATTTACATTCTTTTCGAAAATGTTATAAAACTTATCTGTGCACAGATGGCAAAGTTTTGTTTCAATTTAATATTTTTTAGTTCGTTTTAGTATTTGTGATAGGAATATTGAGGACTTAGGTTTATTTTATGAACTTAAAGTGTACTTGGGGTAAATCTGGTGATTATGATGAATTTGCGGATATAATTTATGAAGCACTTAATGATATAAATTTTATGAAACAAGTAACATATTTAGTTGAATATAGTGTGAAATATATTGTGAAATTTATAGCAGAATACACATTTTTCTGTGTGTGATTTTAGTCAGCCGAACGATCTAGGCAACACGATTTTTGCGGATTTCAACGGATTCCTTCAAATTAATTAAATGAGAAATTCGCAATTACATAAAGGACGCAGATCAGTAGATGAACATTGTCAAGCAAAATTGCCGCGAGAATTTTTCAGCTTTGCCCATCGATTGCGCAGTTCCCTCCCGCGAAAACGGGATTTCGTATTTATTTTTTTTTCTTTGTTTTTTCACCACACGAACATTTTTGGGCGCGTGGCAGGTCGACGGCGTTCTCGTTAGGAAGTGGACCCCGTGGTGCGCTCTTATTATTTAAATCGCCATCATACATAGGGCCACCAGGGGTGACCCCTCCGCAATCCCCTCGGAGGTGGTGCCCCATTAGGGACGGTTCTACAGATGGTTCGAGGTGCCGAAAGATTCGTTAGAGCTCGTTAGGGCCGTGGATTTTCATCGAAGATTATTACCTCCCGCCGCGCCGTCGCGACTTTATTGGCTGATCGTGAGGGGGTACAATGGCTCACACTAATTGAGATGGTTTGCTCTAACCGAGATCGATCACAGTCGCTCGAGTCGTTGGCTAGTTTATTGTTTCGGTAATGGATTTTGCCCGACCGGCTGATCGCACTCGCTTATTAGATCAGTCGGCGAATAGCTGTGATTGTTAGCATAAAAGAGAAATGTATTTTGGGATCTGCTTTCGTATATTCTTAAGTCGTGCCCAATTCTCCCTGTTATAGGGAACCAAGTTAATAATAACCAAGTTAATAATAAACACAAAAGTAATAGTATTAGAGCAATAATAAGTAACATTTTTCGTACAAGCAATAATAAGTAACATTTTTCGTACAACGGATTTTGTTTTTCACAAAATAATGTGGAAGTTTACAGCGATATCTTGTAATGTAAGCTAATAAAAATTTAAATGAAATTTTTTTCGTTTAAATTTATTAGCGTTCGTAGTGGCATTACTTTATTTCATATATTTTTATTAATTACTTTGATCAAAGAACAATTTTGGAGCAAAGAAATCTCTTTTTTTTCGTGGTATTCAATATCTTAATATTTTTATTTTATACATCGATATATGCACGATTGAACTTAATCCTTTGAGCGCCGGGTTTTTATTTTGGAAAATTAGCATTTTATTTTATTAGAAGAATATCAGATAAATGAAAATGATACTTTAAAAGTTTAATTTGGAAAGTTGTTTTAACAGAAGAAAAATTACAAAATTTATTATAGTAAATAAAAAAGAAATAATAAGAAAATGAATGATTGTTTCTCAAAGTAAGTGAATTGTCATCAAATAACTTCGAAAACATTCTATATAATATTATAATATGACATACTTGAAGAGAATTCGATCAAGGGGTATCTTTATTTTTAAAGATATGTGCCGTACTTTTTCAAGAATAAAGAGAGATTAATCATGTATCAGTACTTGCATCACGTACATAACGTGCATAACAAATAAAAAGGAAAACAATTTACCGAGATTCTGACGACGGTGAGACATCGAAAATACATTAAACGTCAGAGAAGTCATTGTCCCATTACCGCAGAAGACTCGGAAGACGACTCGGCCGTACACTCGGATTCCGAGGACACCATTGATCCTGGCAGTAGTCCTTGCACGCGTCTAGGAAGCCCCCCCCCGGCGCTTTCGCCGTCGCCCAGTCCTGCGACCACGTCCGGAAAGTCCTGCGGTGTGAGCAGCAGCGCACCGCCAACCGGCAGAAAACCGCGAAGACGACGTACCGCCTTCACTCATGCCCAACTGGCTTACCTCGAGAGGAAATTTCGTTGCCAGAAATATCTGAGCGTGGCAGATCGCAGCGACGTCGCCGACGCTTTGTCGCTCTCGGAGACCCAGGTGAAGACTTGGTACCAAAACAGAAGGTAAATGAGAGATTTCACTGACTTTCTGAGACGGCGTAAAGGTGACGATTTGTCTTTGGGATTCGAATTCTTATCAGTTCTTCTTCTCAACCGAGAGAAGTTTATTTAATGTCATTTATTCTCAAGATAGAAATTCATTCACTTCACGACAATACCACTTTCATCACTTTCGGTATTTAACCGGCGCGACAAAATATTTACAATAAAAGTTATTTATTATTTAATATATGTTATATTCTGAATATATTATTAATGAATAGGAAGTTGGTTTATCGTTGATCAGAACAAAACGCGATGTCGGGGTAAATTCGAAATAGGACTTTATAAATATTAACGCTACAACTATTAAAGATGAGAAATTGCTTGAATTTTTATATAACGATGCATTGTATTTTTAACAAACCTACAAATGAAAGTAAAAGAAAATTCATTTAACATAATTTGTAGCATGAATAAGTCCTACTGAGGCAAATAGAACCGTTATCCACAAACAGTGACGGACCCTTATGGAATCTTACGGATCTCCCAGATATGAATGGTAGGGCGCTCAATGTGTCAATATGAATAAAACATGTTATGAAGAAAATCGTAAACGCGATCTCTCGCAATAGCTTGGATAAGCTTCTTTTTTATTTATCCCCTTACACGCTAGATTAAAAAGAAAATTGTTGGAATTGCCGAGAGAATTTACTCGAATCTATAATATTATATCCTATAATAAATATTTGACTATATAATGAATGCATCGTAGGCTGAGTGATACCTGCACACACAGGAAGTCGAGTAATATCCTCAAGTGTGTTGATACTTGGCTAACAATGTTCAATATTGATCGACGAAAATTTTGATTGACTGAACTGACCAGAATCAACGTCGAATAAATCGTGATTACTTTGATTTCATGGACTATATACACCAATTAACAATTAATTTCACCAATCGATTAAATTACTCGACTAAATTAGTCAGCTCAAATGTTTCAATCGATCGATACCTGTGACAACAGATAGAATATATCCGAGAGAATATACCCAGATTATACTGATTATACCGATGGATAAAGCGCAACACCACATTACGCACGCTAGTGCAGCTAGTGTGTCACGGTTCCTCAAAGGGCGACCGCTTAAAGAGTTAACTGCTTCGAAAATCCTAACAGTGGATACATGATGGCGGAACGGTGAATTTGCAGGACGAAATGGAAACGGCAGAACCAACTGCGACTGGAACAGCTGCGCCATCAGGCCACCGTCGAGAAGGAGCTCCTGGTGCACGGTCTTCACCACGGCAGTATAGATGCTTATTGTTCGCCCTACAACGCACAAACGCAGACCAGTCATCCTCCGCCGCCGCCGCCGCCGCCAGCACCATCCACCGCCTCGACGGCGGCGTTTCTCTCCACGGCGGCCGCGCTCTTCCGAAATGTCACCTATGTACACGGCTGCCAGCTTTAACCCGCAGGATCTCGAGGATCTCGAGACGACTTCTGGAACAGCGCAACGGAAGAGAGACTCGGACGGACCATTCGTGTCGTGAGTGTCAGTATACCTTGAAGTGTCGCCGCGGAGTTATGTATTTCCGGTCATTTCGGAACCCGCAAAATCTCATTAGTGAATTAGTTTGAGGGATTTTTCTCTTCGCGATCGACAGAATTGTTTTGTGTAATGAGTGTCGCGTAATGAGTAACACGGAAAGAATGTTACAGCCCTTCTCCCTTCCCGAGGTTCTTTTCAAAATACTTTATCGTGTTTTCTGATAGCGTGGGAATAATTATCGCAGGATAATAAATTAACCCCTCGCGTCTCTCCCAGATCTTGCTTTGCTTTCGCGGATCAAATGTGCACGCTGGTGGTGGCTCAAATCTGATTTTATTCTATTGTTTCATAGTAACGGGGAAAATCTCTAAAAAATTCTGCGGGATTGTGCAAAGTTCTGCGAAGTGCATTTAATAGTTTGGCAAACTTGCTTTTTAAATATCCTTTCAAACGCCAGATTTTTCCCGAATTCTTTTCCTGCATCCATATGGCGCTTCTAACCCGTCCATCGTCGCAATATGCAAGAAGGAAAGTCGCGATACTTTTATCTCGATAAATTTCAGAACGTATTCAATATTCAATAGGAAAATTATCTTTCAAAAATTATATTCAAAAATATTATTAGGAAGCTACTTTTTCTATCGGATGCTGAATGCAATTTGAAATTCATCCAATTGCAATGTGCACTTTCGTTCTTTCTAAATGTAGACTTGAGTAGATGTGCATATGTTCTACAAACCCGCCAGGTAAATATCAACGCAAGGGGTTAAAGCGGATTATCACACGGAAGAAAACAATTTTATTAGTGTAACAAAATTTCCCGTTGCCTGGAAGGAACAAGGACCAAATGAAAATCTCGGTTGTAGGGACAGAAAGATTTTCTTACGACGAGTCTTTGATCAGCTCGAAGGATGTCGATCATTTCGATTGAATTTCAATACAACTGAATGTTCGGACGAGTTTTTTTGCTCGTGACAATAGAGATATTTCATCTTTCTCGTCACCGAACTCTCTCTCTCTCGTCTGGTCCCTGTTCAGTTACACGAACTGAGATCTCTCCTGTGCACTGAAAGTTATCTTGCTAAGGATTTGTATATTTTTCAACAATATACACTTTGATTCCCGAAATATAAATAACACGTACGAAATGGAGAGATAATAAATTAAAGCGGAATGCCGACACATGTTTCTCGGTTTGCTGGATTCCGCGGTAATTTCTGTCCAATTTTTTCTCTCCGCGTAACGAACAACGCGCAAGAACTGTCCCTGTGTGCACACTGGACTTTCCGTTCCCGTTACTCAAGTGGTTGTATCTTAGAAACGCGCGTTACGTTTAAAATTTGTGTATTGCTCGTACATTTGAAAGTGATCCGGGACGATTGAAATTATAACCGATACCACATCGATCATACTTCCACGCGTCGTTGAATTCCACGATGCCGAAGACGCTGTAGACATTTTCTCCTGCGCACTGTGCTCGGAAAGTTCTAAGTCGAAGATCGTTTCTCTCAACGTTTTCTCTTGGTATGTGAGGCATTAATCGAGAGAGGAGATTCGATAAACATGTAAATATGTAATTACGAAGCCAAGTCGGTCGGTCGTGGCCGATTGTCTTTCGAGAGCTGAACGACGAAAGCTTTGTGGAAACTCGCATCTTTAATTTACAGGCGATTGCACCACCTACAATCCACGTCATCGCAATGTACAGGAATAAAGATTGCAATTAAGGCTCCCGTGTATTCGAATGTTTATCTATTTGGATATACGAAGTCGATTCCGATTCGAAAACGCATAAAATTGTATTATTTGGATAATTCGGATCCGTAATCGAATTTGGACCCGAATTTGGATTCAAAATAAATAAATAGAAAAAGCAAATACAAAAAATAAATTTTCAGTATTGAATAAAGAAACGAATCAGATTAAATATAAAAAATTGACAAATTTGACGACAAAATTGTCGGAAATAATTATTCAAATACATAAATACGTTAATATATTCACGTTAAACTGTAACAGTTGAAAAATATTGGTTTATGAATTGTCAAATTTTTGGAAAGGGAAATTGTTGCGAACGTTTGTTTGCCGATTCCGCTGTGAAATAGATCCAAGTAGATTCGAATTCATATAAATATTGAAGTCCTAATTGCAATACTTTTACCGTGATAAATTTCAGAACGCAGCCAAAGTATTCAACAGGAAAATTTATCTTTCGAGAAATCAACAGGAAAACGACTTTTCTTCATCGAATACTAGAAGCGTTCTGAAATTCATCGAGGGAAAAGTGCCGCGACCTCTCTGTCCTTCATTGACCGTATGACCATGTAAGCTTCATTCGCGTCTCATCATGCAGACGTAAAGTTGCCGAGTCCCGTTCGAGAAAATAAGCGAAAAACGGAGGTCAGCAAGCTTTTTTTGTAACAACAGAAAGAAATCGTGCTGCGACTTCGTAATATAAATCGACTATTCGACACTAGAAGCACGCGCCCGATAGACGACGAGCGAATTGTGCGACTTAGCGATTGAACAGATTGAACTCTAGTAGCTACTTCAGTAATCTTAGATTGACTATTAATAATAATAATAACAACAGCAAGTACCCGCATGTGCGACGCGCTCGAGCACGCGTAAATGAGCGCATCCGAACATTACGCGCTCCTCCCTCCTTCCCCCCGCGCAAACTCTCGTTCTCCTCGATTCAGTTGGCTGTCGGTGTTCGCCGTCAACGATCCGTCGAGCATCTTTTATGAAATATAGAAGAGGTTATTGTAGATAAATAGATTATTATCGATACAGAGACACACAGGCACGAATGTATGATATTTCACCCGATTCACGCTCCTTTCCTGCCGCGCTTTCGCGTCGATTGAATCGATTGAAGTCGATCCGGACGATCTCGTGAGCGCAAAGAGATAGAAAGAGAGAGAGAGAGAGAGAGAGAGAGAGAGAGAGGAGAAAGAGAGAGGGGGAGGAGAGATAGTTATCTCTCGTTGTTATTTTACATCTTTTCTCGATATACTTTTTGTAATTGGGAAGTGGAGCGCACACGTGGCGATAGGCACGTGGCCAAGCACGAGTAATTGTTTGAAACCGATACAAGTCGAGTGGCGGCGGCGGCGGCGGCGACGACGACGATCCTCGCTGCGGGCTGGAATTGGCGGACGTGGCGGATCTAATTGCACGGAAATGATGAGAGAATGCGTGGCAACTGTCGCGGCGATTATCGCGATGATTTCTGCCGCAGTTGTGGCTGCTCGCGCTAATTGGGTCGAGAAAGAGAGAGGAAGAGAGTGTGTGTACGATTGAATGATTTATTCGCCGGATGACTGTGCATACGGTTGTATCTCGTTTCGAGGTGATTTATATAGAAAAGATCACACGTCTCGGATTTCTTTGATTTCCATACATGTTATAGAAGGAGGAGTTCTAATTAATCCTTATACTTTGCGACTAAATGTGCCGGTCGCTTGTAGAATGAGGGAGTCGCATATCACTTCAAAGTCTCGCGATTTGACGTTGAATTATATTGAAAATGAGCTCTTCTTCGCTTCATCCTCCAAACATATCATATGCTATTTTCTTTCTTTACTTACACTTTTCTTCATTTGCGCTGGCCTCTCCAGGATTTCAGCTCACAAACGACGTGTGAAATATTTGAATCTTTTTTCTTTTAAACTGACGAGTCTGGATCTTTCAAATTGACGAGAGTCCATCATATACTAATAATCATATACTAATCAATATATTAAAACAACAGACTATGAAACAATTAAAACATACTTCTGTGCAAAGTTTGAACTTGAGCAACTTATTATTAAAATATTTGTTTATAAATCTCGCTACCTGCATCAGAATTTTATAACATGAACTTGAAATCAAAGAAACCCGAGAGAATTTGCCAATTTTCTTCGATTACTTTTCGATCGATTAATAATCTCTCTAATTGATTAATAATTAAAAATTCAGGTTTTTCGAAATATAGTTGAGTGCAGAATGGTGAAAGATTTTATCTCGGTATGATAAGTTCTTTCCGCATACGAGCAGACGTGCGTGACGCAGTCGGGTTAGACATTCCGCGTAATTATCGTAATTATCTTTGGCACATTAAATGTCGCGTTGCGTTACTCACGAACGAATGACGCTGACAGTTCGAGCTCGGTGCCAAGTCTTGCATAATATATATATGTGTTATGTCAGAGGGTCCAACGTATTATAAATGATAAAATAATTAACACAGAACGACATTTAGAGCTGAAAATGACGACGATTGATGGAAAAGGTCGCATGGCCCCGGAGAAAACCCTAGTGGAATCATGTGACGCGTTGACATGAAAAATAGCGTCATTTATAAGTGATATTACATAAAAGAAGGTAATGGTCTTTCTCTTTCGCACGAGGGCTCGCGGAAATCATCTCTCACGATTTCGTCGCCGCTCTATTTTGTTCCTTCCCTTCGGCTCTTCCCCCCCCCCCGGCACGACCGGAGGGAGGAGGAAACGAGAAAATGGGGAAGATGCTTCCAAGTGTATGCAGAGTGAAATAAACCTCGGCTCTCTCTCTCTCTCTCTCTCTCTCTCTCTCTCTCTCTCTCTCTCCTCGATTCATCCCTTCTTCTCTCCCTCCCTTCACATGCCCGGATATGTAAGAAGGACGACTTCGCATCCCCGAACGTGAAATCGCGTGAACGAAGGAAAAAGTCTTACGCCTCCCCCCTCCTTCCTTCCCTCCCGTTCTGCCCTTGCCTCGCGGTCTTTCGTCATTCACGTTCAACGTGCCGTGCCTCTTTTTCTCCCCCGAAAGAAGAAGAAACGGGTATGCCTCACGCATAATTACTTTGGCATAATGAACCGCGCGCCGGCAGCGTCCTTCCTCTTGGACAACCGGTGAGTCTCGTGAGACTCGCATTTAATAACTCTCTCGTTACCTGATATTATGGCAGAAAGTAGAATTCAACTTTCGTGTAAGCGCGTGCGGAGATAAGGGGCTGCGAAATCTGACAAATCTTGCGGTTATTTCGATCGCGACCACGTGTTAATTTTTACTGAAAATTTCTACGAAATCAAAATCTCACTTCAATTAATTCGCTTTATTCAATTAATTCAGTCACTTTTTTTAATCCTTTGCAGTCCTACACCGATGTAGTCCTCCTATCTGCAGACATCGTCTTTCGTTCCGGTCGAATTTATAAATCACTCTTTTACTCGCATTTATAATATACTTAGCATAGATGTATCATTGTAAATGTGTCGTTACATTAATTGAAAAGTGAAATAATGAGGTGAAAATAAAATGAAGAAATCTAAACGATATCCTCGCGAAGTAAACGCACGTAATTACTACGAATCGATTGAGAAGAAAAAGTGATTGAGAGAGAAAGAGAGAGAGAGAGAGAGAGAGAGAGAGAGAGAGACAGAGAACAAATAAAATTGGGAAAGAAAGACAAAAAAAATTGACGAATTAACCTTTTGCGATTTGAATTCGCAAAGGATTCGTTAGTTTGATCATCACTTTTTATATCCATCAATAATTCTAGTTTCATTAATCGTATCATTAAATCGAGTCGCTTCAATTATATATAATTTATTATCATGTATAATTCTTGTTGTTATGTATAATTTATATATAATTGTATAATTCTATATAATTGTGTTTGACATATTTGCAAATGCGAAAATTATCGCCACAGACGAATTTGCATTGCGTTCTTTGCAAACAATTGCAGATCGTCCACGATTTAACGCGCCCACATACCGATCTTCGCTCTCTCTCTCTCTCTCTCTCTCTCTCTCTCTCTCTCTCTCTCCCCCCCCTCTCTCTCTCTCTTTCTCTCTCTCTCTCTCTTCTCTTTGGCTCGATTATTTCGCGTTCGATATGCGATTATCTCTGCGGAGAAGCGAGGAGAGGAGAGCGAACCACAGTCGGGGATTCCGAGCGGGATACGTGAGACAAGTGGCGTCGCATGCGTCCCGTGCCACGTGCGCATTGTGCCACGACGAATAATCGCACACGCGTGTGCGTACGTGCGTAAGAGCGGTGTTGGCACTTGGGCACGCGCTTCTTCGGTTCCCTCTTCGGGGTTTTCGGGGCCTCCTTCGGTGTCTCTCCGTTGTGCGCGGCATCGTTAAACACTTGACGGGAGAGCAGCTCCTGCGTGCGCTTAGGAAAAATTCTTCGGTCCTTTTTTTCACACGAGCCGACCCGAGGAGCGGCCACTCTCTCTCTCTCTCTCTCTCTCTCTCTCTCTCTCTCTGCGCGTTTGCGAGCAAAAAATTGCACCCGCCGATGACAACCTGTCTGCGGACCTTTTGATCCTTTACACCGTGCACGAGAATGGGATGCTAATATTCAATAGTCAATTTTGTCAATTCTTTTTGGCAATTTTTGTCAATTTTTTTGTGTCAGTCATGAGTATGACAATTAAAAAAGAGCAGCTTGGTTCCGATTTTCACAACATCGAAACAAACAATCGAAAGAGAATTTCTTCATAATCACTAAAAATTATTCTCTTACTAGTAGGCGGTAGCCCTAAATAAAAACTGTCAATGAGACATGTGATTGAATTTGCTGAGAAAAAATTCAAGAAAATGGAAACCTATGGAATTCTAATCTTTCCTGTTACAACTTTATTTTCTCGTTGAAAGCGGTCTAATAATGTAATTCTTGAGAGAAATTTTAGTTCCTCTGACGGTATGAGATATAAAAATAAAGAATTAAAAATTAAAAATATCTTGCGTTGTTTTATTTATTCATATCTCATACTATTAATGCACAAAACCTCAGATACAGTTTATGCTTCTTTTCTAAGGTAGAGCTAAACAATTTTTTTATCGTCATTTTCTGTCCCAATACAAACATGGATGGGGAAAACTAAAATTCAGGGAGGATAAAAATTACAATGCGAGATTTATTGAACAGCGAAAAGCGAAAAGCGTTCAAGAGAAGTGAGCATGTAGTCGTTTCTGATGCATCGGGTGAAAAGAGAACGACGTGAAATAATCATTAGAGAAAATGTACCGGACACACCGTTTCTCCCACCCCCCCCCTCTCTCTCTCTCTCTCTCTCTCTCTCTCTCTTCTCTCTCTCTCTCTCTCTCTCTCTCTCTCTCTCTCTCTCTCTCTCTCTCTCTCTCTCTCTCTCTGTTTCCTCCCTCACGAAAGGCAAAAGCCAGAAGTAAAAGGGGTCGGCGGCCTCGGGGGTGTAAAGAGAAGGGCGAGAAGGGCGGCGGCAGCGGGCGTCCGGAGGTAGATAGATAGGAGGTAGTGGGAGAGAGAGAGGAGAAGGGAGGGGGGAGGGAGAACGGCAGGACCGAGTGTAACGAAGCTCCGGCTTTTTAATTGGAATATATTCAGAAAGCGGTACGCCTTTTCATCGCGAACCGAGCCGACCCGGCGCGATGCGCCGTGAATGCGACCCGAATCAAGCGCGGAATCAGCTTCGACGGCGGGGAAAGGGCGGGGAGGAGGCGGCTGTTCGCGGATATCGCTCGCGAGATCCGCGCGGGAGACGCGTCCTTTTTCCTTCCCTTTTCGCATCTCGTCGCATTCACAGACGGCTCAACGGCGCGTCTCAACGACGCTGGAAACACGCTAAATGGGAGCATCACGCGGGGAGGAGGGGGGCGTTTTTTAGCTTGCTCGCTTAAATAGACGTCGCTGTCTCGCGGATGCGTTGCAATCGCTCGCGGATTCCCGCGCGGTCGCTCATGAATGCGGCCCGACTAATGACCCGCGCGGCTTCTCGCCGCGTATGCCATCGATCGCTTCTATGTAAGTACAAACACGAGCCGTGCGAAGAATTCGCGCGGGAACTATCTACGAACATCTACGAATGACACATTGAGATTCTCTCCCTCTCTCACCCTCTTTTCTTTCTCTTCTTTCTCTCTTTCTGGCTCTTCCTTCCCTTCCCCTCTTCTCACACTCTCTAAATTCCTTGAGATGAACTTAAGAAATTCGGAAAATGGAGTATATACCAAGTAACTTCTTGAATATCTTCACTCGGCATTGAAGAGTGAATTTAGTGTATATATGGAGTTTTAAAACAGTACTTTTTCCTTAGAGACATTTTGGAACAGAGCTGATAGTCCAACGAAATAACTTATTCGTTTCGATTAATTCGCAAAAGTCAAGCTCTCTTATTTGGACCATCTCGGTCGTGTTTCGACTGCATCTAACAGAAATTTTTAAATCGTTTTGAAATTTTGTAAGCTCCACTGTCGAGATAAAGAACATATTCCCTCTAATCGATTGAAGCACTCGTTTAAACGATAAAGTCCCAGAATCTACCTGTAAGGAAGCGAATTGTTCTCGAATATTGAGACGCTATTACGTACAGTCATTTGTAAAAGACAGCGTCTGCTTCTTCGGGAAGCAGTGCAGCCTACGGCGAATACGGTTTAATGGGCTGTTTGCTTGCAAATTGCGCTACCGCTAAAGGGCAGCAAACAATTCACAACTCGTTTTAACTTCCACGTTTCAATCCCAAGAGGGAGCGGCTTCTTCTTGCACGGGCGTCGCATTTGCATAATTGTCTCTTATGCTCTGTTTTCTCGACGAGCAATTTTTTCCTCACTGCTCACGGACCGATTTCTTTCGTAAATTTGCCACTTTTCTAGTCAGCGCTTGTGTCAGCGGATTGAAGTTTCGAAGGAACGAAATTTTTTATCGACTCTTGTCACTCGCGACAAATAATTATAAAATATTTCTGGGTTATGCGGTCTATGTTACAGAAAAGATTAACATTTTTATTAATTTTCTATACGGATGCAATATAAAATAAATGCTCGGTGTAATAATACAAAAAGTAAAAGCTCTTGGAACGTGTAAAAACGCTGTCATTTATGTCAGAAATAGAAATATATAGATTGTTAAAGGATGCTATATTCCTGTTGTGATACCAAAATTCATGCTCTCGTAAATATTCATCAATCAACAAAAAAAAAACTGCCCCGGGTGAGGATCGAACTCACGACCTTAAGATTATGAGACTTACGCGCTGCCTACTGCGCTACCGAGGCGGAGATGGGAGTGGAGGTGTAATTATATCTCTTGAAGTCCAAATATGTTCAAATAACATTCAAATATAATTCATAAAATTTAAATTTATGTAAATTTTTTAATCATCTTCATTAATGACATCTAAAATGTACAATATATATATATATATCATTCTTAGTCGTACTCATAACAGATTAACTTTCATTTCATGCTAAAAAAGAAATTAGATAAAAAGAATTGAATCTCAAAATTATATAAATTTTACTAAATAATAACAAAATATCGTACTCTTAAAGTTCTTTTCGTTTTTTTATTACTAAACTAATTGCGTTACGTTGCACTAATTCTCTTTTTCTCTTTTTTTCCAATTAGTTTCAGTTGTTTCTTCTGTATATTTATTTTCTTTTTTGTGTTCCAAAAATGTACACTAATTCAGAAATAAAAAGACCTCTAATTGATTCGAATCTCGGCGCTGAATGACTTTTTGTTAGTTTCTAAATTTCTACTCGAGACTGTGTTCCAATATTCACTGCCAGCACTGAAAATCTATAATATACGTGACACAAACTATATATTTTCAGTACTAGCACTGAATTTTGGAACACAGCCCAAGTCGTCACTTCCTACAACGAAGAGTTGACTTGTAATAGGGAGAAGAAGGAGAGATGTCATGGGTCGCTTTTAGCCGAGTTCAGTGTGAGGCGCTCTCTGTACAACCGTGCACATGAACTACGATGCCAGAGAGTGGTGTCGGAGCAGTGGCTTACACACCCAGAGCCATCTATTGAAATGAATTGAACTACGATGCCAACTCTTCTGATTTCCCCCACCACGCACGCACTATAGCCGGTTCAGTTTATCTGTGTTGACCACATGCTCGGCAATCGACGGCGCGCCGAGCGATAGAGAGATATCATTCCCTCCTTCTCGCTCTCGTGTTCGCTCAGCGACGTGAGCGAGAATATCTTTCCCTTTTTCTCGCTCTCGTTCTCGCTCAGCGACGCGAGCGAGGCTAAAGCCCCTTGCACAATGCCAGGCAACAGGCAATAAGAATAAAAATAGACCAATCACAATAGATTATTCTTGTAATAGTCGATTGTAATTGGTCTATTTTTATTCTTACCTGTTGCCTGTTGCTTGGCATTGTGCAAGGGGCCTAAAGCCCAAAACACAATGCTAGGCGATAGCGATAGCGTTTGGCAATAACGATAGCGATAGCATATCAATAGAAACAGAAAATTCCGACACCAGGGAATGCATATGCCAATGCAGAATGGCAATATCATCAATTTATATATCATATGAATTTATAAATTTGTAATTTATTTTATATATTTTATTTTTTATTGAAAGAATTATACTTATATATTATATGCATTTATAAATTTATAAATTCATTTTATATATTTTATTTGTTTATAAATTTATTTTATATATATTTCATTTTTTATTGAAAGAATTGTACTTATATATCATATGCATTTATAAATTTATAAATTCATATGATATATAAGCATAATTCTTTCAATAAAAATAAAATATGGCATACGTTAGCTTTCTGTTACGTATACACACAAGACGATCGGCTCCTGCTCGCTCCTGTCACTATGAGACAGCAAGGGAATAGGATTAGGAGCAGCCATGAAATATAATAGTTGTAGGTGGAAGTGTGTACTGCTCTCTCCAGATCCAGATCTCACTCGCTCCACTCTCGTTATCGTAAACACCCCTTTATCATACTTTGATATATACGTGTTTCCGCTGCAATATGATTTGCACCGCCATTTTGAGGGGCCTGAGAACATGACCAATGGAAAGATGCCTATGGGTTATCCAATCTCTGTTATCTAGGGTCTCTAGTAAAAACAGATTGCTTCCTTCTTTCCGAGAGTTACATCCCCATTCCTCGAACACGCAGTCTAGTTATACTATGTCTATGGAGAATGGTGTATGGGTACACCCTTCTACCTAAAGCCATATACCGAACTGAACTGATATACTATATGTCTATGGTTTGCTCCATTTGCTCTTGACTCTTGTAGATTTTTAATTAAAGCCAGAAGATATATATATATATATATGTATGTCAGATTGGTATATGACTGTTTGGTCCTGTCATAATAGTGAAAAGTATTTGATATGTTCATTTTATACTGAATAATTGCCGCAATATGACTGATGTGAAGAGTTTAAGGAAAGCCATTGAGCAATATGAGACTCAGGTATGTTAATAATTTAATTTACTTTGATGAAGAAGCATTATCAGTTTATCACTTAAGTTTCTAATGATCATTATTTAGCATACTTTATTTATTTATGTTTATATTTATATGTGTACAGTTGTCACAAGTAAATGCGACGCTGACTTCGACGCCAGTAGGCTCTAACAGAGACAACCTGCTCAGTCTAAAGTCTGATATTGAGGAACTGATTTCCTTGACAAAAGAAAGTTTGCAAAGTCTTGAAGGAAATAATGCAGAAGAGAAGGGAGAAAATGAAGATCCTGATGATAAAATGGAGGATCCATTGGACAAGGAATATGCTTTGTTCAAGGTTTGTTACAGGTGACATTGTTTAATATGTTTCTGATATTTCTATCTTTCTCACTACCAATTGTAACTTGGCTGAATATATGACATACTATTATTGGGAAATATGCAAACAAGTTTTAGTACACAAGGGGTCTGTTGCAGCATATTTGTATAATTTACAAGAGTTATAACTTATATATTTGGTATGTAAAATTATAAAATTAAATTAGTTGAAATGCTTGATCGGATTGCTTAAATATGTTAGGCAGAATTGGATCAATCTTCAGATGATGAGGAAAGTACAAAGCAGGATAACAGGACTGCCACAAACACTAATAGCATCGAAGTCAGTATACAACTATTCTCTATGCCATAACAGTGACACAATTATACGGTGCAAGTTGATCTTGTAGGAGGAATTAAAGGAACTAGAAGGGATGAAATGCAAGGCTCCTTACGGCAGTAATTGGTGCGGCACTGGTTACCATAATGCTATGATATGCTCTATTTATAGAAACAGTAATGAAAAAATCAAAGATATCCATGACATTAAGGTACATTAATGACATTGTTAATTTATATATAATTTTTGCATATTTTCTTTCCATTGACTGTTAAAGTTAATTGTCCATTAGGTCCGAGTCTTCTTTCTCAATCCAACGCACAAGGAAATGATTCCATGCCCATACTTTCTTGATGGAAATTGTAAATTTTCTGATGAAAATTGCCATTATTCTCATGGCGAAATTGTAGCATTTTCGAGTCTGCAAGAGTACAAGTATGTTATCTCTTAATTGATTCGAAGAATTCACAGATGTTCGGAGTTTATTCTTGATGCTTCCCATGATTTACAGGGATCCTGATTTCCACAGCATCAAAATGGGAAGTCGAGTATTAGCCAAACAGAAAAACAACATGTGGCATAGGTCTGTTGTTTTGAAATTACCTGAAAAGGAAGGAGGTGAATACAGGGTCAAGTTTGAAGCAAGTGGCAAAATTACAGAAGTGAACTTACAAGATCTTCTGCCACTCGGTAAATGTGTATTCTGGAAATTACATAGTATATATACTGTAAAGTCTTCTAAATGGATATCTACTATGTTTACGTTTACAGGAGACGCGGATTTGGAAATGTCGGACACGTCTGACGACAGCGATGAAGACGACTCTGAGCCTAATTCACCTACACAGTCGGAGATACAATCAGTTCACAAGTCTCTTTTTACGTTACAATCTGACGAACCTCTGGGAAATTGGGAGCGTCATACGCGTGGCATTGGCAGCAAGTTAATGATGCAAATGGGATACGTAGTCGGTACTGGTCTGGGTAAACATGGAGATGGTAGAATACAACCTGTCGAAGCAACGGTGCTGCCAGCGGGAAAATCGTTAGGTTCGCTTCAGTCTTTTCGTAGAATCTAAATTGTCGCGCATCGTCCCGCTTTAACAATTACTCCCGTCTTTCAGATCACTGTATGGAATTGCGTGAATTCGCCGGCGGTGACAAAGACTTGTTCTCCGCGGAACGTAAAATGCGCAAGCAGCAACAAAAATTGGAACAGCAAAGAGAAAGACAATATCAAAAAGAGAAAGAGAGGGAGAATAGCAATGTGTTTAACTTCATAAACAAAACTTTGGGTGATAAACGTAAGAAAAAAAATATATTGAGAAAATTTATACAACATGTACTTAATAATAAATTTAATAATAAATCATAACAGAAGCATTGAGCTTAAATATAATTATCACTTTGCAGCTAAAGACGATAATGTGGCTGGTAGTTCGCGAAGCGGTAAATTGAGGAAAGAGTCTAATTACAATTTAAATGTAGCTAGCTTTCAAGTGGGAGAAAACATAAGTCGACTGAAAAGAGAATCCTCCAAGCTCAAAGAATCAATGTCAAGGCATACCAAAGGCAGTGTGCTTTACAATAATATCGTAATGAAATACAACGAAAAACAAAAAGAGCTTACTAATTTAAGAGCCTCGGAGAAAAATATCGTCGCCGAACAAAATCAAAGGAAGGATAAAGCCAAGTTGACTATATTTTGATACTGATGAAGCAGCATGCAAAAAATATATATGTATTATTAAACACATCTGTATATAAAGTGAATCTAAATAAAATGTATTATCGTCAATGTGCATTGAAGTTACTTTCGTTTGTCTTCTCAGCTCGTAGTAGAAATAAGTGAGGTATTGTATTCTTAACTTAAATTTTGGTATCTCCAATTGTGAAGTCAGAATAACGTCTAGTGAACTATATATTTGCAGTGTGTTGCATAATTCTCTTTTTAAAGTCAATGTGACCAGTAAAACATTTGATTTGACTATTTAAACTTTAAATAGTCAAACCAAGTGCCTTTAAATTTTAAAGGTACCACGTGTGGCCATGTTGAAGTTTTTAAATTACATGCATTTTCAGATATAAAATTTATTTATTCTCCACGTTACACGAATATAAATCGAGATTCATCGGATGATAAAATTTTTGGTCAAGTTTACTGAGTTGTAGCATGTAAACAAAGCCTCACTGTCTCTCCTATATCCCTATCTCATCTCTATGCTCATCTTTATGTGAACAACTATAGAACAATGAACGCCTAGAAACACCGGTTGTTGGAACATCGATGTGCAAGTGAGATGGCTGCCAGTAGTGTTAAGTACGTATAAATGTGTAATTTGCACAGCAAAGACTCGATTAAAATTGCCTCGAGATATAATATATTCATTTGCGTTTATTTGTAGATTAAAAGATTGCGAAGTCTGTGGCGCAACGAAAGCGAAGTATACTTGTCCGAAATGTGAGGTTAGAACATGCTCTCTCGTGTGTGTGAACGTTCACAAAAGAGAGCTAAAGTGTGATGGGATACGAGATAAAACGAAATTTGTTTCATTGAAGTCATTCACGGACTTGGATCTCTTGAGTGGTGAGATATTTCTCTTATTTAAATGTGTTGTGTGATCGGTTTATTAAAAAAAAAAAAATTAGTTACATTATGCAAAATGTAACCAATTTCTTGTAGATTATCGTCTTCTTGAAGAAATAGGCAAAACAATCGATACATGTAAAAGAAATCCGGAGAAAAAATATGTACGTCAAGGTGTACCACTACCATTAGTAAGATATCTTATTGCATAGATTTATATATATATATATATATATATATATATTTTGAGAATATAGTGCATAAAATTATATTTTTTTTAGTATTTACATAAGCTGAAGGCTGCTGCATTTTCTAAAAGAACAATACTGTTGTTTATGCCACAAAACTTTAGTCGTCGTAAAGCAAATACTACATATCTCAATTGGAAGACTAATGAATTGTTCTGGCGAATAGAATGGATTTTCCCACAAGCAGATAATATAAAATGGACAATGAAAAAGTACTAATGATAACAAATAATGATGAATACAAATAATCCCTTCAACAAACATAAACAGATAATATGTTATCTATATTACAGGGTTTTAGATACAACAAGAATATCAACTCTTATAGATGAAATTCTGGATCCTACCGTTTCACTAGCAGACAATGTTGATATTACAGAGTTAAATGTCAAGTTGTCTAAAAATCTGTCTGATAAATTACAATTTTATAAATCAGCTGGGTTAAATAATATTAAAGTTCTCTTGAAAGCTGAAAAGGTGAAAAACTCAAGTTGCAGGTAATTTAATATTTTTTGTAAGTATAATTAATGAAAATAATTTTTCTTATTAACTTTAATTGCTTGCTTCCAGGTTTCATGATTTAGATCTCACACTCTCATTGAGGGAAAACTTGAGAAATAAAACTATAATAGAATTTCCCACATTATATGTAGTGATAAAACATCATTCTGACATGTATGAGATTATAGACACTGGTAAATATCGTGTTCATATTGTAACGGTACACAATGTAGTTTAAAATAATAAGATCAACCTGTATATTTTTATTTTTAGATGAAGAGACAAGTGATATAGAATATAAGAGTCATACAGCAAGGAGAAAAAATATTGATAAATCTACTGAAAAGGAAAAAGAAAGCAAACCAGTAAATTATTTCTTCAATGATTTTTCGGAATCTGATGATGAGAAAATTGATGGATCGCATGAAAACAAACAATCAAATAGTCTTAATATACCTCATTATGAACAATTGTCAAAGACTAGTTCCTCATCTTTATGATAGTGATGTATAAATATTGGTTGCTGTTATTTTAAATATTCATATACGTACCCAGATATTTTTATTGTAAATACATCATCGTTATAGTTTTGATACAATTAAAATACATACAAATATGATTAACACTAACGATGTGTATGGCCGACTATAGTACACGTTTTTTTATTTCCTTCCCTTTGAATATATACATACACACATACATATATCATATTATATATATATATGTACCTGAATATCACCCAAAAATGTAGAACCATAATTGATAATAAATATTCTTTTAAAATTACTAACTTTCTCTTATACTCGTATATGCCTACTAAAGGTCATATATATGCTATGTGACTTAAATAAATATGTAAGGAATGAGTAAGATATGTCAAACGTTTTTTCCTTTTTTTAACGCGAGATTGTGTATTTATTTAGTATTTTTGAAGAATTCATTGAAATCAGTGATTGAATGGTAATTTAATATCATTCTAAGCAAACTATATAAAAGTATACATGTATATATTAAACAAATAATTCACTACAGTATATTTTAAAAATCCTTGCGCACAATATCATTTTTTGTCTTTTTATTATAAGAACACTAGAACAACTCAATAGAAACAAAATGTAGTAAAAATCGTATATCTCTCTCTATTCATTCCTATATTATATAACAAAATATTTGTTGAATCTAGTGTCATTGCACAGCGTTAAAAAACGTTGAGTGTTTTACTATAGAATTACACATATAATATATTTATATTGTTTCATTATAGGTGTAGACATGTTTTGCATATATTGATATAATTTCTAAAATTTTTATATTTTTAAATGTAAGATGAAAATTTTCGTTTTTTTCTCACACATCAATATATCGATGTAGACAAGTGTTAAAATGATAAATATTTCATAATTATAGGCGAGATAAATAAAATATATTCTGCCTTGGAAAATGGAATATCCTTGATGCATACTGAATCTTTGTTTTCCTTGTGTTGTTTAACTAAAGAACAAAGAAATATAACAGGAAGACCAGAAATGCAATGAGGCCTGCAACAGCTTTCACATACATTGATTTGCTATTTAGATGTCTTGCATCTTTCTTATACTTCTGAGATAACATGGACAGGTTTTGTGTTTTTGTATCCAGTTCTGGAAAGTACAGTTAACGATTTTATTAACACACATACACACGCACGCACGCACACACACACACACACACACACACACACACACACACACACACACACACACACACACACACACACACACACACACACACACATACATTCCTCATTCTTTACACAAAATAGATTCCATTATGGAACATTACCTGAAAGTACAGTACCCCTTTGCAAGACATCATCAATATTTTGTACCATAATTCTCTGTACATCTTGCAGCTGGTTATTAAGTGTATTTAAATTCCTGCGAGACCTACCATCCGAAAAGACTTTCTTGGCTTTCTGGATATATGTATCTGACAAGTAAATGTGATATAAAATAGATGTATTTAATATAAGGATTATATTATCTAAAACCCAACCTACCAAATTCAATAAAAGTATAAGGCCTGGTTACTATATTTACATGTTTGCCATACTGTGCATAAAATTCTTGCGCAATATCTTCCAGATAACTATAAGCTATGCGCGTACTGTAATTCCTTTCACACAATATTAGATAACAGATTCCATTTTCAATTAAATAGCTGTGAACACACACAATATTAGATATATGCAAAGCAAATTTGCACTATATATATTCAGCAATTATTACTTACTGGAAAAGATACGGTCCAGTTTCTAAGGTACACCTTGTCGGAGACTGTGGAGCTAGCTTCCTAAATAACATCTTTGCTTGATTTTGATACTCCAAGATACTCCTGCCACTCTGCAACAGAACAAATTGGACTTCATAATTGATTAGCTGCCAACCTATTTGAAAGTAACAAGCTCCTTCAATTTTTGGTTCTTCCACGTTAAATAAATTTCAAATTTCTCCTCCTACCACATCTCTGAAAATAGAGCTGAAGTCTCGTCAAGAATTTTGTGCAACTCTCGCTTTAATGAGGATTAATTACGAAGACGAGGAGCAATGTCTAAAACAGAATGACATTTCATTATCATAACAGATTTCTAACCTGTTCGTTCTCCTGTATAGTGGCTGCCAACGGGAGACCGTCCGATATCCTCGCGATCATCGTCAAGAGAACCATTTTGCCAGAAGTTACAGTGTCGATCTCTATCTAAAATAATACGCGAGAGAACAGAAAGTAACGTCGGTCGCGGTCGCGCTGTTACACGACTTCAAACAGACTCCAACGTCGACAAGCCATCCGCGCGAAACTGATCGCAGATGTGGCCGCTAAATCGCCGCGCGTCCACTCTCGATATACCACGTGTCGAGAACACTAGTGCAGTTGCAAATACCGTAAACGTCGTCGGAGGACGGGCATACGCAATTATTTCGGTCGATTTTTGCTGAGAGAATGTATACGTGCGAAAGTATGCGCTGAGGAGAAAATTTTTTCGAACTCTGCGCGAAGAAAAAACCTGAAAGAAACTGTGCAGGTACTCAAGTATGTCAGTTTTATGGTTTACACCTTCCTACACCTTCTACATATAAATTGAAGTAGGCACATAATCGAGCTTCGGAGGAACGTAGAGATAGAACCAAAGTGTAAGAGGTGCAACTAAAGAGAGGCAATGAGCACTCTGCCTCGAGGCGAACATTTACATTCGTAATGTAAATATGTTGTTCCTCCCTGTTGAAAAAAATCTCTCTCACGCTTTGAACAAAAGCCTGTTATTTTAGGTTTACCGAGCGACGATTTACTGAGAAGCGTGATGGAAGGAATTGGAAAAATCTTCCATAAGATATTTCAATCCCCGCCATTGCTCCGAACGCTTGAAAATGAGCGAGAGAGAGAGAGAGAGAGAGAGAGAGAGAGAGAGAGAGAGAGAATGTGTGTGTGAAAAGAAACATCAGACAGAGAACGATGATGGGGCAGAAGAGAAAGGCAGAGACATAGCGCAAAAACGTCGCTGGCTGTCGTCATTCATGATCGAAGTTCATCTCCGATCGTGCATATGATCGTACACATGTCGCACACAGGAACGTGGAGAAGACATCGGACATCATGAGGGGGAGGAGGGAAAGAGAGCAGTGAGCCGGCAGCAGCGGCAGCTAGCGACTACGACGACTGCGGCGACGACGACGACGACGACGACAACAAGCGACGACGTCTGCCATCTTGATCGTGACGCGCAACTCAGAGGTCGCGGGTTCCACCAGTGACGAAGCCACTGGAGTTTTGACGTGGCTGCTACGTACTTGCCCGTCTGCCCACTCCTATTGCAGCAAACTTGGTGACGAGAAATACGTAACCGGGTAAGTACCCCAGCTGGAGAATAATAACAAGGCGGCAGACATGGACCAGCGCTCGCTCTCTCGCGCACGACGATACTGCCTGCGGCGAGCCGTACGTCGCGCGGACGGAGAGAAGAACGTTTCCGCCGCCGTTTTCTCGCGGCGTGGCCGCGCGCGACGATCCGTTTTTACGTCTGCTGTGCGAGCGTGGACGCCGCGAAATATGGCGCCGCGGCGAAAAACGCGCACGTAATAATCGCCTGTCGCTCCGTGCCGCTCCGACGCGACGGGGTTACGCGACATCCGCGACGTCCGATGTGCTTCGTCCTGGTGCATCCGACACACGGACGTCGATGAGACGCGTGATCGCGCGCTCGCCGAGGACTCGATCGTCCGAGTCCACTCGCGCTCACCCCCTAAGATTCGCCGCGGTTCGCTCGCGGCGGAGAGGATCTCGAGTGTTTATTGTTCCGCCCGTATTATTTTTAGATCCGCTTATGTAAATGACGCAGTAACAGTCGTCGGATTTTCTGTCGTTGGCGGGAAGTTTGAATCGTACTTCGTCTCCCCCTACCGCGATCGCTCGGCAAAGAGAACGGTCGCGTAGATATTTTGCCGAGAAGGAAGAAACATGTGCAGACATTTACAAATTGTGCCTGTCGTCCCCCCCGTCATTTGCGTCGAATCTAAAATAACGTTGCCAGACATCTTTTAAGCTCCAACATTATTTCAGATCTGTTTTTTATCGCTGGATTAAGGTTTGGTCTTTTGCTGTTGAATTAGTGTACATTTTGTATGACTTGAACAGAATTTAAAAAGTAACAGGTGTAAAATGAAACTTGTTGAGAAAAGGAAGAAACGAGAATTAGTGCAACCTGTTCAGCGATAAAAAACAAATCTATAGTATACAAATTTTCAATTATAATTTTGCAAGGTAGAGCAACTGGTTCAGCAATAAAAAACAAATCTGTAGTGTACAAATTTTCAATTACACTTTCAAAATTTAAAAAATAGAATGGTATAGTAAGAATTTGTTGGAAAAAAAAGGAAAAGAGAATTAGAGTGCAAGATAATGTAGCCAATTTAACAATAGAAAATAAATTTCTTATATATAATTGAGAACATATAACTGTATATATTATGACTTTGGATATTTTTCAATTTAAAAACATCAATGTATTCCATTGGAAATATTGTAACAACTATATTTATTGCTCTTCAATTATGTTATTGTACGAACACTTTCTTTTTCTATCTTTACATCGAATGCAATTGGATTTTGCCATTTTTTTAAAGCTTTTACAATAGACATGCAAGTTAAAATGTCTCTTGTTTTGCAGAGCTCGCGAGGTAGCCGGGCTATGGAAAGTATGGTCGAGGAAAATGGGTCAGCAGTCGATCCATTATCCCAGAGTTCTCAAAGCGGCGATGCTGCGCCAGCAATTGCTACTTCGGTACAATCTCTCGATAGAACGCATCAGCAGCAAACTCACCACCTGGTAGCTTCTACCAGCATTGTGCAACTGACACTACCTCCGTCAGGAACAACACAGGTATACAGGAGGCTCTCCTGTGTATCTATGTCCAATAATTTTCTTTCTCTTTATTTCGGAGCATGCGTACAATTATTTGTTTGCCTTCCAATTATGATTATTTACACGACACAAGCAATTTAAGTATCTGATCTTGCATAATGCTGGTTGCGTCTCAGGAATTTTTCTTCTTAGATCTTAAGATAGAGAAATATTTTTTATGAATACAATTTATTTTAAAAGGGGTATTTTGTACACGTACATTCCAAAGTTTTATGTTACAATCCTTGTTCTTGTAGTAAACATATGCGAGAGGAAAAAAGAGGGATTATATATACATATAACATTATTCCTTCTTATTATAACACAAGTACACTCATGAATATTCCCTTGTGCAGTATTACATGTTTTATACATTCTTTGTCTCTATGTTTAAGGAATAATGATTATATATGTATGTATGTTTAAATATGACATACATATATAGTTTAAATATATAAGGTAACAATATAAGGTAAAATCTTTTATGATGTTTGTATTTTTATATAGGTGCAATCAGTCATACAACCTAATCAACAGTCTGTAATACAAACTGCAACAAACATACAACCTGTTGCTATTTCTAAAGGAAATGTTATTTTGGTTAGCAAACCTAATTCTGTTATACAAACTGCACAAGGCAATCTACAAACTCTCCAGGTAAGATTTTATATTACAATACAGATCTATCATGTTTTATTTTTTGTGGGATTATACTTATTACAATAATATAAAATAATTATAATAAAATATGATGTTTTATATACATTTAATAATATAGTTAGATGTATACAATATATATACACACACACACATCGGTGCACACATTTAAAATCTAAATAATTTGCTTTCTTTCAAGGTGGTAGAAACTGGTAGTGATGATAGTTTTTCTGATGAAGAATCACCTAAGAAGAGAAGAGATATTCTTACCAGAAGACCATCTTACAGAAAGATACTCAACGATTTGGGTGGTGGGGAAATTACAGGTAAGCTACATTCTTAGAAAATCTCTCTCGAAACTGGTACATAGATTTAGATGGTCTGTACAAAAATCATATAATATCAAAGGTGTAATTATGTGCTATATTGTCGCGCACTATTGTTGTGAACTATCATTATCTGTACAGTTCCCTTTAGGAATAGCCATGAATGCAAAATTACAATTAGAGTATCAGGAAAATAAATATTTGCGATCTAACTCGATTATACACGAGATATTTAAGTGCATATCAGTTCATACAAATGAATAACGTGAATACGTGAGATCAGTGAACGAAAAATCTAGTAATTTTGACATTTCGTCTAACTCTTTCGTCTAACTCTTTCCTTTATATTTTAAAATTATATAAAAAAGACCAGTCGTAGAGTTAATTTTATCAGATTCCATATTAGTCCTCAGATTATTCATGCTTTTTTTCCTTTTATAATAGTTATATTCCGATGTATATTAATATAGTTTGTCATGTATATGTGATATATATATAGCGTATCTCAGACTTTACAATCAATTTTGGAGCAATTTGGAAATAATGTATCCTCATCGAAAATACCGAAACAGACAATTTTTCAACTTTCAGTATATCTTTGCAACTAAAGCTTCTAACTAAACTAAAGCTTTGTAACTAAACTCCTGTTAAATGTTTACTTCAAATTGATAAAACAAAATTTCATCCATTTATTCATTTGGTTACTCAAAGCTTATGGAAAATCCTGCTTTTTTAACTGTTTGTATCTTGGAAATTATTATATCTCGATATTTCAAGGGAAAATTACCTCTAAATAACTCGCAGAACCTCTCAGTAAAATTCAAGTTACAAGATTGGAACACCCTGTATATACATATATACACATGACAAAAAAATATATATATATATATCTCGCAAATATAAAGTATACAAGTATTTGATGTGCTATAACTCTCTAATATTTTTCACCTCAAATTGCAAATAATGAAAACATTATTTGTTTTAGCGCATTATTTCTTATCAATTTGTATTACATAGATATGAAAAGAATGCCATACCAAGCTTATGCAATATAGTATAGCATTGCAGACCGGGTGAACTATTATGATCTTGAAAGCTGACTTGAGATTGAGAATTTATTTATCGAGATTTTAGGAGGAATTTGCACAGATAACGCTCCTCTGACTATTATCTCAATAACATATCAAGCAACAATAAGCTGAAACAAAGTTTTACCGGCAGTGAAAGGTAAAACTTTGTCTCAGGCGGTAAAGAAAATAAGGTAAAAATACCAGAAGTAACTACTGACCCATTTGGCTAAAAAAGAAAAAAATGGATTTTCGAAGACACACCGTCAGGGCATACGTTCGTTTTCCAACGCGATATACTGTGTTCCGGCAAGCTACTGCCAGTACAGGACAAATTTATATATAGTATATAAAAAGAAAATATTTTTACACACACGTTAGGGGCGGTACATTATCTATACAACATTTCCCGCTATCTTCTCGTTGATTTATACCGTTGATTATATTCCTGTTGCAGTTTATGATTCACAAAGATAAAATTATCGATAAGATAATCGTATGAGATGCATCATTTTTAGGAGAAAATACATTCTCTATTAATTCTGTTAATTCACATGGATCCCAAGCTATTTGTACAAATTGTCATTTCAACCTGTGTATCTGAGAACGAGTCATTTCTAACCAATGTCTAAAAGTTAATTGTCCTTGAGAAGTGTTTCTGAATATCTTCTATTTCCTTTTTGTATGAGCTGACTGCACGCTGCGTAACGACGGGTCTATAATCAGCAGCTAGAAAGGAAATAGTTCAGCTACTTTATATCATTGCAGATAACGGAATCTCGTTTTGTTTTCTTTTGTGTCGCTATACGAAACTTTCTGGGTGTGAACATTTGCATATGCGTAGAATATAATTGCGTGATTCAGATGCTTTTTAATAGGAACGTAGAGTTTGGGAAAAAAGGAATTAATGAAAATGATACGCTACATGTAGAGTGACACACATACACATGCACATACATACATTAGCTATACCGGTCAACGAACTGATTGTAATGGGGGTTTGGGTTGATTCGGTGTTACAGACGGTCGTTTGCCCCCCTTAGAATCATCTTCCGAGTGTGATTCTAACGTGGACAGTGAAGTGTCTTCCCATTCGCTCCATTACCAAACAGGTTGGTTACTTTATCTTCTTTTACCGTATCTTGGCCAATTGTATTGCAGTTCACGGTGGTTTGTCTCTGTATATATGCAGCTTCTTTTACATTCCACCGCATACTGAAGGAGATGATGTTAGAGGAGTAGCACTCTTAAATTAAGAAAGAGAAATTCGTTCGTGATTCACATTCACGTTTTACAAATGTCTTTCATCCCTGTGTGTACTGCCTAACGTGATATCTCTCTTTTCTCTCTCTCTCTCTCTTTCTCTCTCTCTCTCTCTCTCTCTCTCTCTCTCTCTCTCTCTCTCTCTCACACACACACACACACTTTCACGATATTCGCTTGGTGTGGCATCTTCTGTTTATATGGGATGATACCGATACTCGTTACTCGTCGGTGCGTTCGATACGCGGCGAAAAAGGTTGATATCCCCGCAGAAATACAAGACGAATATTTTGCACGGAGATTCGAGCACACGAATATGTATCATTATTGTCGATTTCATTGCGCAGATGGCATCCTTTCTTATTGCATTCTTGGCGCACGGCGTATCGTTCTCTACACGGAAGTTAACGAACAATTTCTCCTTTACGTACGGCAAAGTGTCCGATATTTTCGATATAATCTGTTTTACAGTCATTCCCGCCGGTACTATTCAAATTGCGACCCAAGGGGAGGGAGTTCCGGGGCTTCACACGTTAACTATGAGCAATGCAGCGACACCGGGTGGAGCTATAGTGCAGTATGCACAGGGCCAGGACACTCAATTTTTTGTGCCAGGTGTGCTTTTGCATCATTTCCGAAACATTCCGAAAAAGCTACGTTCCATTTCTCGATCCTCGTTTCTATTAAATCGTCATGTAATATCGGAAAAATACGTCATTAAGTCACTACAACACTCCACTAGTTTAATTGCTATAAGAAAAGAACGATACGATGTGTATTAAATAATGTGTACTACTAATGAAGCAATTATGTTATATATTTAAGCAATTACGTTATACGTCCAAATAACTGTACTGTAAAAAATTACTTGAATTCTTGTATTAATTGTATTATTTGATAACGCAATTTTTGATACTTTTTCTAAACTGCACGTTGACTTAAAAAAACAAATGTGGTCCCTGCCGAGCAAAGCGAAATAAGTCACTCAGTAGAAAACTTGCAACATGCAACTTAAAAATTTGGAAAGTGCAGTCTCTCGCAATGTTCCAGCTTATACAGGTCATGGGGTTGTAGTAGAAGATGCAGCGCGGAAGAGGGAAATGAGGTTGCTCAAAAATAGGTAAGCGACAATAAAAACAAAATTTATCACACATATAGTGGAATTAGTGTAAAAAATAGTATAGGAAGACTCACGAATTTGAGGGACGTATTTTAAATTAAAAAGAAAAGGAGTCAATGTTGTGTACTGTGTTCATTAGAAAAGTGATAGTTATCGTTAATTTAACTAAGATATTAATTGAATGAAATAATTTAAATTTTAAATAATTGAAATAACTTTTTTTTTAATTAAAGAGAAGTAATCTGATGAAATAATTTCACCTCCATTTTTAATGTCTACAGGGAAGCGGCGCGTGAATGTAGGAGAAAGAAGAAAGAGTATATAAAGTGCTTAGAAAATCGTGTTGCCGTATTGGAAAACAGAAATCAGACGCTAATCGACGAACTGAAATCGTTAAAGGAACTGTATCAACAGAAAACCGACTGAGATTGGTGTTTAAAGCCTGCAAAAACAGTGTATCAAAACTATTATCCAGTCGAACCTGTACATGTCTTGTTTGTGTACATTATCCTGAATGTTACTATAGGGGTAAGTGATGGTGATGTACATGCATTCTTATAGATAAGCGTTTCTCTGTAATATACTGTATTTAAGTAACGAATACGAAGGCTTGTGAAACGTGCTGTTACTAAAGCGGGAAGCCAAAGGTATATGAGACACGGAGGCAGCAAACACGTAGGCAATATTTGGGGATATCAATCTATATTTTGGATAAATCTAGCAGTTAATTAGCGCATATATGGTGCGATATATATTGTAAAGTTATCTGGATACTATGTAGTCTTGGATTTTATGTTGCAGATTCTATCCTTTTCAATATTTCATCTCACACAGATGTCCATAGTGTTTGATTATACTCGAGTCGATACTTGATTGTAGTGAATGAAGGAGTCTTGAGAGAGAATTAGAAGCGCAAATGAAATATTACGATATTTTTCGTCGGCAATCAATAATTAAAGACTATTATCGTGTCCAAATATTTCTGCAATATATTGTGCGCAATTCGAAAAAGTTTTGACCTCATAGCCTCGAACATTTAGATCGCATTAATAACTTAACTAACATATAATACCGTGTTTGTTTAGCGTCACCGTCTGCCATTAATACGTAGTTCGTTACAAAAGTAACAAGATCAATATTTTAATTGTAATATTTAATCGCAAACAGAGAAGTTGTTTCCAAAATTTTGTGTGGAATTTGTATCTTCAAAACAATCGAAATTATACGCTGTAAAATTGTAAGACATGATTTTTCTACATTTTTAAAATATAAATTTCAACTGTTTGAAATATTCACAAAATTAATTTTGCACCAGCAGTCGTGTATACTTGTCCAAAATTAATAATCGAAGCGTTAGAACGTCAGATATAATAAAACTACATGCAATTTGGATCATTCAAAATATGTCATAGGTAATCCTGAGATTAACAAAAGTGTATCTCGTTGAATATATATGGATCGCATGTGCAGATGAAAAAATTGCAAGTAGCGATAGATATCCGAGTCAATAGATGAATGCTGAAGCAATAGTTCACTGTATCAATCAATCATAACTGGAAGCAACTGGACGTATATTTGAATTGTGCTTTATAGAAATATGAATCTCGTTACTTTTGTGACAGACAGTGTATGTCTTGGTTTCACCAAAAAAAAAATTGAAAAGCATGCAATGCAACGCGCTTGCTCTGACGAGGATAATTCGCTTATGAATAAACTTGCTTTAAAATTTAATATTCTTCTATGTGGAAAAGATCTTGGCATTATACGTAGAAAATGTAAAAGTAGTTACATGATTACTACACATTCAAGCTATATAAAGAAAAAGAAGAAAAGATGCATCTTTGCCATTTCGATGATGCCTGCATTGCTTGTCGGTTTGCTGTAATAAATGCGCATATCAGGCATTACTACTACGTCGCTCTGTAAAATGATTGTTTTACGTCTCGTCAGAATATCTCGTTCATTCAACGCTGGACAACACAACTGTAAAATATTGAATGTAATATAAATCAGGAGTGCCTTGAAGATTTCTGTACACTTGTGGTATACGTATACATATATATGGATGCAAAAAAGAAAAAGAGAAGAAACGCGCAAACGTATGCATATGTATGTATATACGTATGATGGAAATTATATATATATATATAAGTAAATATGGGTAGAGATATATGCATACATTACATACATAGATATATATATATATAATATTTTTAAACTATATTATTATATAGTTTTATGTACTTGACACCCGCAACTTTACGAGAATTGTATTATTTTTTTGGAACTTGTGTTTCCATGTAATCTCATCGTCGGATGGAAACCAATTACTGACGCGTCATCAGATTTTCGCGAAATGTATTGTGAATAACATGCGTGATTCTACCATGAGGAAATAACGTTAAAAACTCCAATAAAGAGGATAATTTTTTTAACAAAAATCGTTGTTGGACTGTACTAAATTTCTTCATTTGGTATTTTATTGGCATAAATAAGTTTAAATGTATTATACGGCATACATATATTACAAAGAAACATTAACATATTTTTGTTATGTATAATAATAGCGAAACTTATTTATACCGTAACAGTTACGTGTCGGAATTTATTTCTTCCTAGATATAATACTTTTGCCACTTTTTGGAAATTAAATAAATTAAACATTAAATTAAACGTTACATATATACAATTAAGTTAAACTTTACCTATATATTGAGTTGTCGAAAGTCATGACGTATTCTTTCTATGCTTTTTAAAGGTCATTTATTTATATAAAGAACAGATCAATCAATGATATATTGCCCGTTTTGTTCAATGACCTTTTGACATCTTTCAGTAAGCTTCATAATTCCTCGTTCATAGAAGGACCTGTCTTTATCGACGAAAAACTGAACAAGGTGCTGATTTACAGCCTCATGTGAATTTACGTTATATTAACGTTATATTACATAAGGAATTTTGAAAAAAGAGCGAGACAAGTAGAAATCTGACAAGGTCAGGCGAGTATAGTGGGTTTGACAACACATCCCATCCAAGCTTCAATAATTTTTGACGGGTGATCAAACTTGTGTGTAGTCTTACATTGTCGTGATGGAACACAACTCTTTTACAATTAACGAACTCTGGACGTTTCTGGACGATGGATTCGTTCAAACTGTTCAATTGCCGACAGTACACATTCGAATTGATTGTTTGGTTCCTTGGTAAGAACTCGGTAAAAACACACCTTTAAAATCCCACTACACTGAGAGCATAAGAAAGCACCTTCCTCTGATGAATGTCTGCTTTCAATGTCGTTTAAGGCAAATCATCACGTCGGGACCAAGACCTTTTGCGCTTCACATTATTGTAAACAATCCACTTCTCATTACCAGTTATCATTCGCTTCAAAAAAGGATCCTTTTCCTCGCGTTTAACGAACATATCGCAGATATTTGTACGCGCCGTCAAATGAACTTGTGAGTTCATGAGGAACCTGTAATATTTCTTTATGAATTCGTTTTCTTTTTAATTTCTCCCACTTCTGTAATAAACGATTGTCAGAAGACTAAGGTTTCTATGCAGTAAATAAAGATAACTCCGTCTTTATGCTTATCAAAAAATGGATATATTCTAATACAATTACAATTCTACACAAAATATGATTACTTTCCGCATGCTTATGAACAATCTACACTATCGACTATAAATCTGATAATCTTTCAGAATCTCTAAACATCTTTCTAAAAGTCTTCGACAATCTCTAGTGATCTCTCAAAATTTTTCTAAATTTCTAACGATCTCTGCTCCTCCGTATCCTCTGGGAGCTATTTTTTAACCCTCCTCCTTGGTGGATGCGCCTGTGTTATAGGTTTCCTGTTTCGGGCCTGACTGGTGCTGGCATTTTTCGTCCGTTTCTTATAAACTCAAATATCGAGCTTGCTTACGTATCCCAGTTTCTTCAGGTGGTCGTGAACGCTTGAATGATGGATGTTTAATGTTTCTGCAATCTCTCGTGTCGTGTAACGTGGGTTTGACTTGATCAATGCCTTTATTTTGTCGTCATTAACCCTTCCGGTGCGCCTCTCTGACCGAGGAGCGTCGTTAAGATCAAAATCACCAGCACAGAATTTCGTGAACCATCGTTGGCACTGACGTTCTTGTAGAGCATTGTCACCGTAACTTTTCACAAGCTTGATGTGCGTTCTTCCCTTTACGGAAATAAAACAGTAAATTATGGCGAAAATGCACAGTTTGGTCTTCCATCTTCAACTTGTAAAATCTCAAAACCTCAAACAAATCGTTCAAAATTTTTTTTAGAATGAAGATAAAACTGTCAGCTGTCAAATGACATAGCAATAACATAGATGCAAATGACTTTAGTATTTCCAAAAACTAGCTGTTGCAAACATCTGTTGCAAAGGTGCGTCATGACTTTTCTGACAATCCAATATATATCATACACATAATTTACAAATTCAGTTATCAATTGAATAGTAGGTCCAAGCACACAGATAATGTCATCAGGTCGGATACTTTCTAGACAGACCTCATATGTAAAGGGTGTCCCAAAATTCATGCAAGAAGTAATTTTGATAGAAAACACAGGTTTATAATTAAAAATTGTAAATTTTTTATTGATTCATAAAGTATACAGTATAGGGTTATATATGGAATAGTATATCGGGTAAATGGCCTCCACGGCTTTGCTGGCACATATGCACTCTTTTGTTGAAATTTTCCATGACCGTTTTGTATAAATATGGCTGAATTTCGTTGATACAGTGCTCAATTTCCTCCTTCAAGGCATGGGTGGTCGTGGACTTGTTGGCATAAACCTTAGATTTCAAAAAACCCCAAAGAAAAAAGTCCAACGGCGTAAAATCGCATGATCTGGGCGGCCAAATCTGATCACCAAAACGGGAAATTACACGACCAGGAAATGATTCATGCAGTAATTGAATTGTTTCTCGGGCTGTATGGCATGTGGCATCGTCTTGTTGAAACCACATGTCATCCACATCCATATCTTGCAATTTTGGCACAAAAAACTGGATTATCATGTCGCGATAGCGAGCACCATTAACTGTTATTGCCTGACCAGCCGCATTTTCGAAGAAAAATGGTCCGATGATGCCTCCAGCCCAAACCCCGCACCAAACAGTGACACGTGGATGCATTTGTTTCTCAACAGTCATTCGTGGATTTTCTGAACCCCAAATGCGACAATTATGTCGATTAACCAAGCCATCAAGATGAAAATGAGCCTCATCACTGAAGATGATTTTGTTTGAAAAATCAGCATCCACTTGTTGTTCCATAATCCATTCAACGAACTCTCTTCGTTGTGCGTGGTCAGTAGGCTTCAGTTCTTGAGTCAATTGAACTTTGTAAGTATGAAGATGCAAATCTTTCGTGAGAATACGCTGTACAGAGCTTCTCGAAATGTCCAATTTTTGACCACGGTGCCGAATTGATATTCCTGGACTCTCAACAACACTCTCACGAACTGCTTCGATGTTTTGTGTTGAACGACTTGTTGAGGGACGGCCAGAGTATTTAAGATCACTAATTGATCCAGTCTCCCAAAATTTTTTAATTAATCTCTTCACAGTTGATGAAGTTAAATCATTATTCCGACCATATTTTGTACGAAAATTACGAACTGTAGCTGCCAAACTTTCATTATTTTTAAAATATTACTTAACAATGAAAACGCGTTGTTCTTTCGTGTAGCACTCCATTTAAAAAACCCTGAACTGTCAGCTGTCATGCTGTATTTTTTTCATTGGCAACACTTTACCGCACAAATGGCGCAAAATTCAAATCTTGCGTGAATTTTGGGACATCCTTTATAACCTGTACAAGTAACAAGTGTAAAAATTAGTTTTGTGTTTTCAAAAACATTTCTCATGAAAAATATTTCATTTACTTCAGTTGGTAGTGCATGTATATATAATCATGATTTCATAAGTATTTCATAATATAAAGTTTCATCCTATTGTTTATGCAATAAAGATTTATAGTTTATATATAACATGATGAATTCTTACTAGTGTTTGCTATGATGAAGAATACAGAGTCTGGTATTTAATCCATAAGTCTGAAAAAGATATATTATTATAATTAGTATATCTGTTAAAATTTATCTATCTTTCATAAATATTAATATAAAATTCTTCAGTTGGTAGTGCATGTATATATAATCATGACTTCATACAAATAAAATTCATCATATTATCAAATAGCACAAAAATATTTTGAGATCATCTTAGGTATTCTAAGGAATATCCTTAGGTATTATACTGAACAGATTTTAAATGATTTTGGAACATTTTGTGCTATCTGAGTTGTATTCATGGAAAAAATATATAATTTATTTGTAATATAACTAATAATCTTTACCAATGCTATAATCCAGGACACAGCTCTAGTCATTAATTCATAATTCTGAAAATGGATAATTAATATAATCATATCTATTCAAACCTCTTTCTTTTACGAATAATCTTAAATACAATTTTTCAGTTGGTAGTGCATGTAAAAATATAATCAGGACTTCATGTAGATATAATTCATCATATTGTTTAAGTCTATTTGAAAACATGGAATTTTTATATAGCTTGTTATAGATCTAATAGATTAATTTTTGTTCATGTATTATTTGACTAGATTAACATCAATTTTTTGATAAAAAATATTGATATTACTTTGCTTAGTTTGTAATATTATACACACAAAATTCTTTATTAATGTTTGTTTAATTCAAGATTCATGTTAATTCATAAATTTAAAAAGAACTAAATTTTACTCAGTAATTAATAAATATTGTGATGTGAAATATTTCTATAAAAATAAATTTGAATAAGTTTTTTTTTTTTTCGAAATTTCATTCTAAAATCAGGAATTTTTTTTTATAAAATTATTTTATGTAATATGGAAATAATTATTAAAAATTACTCGTGTAAAATTGCAATAAAGATCTATGGTTCACAATAGGTTATAGATGTAGATACGAAATAAACAATTACAAACAGATGCATGTGGATTATAAATTATATCATGCGTATAAATGAGCAATTATATGGCTACTGAATTTCTCTTTTTTACTTCAAAATCTTAAGATTTTACAAGAAAAAACACACACAATGTAATAACTAAAATTATATTTTATCATACCAGAAATATAAAATATTGTTTAAAATTAATCTGTCGCCTTTCATCGACTGTTAGAGATAAATGGTTTGGAAGTAAACTCTTATCTAAAAACGAAATACTTACATTCCACGAAATTTTTCTCATCTGCTTCTACGTGTTTCTACATTTCTTACCGGTGTACCATGTGCGCTTGGAGAAATAGAAAGTGGTCTGTTCTCTTCAGTTGCACTGCGGAACTAGTGCAATAAGTTAGAATGAGACAACTATATTTTTTTTCGCTTTAACTTATTGCACCAGTTCAGTAGTGCAGCTAAAAAGAACAGACCAAAGGTAAAGCCAGCGGCATACGGTGCTTGTTTCCATGCTGGATTGCTTGCTCAATGAAAATACTGCGTTCTGATTGGTACATTTCTGAAGATAGATAGAAATGCACCAATCAGAACGCAGTATTTTCATCCAGCAACAATCCAGCACGAAAACAAGTAACGTGTGTCGCTGGCTTTAGACATTTTTTTGTGAGTTTTGGAACTTAGTCGACATATGAAGAGTGTTTTTGATCAAAGATATGTAATAGTAAACAAAGACTTTTTATTAGTTTTCTATCATCTTAGATGATATCTTAGATGATATATAACTATATCTTAAGCCAGTGGCACACGGTGCTTGTTTTCGTGCTGGATTGCTTGTTGGATGAAAATACTGCATTCTGATTGGTGCATTTCCATCCATCTTTGGAAATGTACCAATCAGAACGCAATATTTTCATCCAGCAAGCAATCCAGCACGAAACAAGCACCGTGTGCCGCTGACTTTATTCTCTTCTTCTCTCTCCCTTTCACTAACTCGTAGATGTATATCTATTTCTTTTTATGTTCCCTGAGTGTACACTAGTTCAGCGATAAAAAACAGATCTTGAGTATTTTCAGTATTGATAGTCAATTTTGGAATGTAACCATTGGTCTGTTCTTTTTAGCTGCACTGCTGAACTGGTGTAATAAGTTAGAATAAGACAACTATATTTTTTCTCATTTTAACTTATTGCACCAGTTCAGTAGTGCAGCTAAAAAGAACAGACCCCATTTTTCGGCATGAAAACAAATATCGTATGATATCGGCTTTACATGTTTATGGTCGCACCTGACAAATTAGGGAAAATAACCTTTCAGGCGTATATCTCGTTAAGTTAAATCGTCATTATTTTTACTTGACAGAGGGAGATAAGAATGGCTTTCATTTCTCTCATTTTATACTAATTCGCTATTGACGCGATTACTTCGTAACAATAAATGATGGCAATCATATATATATATATATATATAAATAAATTAAGATAACTTATTTATAGTGAAGAAGTTCAGTTAGAAACTCTTGGTTAACAAAGACAGGTATGTATCTTATCTTGTGTTTTTTTCCACATATACAAGCCAAGGTTGTATAAAAATTTCTATTTTTAGTCTGTATTTTTCATTCTCAATGTTATTTCTTACATTTATTAACATATTTTATTTATTTGTTTCATTATGCAGAAAATGGTAGACATAAGGGCCAACATTATTGGAAAAAATGATTCCCACCATGAGTCAAGAATTCGGGCTAACAGTTCTGGCACAGGAGCTTCAACACCATCATCTTCTTCTGATTATATGACAGGAGAAGCAGATGATAGTTCTGATAGCAAGGGAACTATTCCTTTCAGCTTAAAATCAGTAGAGACTATGCTTTCATTATCTAAGGTATAAAATATAAACATTGATTTTATTTTTCAAATATACTTTTCTGTATATACATCTGTATATACGTATATATGTATATTCTGTATATATGTAGGTATTTTCTGTATATACGTAGATTATAATTATATCTAAATTACTTCTAAATGTATATATAATATAAGTGATGTAATTTAGAGCTGCTAAATTAATGTCAAAAGACATAAGCTCATAAGAAGATGGATATATAGTCCAACTCTTTGAAGTTGTTGTTACAACAATTATAATATTAAATATTTATATTAATTTATTATAGATAAAGGAAATAAATCGGTAAAATTTGTTATTTTATTTAGGATGCTTCTCAGGAAGATTTACAAGAAATGGTAAATAAGTGTAAGTCAATGGTATTAGAGAGCGCAGAATGTTCAGACGAGCGCAAATGGCTGGTCCGACGATTGATTGAGTTACGTTTACGGGCTCAAGAATTACGCGAGACTTCAAATGAAAATCTGTTTGAGACTCATGTAATTCTAGGCCATCATTTTGTACCACAGAAGTACCATATTACCACATCTGGACCTGTTTATTGCGATCATTGCAGCGGTGCAATTTGGACGATGTTGCAGTCATGGTATATGTGTAATGGTGAATATTTAACAGTCTAATGTGTATATACTAGTTATATATTGATTCATGTAAATTAAGATATACAATCTCATTGTAGCAATCACAAAGCATAGCAATCATAAAGACACGATTTTGCTTACTTCTAGATTGCAAGTTTAGTTGCCACTGGAAGTGCCTCAACAACGTGTGTCGAGTATGCGTCCATGTGGTTGCCAGCGAAGCCGGCGGTTACACTCACACGAAGGATATTTGTCCAGAGCAAGGCTTATCAAAGCAAGGCTATCGGTGTGCAGAATGCAAAACACAAATAACGTTTAGTAAGTCAATAAGTTTAGATTAAATTGAAAAGGCTTGGCAGATATTTTGCCGATTGTCAGTCGACAGATAAAATAGATAAAATAAATAAGCGTATGTTGTTTGTTTTATGTTTACATTCATTATTTCGTTTACTACTATTTTTGAAAATGAAATGTCTTATGAGATAATGTAACGTTCTTGTCTCTTTGCAAGCTTTCTCAAAAGGATTGTCGCTATCATGCTTCGGCAGTTCCTTTAAGAATACAGGTATTTGATTTACGATATCTGTGAATTAACATCGGCAACCAGTATTAGACGCCGCTTTACATCGTCGAAACAAGTTTCTTACATAAAAGCTCCGCCCTTGTTATTTGTATATTATACGCAGTCATATCGAAGATATTTAAGACAATTTTTACCTGCGAAAAAATTTATAAATGCGGAGCTACAAGTATACACAGTTACAAATGGTTTACATTTTTCACAATCATGTGCCTCTTTTAACCCGACATAATTGAGGCTGGGTCATAATGATCTGTGACGTTTTTTAAATACATTACATATTTTATCAAATTATTTATATTAAGAGACTATTTTATAAAAGTTACCCTTTCTAAAATCATAGAGACTGCGATGGTAGATCAAAAAATATTCGGGTTATCATAATCCACCGCAACGTGTGTGTGACATTTTACCACCACAATAATGCCGGGTTAATTTTCCGATAGTCGCGGATCCCTCAGAATGGATGCCGAGAAAAAGATGCCGAGCGACTTTGTTTTGGCACAGCATATAAAATGGGAATTAGAATGATACGCGCCATATACTTTTCTTATCTTTTAATTAATAAAACGTAGAATGAAATTTTATTTTTACGTTTTCAAAAAATCTAAAAATGATGGTCAGGAAAAAATTATATTTTACTATTATAGTTTATATTTGGATGTTGTTTAGAGTGAACAGATGTGAAACACCTTTTTGGTGACCTGCGAGTATTTTTGTTCCACAAAGACTTGCACTTAAGGTAGGCTAAAATACAATGACGACAATACGCTAATGAGAAAAATCATGATTTTAGAGTCGACGTGGGTGGAGCCGCGCCTGTGCGACTACAGTGGCCTATATTACTGTCAAAGATGTCACTGGAACACAGCCATGGTGATACCCGCTAGAGTGATCCGGAACTGGGACATGGAGCCGCGTCTGGTATCTCGCGCCGCAGCGCAGCTTCTGATGCTGCTGGAAGATCGTTCGGTATTGCCTCTGGAAGAACTAAACCCGAAGCTGTTCACCTTGGTTCCGGATTTGTCGCTCGTGAAAGTAAGTGACGTCGTATTGTACCAAGTAAAAGCAGGTACTAAATTAGTAAGATCCGCCTGAATATTACAAGTTTACGATATGAAATTTCTTCAGCGAATGCGAGAAGAAATGCAAATGATGAAGAGATACCTGGTACTGTGCGAGGAGGCCTGCAGTCAAGGCTTACCATGGAGAATTTGCCTGCGCACGCATATGATCGAAAATTCGGGTAATTATTCGATCAAGGACCTCATCGACCTACAGGCCGGCGTTCTCCTGGACGAACTTCGCACCGTCTATGACACAATGCATGCGCACATCACACAGCAATGCCAGCTATGCCGAGCCAGGTGAGTGTTCAGTTGACTAGAAATAGACAATGTATTCCTTCCACTTTACAGTGCAATTCGATTGATAGCCGGTGTTGGCATGTTGGAAAATTCTGTTTCTGTCTATTCTGTGTGTGAAATAAAAGGCTTATTTTTCAGCTGAATTAGTGCTGCACTAGAACTTTGTTTTTTCCTCTTCAACATTTTATGTTTTATCATTTGTACCATTAGATTTATTTGTACCATTAGCAATATATCTATATCATCAAATTTTTCTTTTTATTTATAATGACGTCGATGTGATAAAACTGATAGAAAATGATACTTATGCTTCGATTTATCTTCAGTGAGATAGTGATTCAAAAAATTCTTTCTGCGCTTTAAAAACAATGGAAATGAATAGATGTATTTGTTTTTTATACAAACGAGTCAAGTCGTTGTTATTGTTAATTTTAATTAGTAACTAATATTTAATTATAAATAAATAAAACTAATATATATATATATATATTAAGTATAATATAATACCAATCATATACTATATATATACAATGGTAACTAATAGATTAATTACAGTTTGTAATTATTATTATTTTATCGTTAACATCTTCAGAGGACATCTATGCGAAATATGCGGTAATGACGAAGTTATATATCCGTGGGATGCCAGTTCAGTCATTTGCCAGCAATGCTCAGCGGTGTATCATCGTGTTTGCTGGTCCAAGCGCAATCACTACTGCCCGCGATGCGCACGTCTGCAAAAACGCCGCGCTCAGCAACAGGGACAACAAGCGACGCAGGATTGCGGTGAGGATTGCGACACGGACGACACCGCCAAGGACACCTAAAATGCTAAAGAGCTCGCATCGTGAACTGAGTGCCGTGACAATCCGTTACATGGTCGCGCCGTATGTCAAGAAACTACACTTTGTACCTGTTTACTTTTTTAAACGGATCAAAGCAATTTCACAGGCTGTTGTTTTCATAACTCGATTGTCGTATCTTAAGAATCAACATAGCCCGTAGCGCGTCCATCTGATCGTGAATTTATACGCTGTATCGTGTAATTTTTTTATATCTGGTCTAATAAGTGATAAACAAGGTGATATATGAGTATATAGATTAGCGATATCGTGTATATTCATGTTATGCAGAACGATCCATTTTAAATGGTCACTTAAGATGTTTCGAGAGAAATACATTATTCGAAAGAATGTTTCCGACAAAAGTTGTTTGATTTGCAGAGGATACTAGTCAGAGGTCACTGACGTAGTGCAGCATTCGTAGTTTGCACTATTTTTCTATTCAATTGTACATAATTGTAAATGCTATTACAGAGTTTACGAATTGAAGAATACTCCGTGTTGTATCAACAGAAAAAACAAAACAAAAATCTTTTTTACGAATGGTTTTTTTGTTTTTGATGTCAATTTATGGAAGTCGACATTGATTTATTAGTATTTTTACTCTGTAACATTTGCAATTTTATACAGCTGAATATTAGATCCTCGACTAAGTTCTGAGGATTTTCGTTTAAAGGTATTTATTAAAAAGAAATTGTTGTTATTTTTGTTAATCAAAATAATTGTTGCTAGCTTCTAGCAACCTATTTTTTGCTATTTCTCAAGTAAGAGTTCGATTACATGATGGTAAAATGATGGCTCCTTGGAGTGAAAGAAATTATCAACTTAATCGTTCATTTCGTCGACATTTCAGAAGCGCTGTCTTTTAAGATTGTGTTTTATGAAACGAAACAGAAGATAGTTCGAAGGCGCAACATCTGGAAAATAAGCAGGGCGAGGATGATGTGATATTGGCGATAGTTTGAGCAATATATGGTAAAGAGTGTGTACCGGAAGATTAACCCCAATGCAAATGTTACCAAAATTGTTCGTGGATCCAATAGCATGATAGTGGTAGTAAGCTCCACGGACAATAATAATGTAGTGTTAGCATTACTGCGTTGTTTTCGCAGTTTAAACATTTTTTTAATTTTAACATCTCGAAAATTTATTTAAACACAATTGTCCATTACGTACATGAATAATGCATGAATAAAACATGAATAAAAAGTCAATAAATATGATCTACTTTGAAAAGCGCTAACAAGTATAGCCATAAAAATATCTTGTCATTTAACACTAAATATCACAAAGTGATCCGTAGAACTTAATTAAGCGGTTAATAGAAAAACACAATACCAATTACAAAACCATATTGATATTCAGCATTCCCTTAAAAAAGCGATAAAATTGAACTTGTTTTGATCTCGTACAGATTTTTATCTGAAATATTTTTCCGAAGAATGTATCTTGTCCGAGATATTTTAGTCAGGCGTCTAAAATAAGTTTAACAAGCTTATATTGCGTAATACGTAAAGCATCATGCGGAAACGTTTTCCCTATGTTTTTTTGTTATACGCGAACGGTATTTTCGCATTGTCAATAAAATGTTACAACTTTACAGTTAATTGCGAAGTCGCAGTTTTTATATTTCATTGCGAAGGAGGAACGCTGATCGTAAATCACTTGTCGCTTGTATGAATATGCGTGTACACGCGCAGTTCTACCAATATACCGCGACGGCATAAGTGGCAAAAAGAAAAAAGGAAGAATAAGAAAAGAGATCAAAGTCTCTCAAGAGCTGATTAGTGATGCGTATTGCTGATAGATTCATCAGCACGTTGCGCATATTCGACGTGCTTCAGCGAATGAATGTCAATCGCCAATTTTTATCTTTATCGTCTATGTAGATACGATGTCTATATTTACATAGATAATATGATATAGATGTATGTACTCAAACATAAATTTCCTTGGGGTGACCATATCCCAGTCATAAAAAAGGAGTAAAAGACGGATAAAAAAAAGTGTATAAAAGAGTACTAATTACGGTCCCAAAAGAGTATAGTAAGTAGAACACAAAATCATATAAAAGTCAAGGTGACGTCAAATAATATAAAAATTGTCATTTTGACGTCAAAATGATTTTGTGTTTTATCTGGGACAATGGATTACTAGGTATAATATTTAAAATAAAACATAGTGGGTACTAAATAAACCAAGAAATATTAGTCGAACACATATATTTTATTATATTATTAAAATATTTTATAATTATATTTTGCACTACATCGCTTAACAATTTCGGTTTTCACTGTTGTTCACCAAAGAGCGGACATCAATGCCGTTTTCCGCGCTCATAACGCCAGAGCGCTACGCGCCAGTGTCGATTATGATGCACGATTTATAGTACCTAGCAGGGCACCGTTGCGCAGAACCTCCACGCATAATTGGTATTAGCGCTCGCGGCGTTCAAATGCTGTGAGTGATGAAAACGTCACCGAAGTCTGTTCTCTGGTCATTATCGACAAAGTATAATTAACATTACGAAAGAAGAGTACATACAAGAGTATGATACGTAAAATGTAGAGAGTACTCTTTTTACCACCTTAAAAAGAGTATATATAGTCTTAAAAGAGTACATATAGTCACCCTACTTGGGAGCATCCTTGACCGTAGTACAAATGTTAAGTGGCGATATTTGACTTGTTTTATGTGCAAATTTTAGGATAAAATGCTGCAGAGATAGTACTTAAGCAGGATACCGAGTTTCCCAAGTCCAAATATCAGAAACGGAGTCATCAGCCAGTATACCAGGTGAGTTGATGCGATATTGTTATGATTTTTCGTCAGACGAATTTTCGAGTGTGATACAATCACAATTATAAGCCTATTCGTTTTGTCTGCACTGCTGAATTGATGCAACAAGCTGAAGTGAGAAAAACTACATTTGTCTCACTTTAACTTAACGCACTAGTTCAGCAGTACAGACAAAACGAACAGGCTTTATGTATGCAAGGTGCAAAACTGCATCGTCCTTCATTTTGCGACAACAATTTTAATGTCACCATCGACTGATGTCACTGCTGACGAACTGTTCTGAAAAGTACCATCTTGATGAAAAAGGGAAAATGTATTTTTAAAAAACAATTGTTAAGTTTATATTTTTTATCGCATAGATATATATATATTTCTTTGTTAGGATGTATATATAATTTTGTTATAAATTATTGTCTTGCTGAGTCGCTCCTAATTGTAAATGGCTTCTTTTTTTCAAAAAAACATTGAAGTTTAATAGTATATGAAAAAAAGAACGTGCATTCGTGTGAACATGCATAGATTGTGCTATTATCCGAAAGAAATCTTCTTTGACGTTATATCTACTTCCAACACAGAAAACCGAGAATTTTGTGTTATCTCTCGTAATCATTAATTATTTTAATTTATTTATTTAATTTATTAATTATATTTATATTGTAATTATGATAAGCCATCAGTGACAATGCTTATTATCTCACGTTATTTTACAAAAAAATTTATAAACTGCACATGTTGAGCGTTAATGTTAGAGATTGTTCGTAAAAGGATTTGTCAGTTCGTCCCTTTGAGGCAGTCGTTTATTTATGCTGGGATATATTTGACGCTGTAAATGATACACAAATAACTACATGATTTTGTCACATTAACTTCATGGTTGCATTATTTTTATTGATTAAACTGTCCGACAAATTTTGATTTCCCTTGTTCCACGAATACAAATAGTCATTTCTCAATTACCTTTGGCCGCTAAACACGAATTCGTCATCCTATTATATTTACAATTTTGAGAAAATATAAAATAGCACTAAATGATAATCTTGTGGGATTTTGTGACGTTATAGCAACGCTAGAAAGTTTTCTTTTTTATTTTCATCAATGCCATATCAAAATCTTACTGTCGCACAATCAACGACATCGTTATGGAAACAAAAAAACGCATTTTAAATCTTAAGGTTCATATTTTCATATAGCATTAAAAAAGAAAATTTTCTACTGCTAATCTCTTAAAATCTTCTCAAATCGTCGGTTTTGTGATCTGTGATTTTTTTTCTTTAATTGTGGCATGATAGCCAAATTTGAGCAACGGATTCGTACTTCACAGTTAAAGATATGTTAGAAATGGTTATTCGCATTCGTGAGACAAAATGATGTCAATATTATCGAGGCAAAGTTTTCGAGGGAGAAAATGTTCGAGAAAACATTTTGCAAATGTATGCATTCGATTACAAGTATCGTTTTATGAATGTATTTTTTATTGTAACATATTTAATAAAAGTTTCGAATTTCTGCATTTGCTTCTGATATCATCAGTCAAGATAATTACGAAGAGGCATGTGTCTTCCGTAAACACTTTTGTACAAACAAGAAATACTGCTGCTGCTTGCATATTTTTAGACATCGCAAAGTGTTCCCACCTGCGACTAACAATATGACAATTATAAACAGCTACATTTGCACACGATAATCTATCGTTTCTCGTGTCTAAAGAAAAAGATCTCTCGCGGAAATGCAGTCCGTCCGTTCGCTGTTTTTTGATCATTATTAAATTCATTCTCTCTTCCCTCCTCGATCTTCTTTTATTCACAATATGCCGTTGCGTCACAGCGTACCTTATATAAAGTGGATAATCTTCGTTCGTTTCCGTATAACATTTATTCCATCAGGTGACCAAATATCGAAATGTCGCCATTACGTGTTTGCTTATTCGCGCTCCTCGTCCTCGGCGTCGTAGGATCCAATGCTTCCTCAAACATTGATTGCAGTAAGAAGGTAAAAGATGGCTCTGATTGTGCTAATCTGTCATTCGCTGAGGAAGTTTTGAAAAAAATAGATAAAATTGCGGAAAAAAAAATGGGAATGGTGAATCAACTTTTGGACAAATTCAATCCAAAAAAGAAGAATACATGTTTGGGTGATTTTCTAAATAAGCACAAGGACAAATTCAGACTAATTTTTCCAGGTAGGTAATCCGAGATCGTTGCATATTCCATAAACGAGGACAAATTTATAAGAATAGAAGGAAAATTTTAGATATATTAAAAATAAGCTTTTCACGAAAAAATAATCACTTCGCAAATATCTTCTCCGACAGGTTTGACAAATATTACCGATTAACATACGACAAGATTTGCGTGTTACAATGTTATCAAAATGTTAAAAATATTTTAAATCGTGGATAATTAGAGAAATGTCATGTTGGTTTGTAAGTTGGTTATTGTTAATCGATAAGAATAATTTCCCAGATAAAATAAAATGATAATACACGAGAAATGATATTTATCGGATGCGCAATAATATATTATGTAATAACATATTCCCGGGTTTTTAGATAAATTGAGACGATTATATTCTAGTGTCATTATAATTTTACAAGACAATGTATGCAGTAGATGGTAGAAAATCATAAATCAGAACGGTGTTTATATATTATTTTATTAATATCATAAAAATATAAAAATACAATTTCATTTTAGGAGAAAAATTAGAAATTATGTTTATTACATAACTGAATAGAACATTTCGCTAATTGTCCATGATTTTAGATATCCTCAACACTTTGCTAATATTGTAATATGCAAACATCGTCGAGTGTGAGAGAATCGATAATACTCGTGAAATCTTCAAGATAAAATTAAATTTTTTCATAAATTAAAAAAGATGAGAGAGAGAGAGAGAGAGAGAGAGAGAGAGAGAGAGAGAGAGAGAGAGAGAGAGAGAGAGAGAGAGAGAGAGAGAGAGAGAGAGAGAGAGAGGGAAATATAATGCGACTAAAACTTTAAGTATTTAAACCTTTTGTGTACTTACCGCTTAACAAGTATATTATTAATTTATTAACTTATTTTTTACGATAAAATTATCTGTCATTAATTGACATATTCATCTTACATGTAATAGATATAATAAGAGGTAAATCGTCTTAAATAAAGCTTTCTGGCGATGTATCGTCTTTTCTTCTTTTTTTCTCTTTTTTCTCTTTTTTTGTTTATATAATCGCACAGGAAGAAATCCGTAAGCTAAAATTTTTATACCGCTGAATTTTTACAGTAATTATTAGCACAGTTCTATCCATGTACGCTTCAAAATTTTGCGAAAAAATTTGGGCGGGATTTTAAAACAAGATAAAATATAATTTATTTTTATTCGATAACACATATTGTGACTGACCACATAATTATTTGCATAAATGTATGCATACATGCATATGAACATGTGGACCGAGCTGGTTTAATTATGTTCCGTCGTTATTAATTGACATTGTTTCTTGTCTTTGCTTTTTTCTATCGTGTCACGACAATACGCACGTCAGGAACGAAATGGTGCGGCGATGGAGATATAGCAAAAAGCGAAGATGATTTAGGCCATTTCATTAAATTGGATATTTGTTGCCGGGGACACGATCTTTGTCGCAATGATATTGCGGCCGGAGAAAAAATGAAAAATCTCTACAACACCGGTATTTTCACGAGGTTCGAAAAAAATCTCATAAATAAAACTGTGTTGGACGTTATCCAATTGAAAAATTTTGGTCGAAGTAGTATGATAAAAATATACATCAAATAAAACTTGATTACACATAATAATTGTTTCAATTGATTACTTTGGTCTGATTTATCATATACTGATTAATAATTGATTTCATCAATCGATTGAATTACTCATAATTATATTGTGACGATCAATTAATTTTTATTATTGGTCTGCGAATTATTTTAGTCCCGTAAGTTCCTTTCATCAGTTGATACTCAACACTGCGCTTTTGCAATTATATATTATAATTACAATCTGATATAATTAAAATTTATAAGTTATGTCACTTGCAATATAGCTTATTATATACAAATCTATTTTACAAGTTAATTGTAATATATATGTATATAGTGATTATACCGAGTAGGAGAAGTTACCAGAGCTCATTGTCTTAATCGAATAATTTATAATCGATCCGTGGAGATCGCATAGCATATCAAACCTTTTGTAATCTTCTCCTAACAGATCTGCTTGTTCTTGCGATGCAGAATTCTATAACTGCCTGAAAAAAGGAGGCAACTCGCTCTGCGACTTTGTTGGAAAAACGTATTTCAATATATTGCAACCGCAATGCTTCAAATGTGTATGCCCGGAAAATTGCAAGTGAGTCAAATTACGAGGATAAATGGCATTTTATATGTTACCTATTCTATTTAATTCTAATATTCATTCTAATGTTCATTGATTAAAATTAATATCAATCAAATATAATGAAATGTTGCTTTCAGAGAGGATGAAAAGGACTGCATGGACAACTGCGAGAGATATGAATGGGACAAAATTCACAAATACTGATTTTCCAATATCAGATCAACTCTGGAGAAGGGTCTTTATATTTGATTCTGGATAAAGTCATATATGGAACCGCTTTTACGGATTCAGCCTACAATGGATGCACCTACAATTGTTGGACTTTCGCTTTTAACGTTCTTAATACGCTTTTAATAACCTTAATCTTTATTGGCGACTTTAAGTTCTTGAAAATTTGCAATTTCATGTAACTAATGACGGTTATATTGTCATTTTAACAGCCAATACAAAATCTTAATTTTCGAGTTGAAATCGTCGAGAATAAACTTCAAAATTAGAATTAATTATTACTCTCAGAGAGGCTATTAATATACATACCGTATTATAAAGCTGTACGACTAATCCTACGGTCATTGATTGAAGATGGTAACGCGAAAAACGATATATGTAATGTAAATAAAATAAAACTTGAGCATCATAGATGATTGTGTACGTCATTTATCCCACTCTTTTCAACATCTTTTATCATCTTTTATTGCTCCTGTAAACCTCATTAATAATTTTTTAGTAAAGGCGAAAGGAATTGTCGTATATTTTTTTCCTTTATATATTACTCTTTTGTTTATTTATCAACATTCCATACTTAAATTTCAATCATTCCGTAAGTAACATTTGGGAAAAACATACATCACCAACTTTAATATGAAACATCCAACGTTTCTTGATGTTACTTAAAATTTTCGTTTAATATAACTCAATCGTGTCTTTCAGCGGCACGCCTCTTTTAATGTAGTGCGGTATTGTTTTAGGAACCATGCTAAAAAGACAGATATAGAAATAGATAAAAACAAAAAATAAAAGATTAGATCTGTTTACCTCGATAATTAAGAATACACAGTGAAAAATAAAATACTTGTTCGTGCAAATAAGTATCAGACGAAAAGTCGATAACAAATAATATCTTTGTTATTGCAACGAAACATTCTCATCATTTAGCTATATTAACACTTCAGCTACATTAACTTTCGGCTATATTAACATTCGGTTAAGATAATTGAGAGTAATTGACTGAATAAAAACTGTTACAGGAATTTGCCTATTCGCGCAGTCGAGTTTTCGTCTGATCTACAAAATAATAGAAAATTCAATGGCAGTAACTGACATTGCTTTTTCCGCATAAGACTAAGACCGATTACATGAAATTATATTCGTATTTCAAACTCACGTGATGCAGTCGATAATCGGACAAACGGACAAACAAAGTGTGCAGCCGGTACAATCGTCTGTCACCTTGGGGATATGGGTGTCGGAATCGAAGGTGATAGCTTGATATCCAGAATCCGCGCAGGCCATATAGCACTTTCCGCAGTTGATGCACATATCCTGAAAAAAACGGTGCAATACATAAACGTGTTATTGTTAACGTCATCGTTAATGTCGTTAACGTTATTTCAGAAATATCGCTGTAAAGTGTATTTTCGATCATTTTCTTTTTCTGTTTTTCTTATTAGGCAAATAATGCAAGTAACTTCTACATACATCATCGATCAAAGCGACGACTTGCTTTTTGTTGTCTAATTCTTTGTAGCTGCTGATGTTATCTAACGTTTTGCCGATTACATCTTTAACGCTGGGTATCGACGCGATCGGTGCTGAAGCTGGTCGTGTTACCTCCAGAACTCCGTCCAGAAGATTCGAATTTACTTTCAGCTCGGCTATTTTCTTCTCGCGCAGCTTCTGATACTCGCCGAAGTAAGGTACATTCTGTAAAAAATGTTTACTCAAATATATAATATCTCTCAAATAATAATATAATATAAAATAATAATAATAATATAAAATAATGTGTTGCATAATGTGTGTAAAATAATGATAAGTACTAAATAATATATGAGATGATATTAAGTAATATATAAGTTAAATAATATATATTTTTCGTAAGAACACTAATAACATTTACTTTGCCGAGAGCGTGTTGCAAGGAGACAGGCTTGCCTTTTTGATGTTTGAACGTCGGTGGACTCTGACCGTCCCAGTCCTTTATGTGTGCCAGGCTTTTCAGGTACAGTAACGTTTTCAAGCCGGTTACATAATCGTCTATCAAGGTAAAATCTTGGTTCTGAATAGCGCTGCCAATCTGAGTATCATATATGCATATTTAAGCAATGCTTTCTTTTGCACCTTTTTAATTAATACCTTGATTCAATCTACTTAACTCAATTACTTGATCTAATCTATTGTAGTTCATTTAAGCTTAATCTAGTGTCTCCTTGAGACTAATATCCGTCTACTGCATGCAAGTCGCAGAGTGATTCACCTGAATGACCGATGCACCGCAATGCAAAAACTGCAGAGCGACATCGGCCGAGTCGATACCTCCAATCCCGAGTATCGAGAATCCCGGTAGCTGCTTCGAGATTGTCGAGACAGCCCTCAGAGCTTGGGGCCTGGTAGCGTTGCCTGACACTCCGCCGTACGTAGTGAATTTGGAGTCGACCGCCGGCCACGGTATCCCGGTGGAACGCAATCCCATCAATCCTTGCACGGTGTTGATCGCAGACACACCATCCGCTTTACCTGTGTCAAGCGTCGCATATATTAGGCAGATATTATATCAAACTTATTATATATGAATTTCTTAAGAATTAGGTCCAAAAATTTAGTAATCGTATAAAACTGTGACAATCGTATCAAATACAACCATTTTTGAGGAAAAATACTTTTCCCCCAGTTAGTAACAAATCATTGATAGAACGTTCTTGCAATGATATTTAATAGCGCCTAATGTTTCCTAATATGTAATTTTTTAACGTTATTTAGTATTTTTAAAATATTTTTATAATATTTGATACGATCGTATTGTCTGGTGATATTTTTAAAACATCTTGGCAATATTAAGTAAAAATATTCGATAAATACATATAAAATAAAAATTTCAAGATATTGACCTAATGTTTTTTGTTCACTAAGCTCCTTTCTCTCTTTCTCTCCTCTTATCTTCACAGTGTACCTCAATTGAATTTCACATTAATTTGGTAATAATTTCGATTACCCTCGTAAGCTGCTTTTGCGATGGAGACGATGTCAGTGATATTAGGTGTTAATTTCACGAAGAATGGTATTTTGATGGCCTCGCGAACCCATCTGGAGATGTTCCTAACCAGTTCAGAATCCTGTACAACGGTCGCAATGTGATTCATTTAAAAATTTTAATTTCTCAATCCATAATGAACGTACCTGTCCGCAAGCCAGACCCATTCCGGACTCGCCCATGCCATGAGGACAAGACAGATTTAATTCCAAGGCATCAGAACCGGCTACTTCCGCTTTTCTCGCAAGCTCGGTCCAATCAGCTTTATTATACGTGCACATGATACTTGCAATAACGATCTACATAAAGATATTATAATATCAAGTAGTAGAAGCCTTGGACTCACTACAACCACTGATTTATATCACTTTCTCTTTGATATATTTTCTAATATTATTTTATATATTATTTTAATAATATTTAATATAATATAATATATAATAATAAATTAATAATATAAACATAATAGTTTAAATACATGACGTTAATATATAATAAATAAATATAAGAAATATGAAAATATAATTTTATATTATATTAATATCATCTCTGTGTGTGAGAAGAAAAGTAGAATATGTACCTTCGTAGGGAAGTCCCGTTTCAATTCAGTAATACTTCCACACCAATAATCGGCGGTTTTCTCGGATATTAGCTCGATGTTTAAAAAGCTGCTTTGTCCAGGTCCATAATAATGACCAGACGTCGTGCCTTTGACGATGCGGGGCGACACATTGGTAACAAGGTCCTAAAATAGAAGATGAATTAGAGAAGTGAAATATTATTTTATGCTTTGTTAAGGGTGCAGTATATAGCAAAATACTTTGTCCAAGGAGAACGTCTTCGTGACGGCGAAGGCCCAACCAGCTTCGAAAGCGCGTCGGATCATCGCGCTGCTCGTGCAAGGTGGTGCAGAAGCCAGACCGAAAGGATTCTCGAATCTCATCCCGCACATTTCGACGCTGAGATCGACCTCGTCAATGGCAGTGTGGAACTTGGGTAATTGCGGAATTTCCGGTACCACTGAGCCGTGAGATTCCTGAAAAAGAGATATGAAAGAATTGTTTCATCAGCAACGTAAATTATTTTACTAATATTGAAGGATAAGAAAACAAAGCAATGTATGCAAATAAAATTTTGCTTTGTACATTCTGCAAATTCATTGAGATAATACAGTAAACTAAGAATATTAGATTAACATCTTGAAATATTGATTCCATTATATTTAATAACGTTCCTTCCATGTATCGGATAATATAATATGTTAGAATATTATAAAAAGATGTTTCAAAATTATTAATTATATTCGTAATGATGTCGATACAACGTTAAGAAAATACATATAAGGAAACGTTATACATTATTGGATTTCATTGAAATAATGTTCCATCGATCATTTTTTAGCAAGTGCGAGCTATGGGTTTGCTTTTGTTACATCATTTGTTAAACTTGTTACTTGGTTCATCCATCATTTGTTCATATAGCGTTCTGTTAGAATTCAGTTTGAATAATATTTTTAACTTCCGTAAAGTTCCACAAAAAGAGCCATGCCAGCTATAATTAATGCAGATGTAACGCTAATTGATGATATGCACCTGTATGTACTTATGAATGTACCATGCAGCTGTCTTTCCGTCATTCACGGACTCCACAGTTGTCTGAGAGACACCAGCAAGGTCTCCCCCGCAGAAAACACCTGATACGGATGTTGTCATCGTAGCCTCGTTCACTTCTGGTAGATTCCACTTGTTTATCTTGACTGGTGCCATAGCACGCTTAACTGTTTACATTATAAACATAATAACTTTTTGTAAACGCAATACCTCTTGATTTGTCTTAAATCTCTGTTGCATTTGCTTTTTCTCGACTGACTGATGTAAAAAAATGAATTGCTCACCAGAACTGTTATACAATCCTGAACCGAAAGCTGAAATCACAAAGTCCGCTTTTAATTTAAACATTTGTTCTTCGTCCTCTATCCATTCGCCGTTCTCATTTTGCTCGGTCCGACAAAACTCGATTCCGGTGATTTTCTTGTTACGGAGGATGACTCGTTTCGGCGATTGGAAGGATATGAATTCGCATTTCTCCTCTTTCGCTAAATCAACCTGAAAATTATTTTAGAATTTTTCAAAAAGTTTCATATTCAAGCAGCGTTAAACTCTAAAAATTCTAAGATTAATTCTTTTCAGTCTTATGTCGACATATTGCGTTTAGATCGCGTTACATTCCAGTTGATTCTATAAATTAAATTTTTATTTATTAATAATATAATCAATTTAAATATATCATCGTACATGTATACGTTGTTGCGTTAATGAAATACTGAAATATTGAAATAAGTGTTTAAATAATTAGAGTTATTGTTTTGTAACAGCAGTTACAGATGTGATTACCTCTTCTGGAACCGCTCGGATATTGGTGAAACCTTTTCGGAAAACGACAAACACCTTCTTGGCTCCACATCTAAGCGCGGAAGTGGCGCAATCGAAAGCGGTGTCTCCTGCACCGAGGACGATTACGTTGCCACGGAGAGATGGCAGTTCCTGATAACTTTTGCAAGCACACATTCCCAGTTTGCTGCTTTTTGCAACGGCAGGTAAGAAACTTTTCGAAGTATAGAAACCCATCTCTGGAGTGAGATTTTCGAAAATTGGTATACTCTTCGGTTCAGGTAACCCGATTCCTAGAAAAATCGCTTTGTATCCAACATTTTGCAGTCCCTGAAATATTTCAAACATTTATTTTCTGCTACTGAGAATTAATCGAAAGTTAAATTACTATCTAATTTTTTCAATTATGTAGTAGAAAGTACAAATTACAAATTGAATTTGCTTCTTTTTCTGCTACAAACTACATTCTTTGCGATATTTTTAGTTTACGAGGAAATTTTAGTTTTACCTGAATCGTGAGATCGTCTTCGCATAGTGATCTTCCTAACTCAATCTTCACGCCTAGATCCCTGACGAGATCCACCTCAAAATTGACGACATCATACGGAAGTCTGTACTGCGGTATTTCGGAAGAGCTTAATCCGCCGATGTACTTTTCCTTCTCGAAGATAGTAATATCATCGTAGCCAAGTCGAGCGAGAAACGTTGCGCAGGAAAGAGAGGCTGGCCCACAACCGAGCAGAGCGATCTTCGTATTTGCATGAGATACCGTTTGATTAGGTATTCTAATTTGCGGGATATTCATTCGTTTAAAAATCTGAAAGAGAAATCGATGTACGTGAAAGTCACGCAATACACTGAGAAAAAAATGTTTGGTATTTATAACTACAAACGCATAGTGATAGAATTATAGTCAGGGGAGAGCTATTTTTGTAATAAGTTATCACTATAAGATCAGCGATAATAACCATATATATATATATATATATATACAATTCAAATTTTATAGATATAACATGAAATTTCGGTTGAACGATTAGCTCTTACTTAACTTCATTATTTATCTTCTTAATTGTGTATTTTTAAAGTTTAGTTATTTCAAATATCTTTGATAGATCCAGAATCACTCAAAGGCAATAATCATTAAGTGAGTGTCCTTTCTACGCTCGAATGTAAATGCAATTACTATATAATATTTCAATGTTATTGTACATCTACTGCGAAGTGTTGAAGACCGCCGATGTTAATAGGTCCCTCCTCCGTCGCGTAGAGATTGCATCCGCCCACGCAAAGGTCGCTGGTCGGGCAAACCATGCCGCAGGTGAGACCAAGTGGGTTGTCCGAGAGAATCGCCTTAGCCGCGCCATAATAATTCTTATTGGATATGGAAGTGATGAAGGACTTGATATCCAATTGCGTCGGGCAGGATTTTTGGCAGGGTGCGTCGACGCACTTTAAGCAACGCGCCGCTTCTTTCAAAGCACCACGCTCGCTCAGAGTGGTATGCTTGATGTCATCAAAGTTCTTCGTCAAAGGTGCGCAACCCTAAAAGAGAAATAAAAAAATATTACCCGCGAAAAGATGATTACATACTATAATTATATAAAATTATAAATTGTTATGTGTGAATTATATATAATTGTACGACCAACATTCATGAATCTTGTCTTTGTATGAACACATAATTGATCATATATGATTAGTTATTTTCTTAATGAAAAAGATATAAACAAATACAAAAAAAATATAAGAAAGTCGAATGAAAAAAGAAATAATAAGTTGATTCCATTAACATCGTTGACATCGTGGGCTGTCACAAATATTTCCAGACAGTAGAAATTTTTTAAAAAACGTTTTAAAGACGTCTGAGAAAGAGCTGTCTGAGAAAATAAGTCGTCTTTTAAACGGTTAGGAGACTTCTTTTAAAAGTTTATGATTATATTTAGCCATATAGAAACAAAATTCATGCACAATTATTTGGTGCCGAGGAAATGATCTTCGATAAATTTATTATTAAAATATTCTTCCAGAGCATTTTGTATTTTTCCACCCATTATATAAATTTATATGATATATCTTGTACGCGGTTGGATAACGTTGATTTGAAAAATTAAATCTCAGATACCATAAAAATTTTAATCGCTACCAGTATGTATGTACAGATAACGGATAAAAAATATTATATTCAATTCAGATATCCTTCGACTGTGTCTATCTTCTTTATATCAGTATACACTTTTAGAATCAGTATATATCCCGCATGTTCATTCGTTATTTAATAATTAATAAATGCTATAAAGAAAGAAGATTCGAAAAAATTTCTAAGAGAACGCATGACGAAGATTGAAATCTTATTGGCCGAATTAATTTTAGCGTAGACACATCTGAGGGAAATATTATATAATAGAATACGATATGCAGTCGTAAATCTTTCATTTCAAGTATTATTCGTATCGCCGAAATTTATGACACTCTTCACACGTGACAATATTTAATCAGATAAATAACGCTTTAAGATATTAATTTTGTTAAACTTATATCTTATATTAAATATCTCTAGCATATCTAAATAACATCAATTTCATCATAGGGCAATAAATTTAATTCAAATAATCTTACATCACATTTATCGTAGATATTCCTCTTCCAATGCTGTTTGTTCTGTTTGGTGCGCGCGGATGGTGCAAAGTTTGTGTAATTCTTTATTCTCGGGTTAATATTTAGCAGATTCTGAAAATTTCAATTCGTATTATTAGTCATAAAAACAAAATGCTAACAGTGTTTTTTCGTAAATCTCATCTAATCACAATCAAGATAATAACAGTCTGCAATAACAGTTCGAAACAATAGATAATTGAAAGACATTAAAAATATAAGTTAATCTTTCTAATATTGTTAAGATTAATACGCTGAGATTTATGAAAGTTAAATTTTAAGAGGTTCTTAGAAAGTTTCCATATGCTGTCTGTTTCATAAAGAAACTAGAAAGAATAGAAAAAACAAAACCAAAAGTAAACGTGTAGAAAAATTTACCTTGTATTAATGTCTAAAAGGTATTTCAGAGACGTTTGAAAGATACTTATTTTACATATCTTTAAGATGTCTTTAAGTTGTTTTTAGACATATTTGAGACATTTGTGTCGTTTGTTTAAATTAAAGAAAAAGATAAATAAACTTTCACGTTGCGTGAAGAAAAATACGATTATATACGTTACAATTTTTTCTTTAATTTTTCAGACCTTTGTAACCATCTCTCTTTCGAAATTTGAATTACAGGAGTCATTTTATACATAGAATCATTAAAAAGGACGTTCTCCGTATCAAGAAGTTACACTTACTTCGATATCAGGCACATCTTTGCTCAATATTGATAACGACGCCATATTTCATGCGATATGTCGACTTGCGCTATTACGTAGCAGTTATGCACAACGAAGTACCGGAGAAAGCAAAATACTTGGAGTGCTACAGTAAATTCGAAGTAACAGGTAACTGAAACAACTCGCTTCAAGTTTACCTGCCGCAGAAACCGACGAATGTTGTCGAGACACTGACGGATGTTGTCTATTCACTCCAGTTAATCTGTACTGATTAGTCGCATGCTCGCGTATCAGTTATGACGTTGTGCTTATGACTCGCGCAACATATCATATTGACAGCAATGCGAATTAAAATAGAACTTCTTTGAAAAACACCCAGTAGATGCTAAATATATACTGCATACGAAAGAAATTGTGATGTTTAATGTTTACAACATTTCGAAGAAATTCAATTTGTGCTGAATTTTACGATATTCTTATCTTATTCATATCGTCTTGTCTTATCGTTTAATAATTAAAGTGAAAAAATTGCTCTATTAAAGCTGAGCGTATTTATTTTGAGCGTGAACTTGAAGAGCTCTGTTCATCCAGCAAACACAATGTAACATGTAACATACTTGTTAATTGTAATTTCTTATTCAACAATGTTATGTAATGTAACTATTATATAACATATGTAACTATTATATAACGTATGCATTTACTGGACATGTTTAGCATTGTGCGCAACTTACATGAAAAATAGAACATAGGAGCGAACTCTCGGCGATGCTTGAAATAAACCAGTTTCATATCAACATTGTACTTATTATTCAGATAAAATAAAATACTCCGAGGTCGGTCTGAATGCACTCAAAACATCCTATAACATTTTTTAAAGCACCTTGGACACATTTAGAGTAATTTTGCGACATCTTGTACTATCTTGATAGAACTTATTAAACTGTAAACTTTTATCAGTATTTACTTTGTCTCGTTGCTCCACACACACAGAACTACTTTGACAGCAAAGACAACGGAAACTACCGGAGATAGTCTCGTGTGATTAATTATTTCTAATGATTATACATCGATTGCTTTCGTAATCACGTGTAATTGTAATATTTGCGATTTGTGTGTGTAAATTGCGCACGGTACGACAAGAGCAAAAGCGATACGATTGATTATAAGTTGTAGTTCAAGCGAGCTTGTAATTTTCGTCTTAGAAATTCTGCGATGGAATTTCTCGCGAATTAGAGGATAGCGTCTAATATTATGGGAGTACGTGGGAGTAATTTCATCGATTCCGGGATGCGACAAACATACGCTTATGACATATTGTATCCGTTCGTCTCCGCAAATTGTTACGGAATTATTACCGGAACTGCAAGACGAAACGTCACGTGATAAGAGATAGCTACAATCTCACAAGTAACTTTTACGCTTTATAAATGTTGCATATAGCACATTATATGAAGTGTGCATGTCAACTGGGTAAACATTAATCAACAGTTAATGTTATATCAACAACGTAATCTCATATTTAATAATGTAAGTGTAATTTTTTTAACATGTTGCATATAACAGTTACGTTTGTTAAGTGAAAAATTATAACATCGATTAATGTTACGGTTACTTAATGTTTACCGGGGATGACATTGGTGTAATAAACAAGTAAATGTTTAAATCAAACGTCGCAGGGCTGTCTTACTTTTAAACGGAAGACGATGTCCTCGAAGCGACCGCGAGATTACGAAAGAACGAAAAACAATTACGCCGAATTTCCATTTGCGGATGAGTCTATCAATTGTTTATATCTTGGGCACATGGCCACCGCGCGCAGGAAAATATCGGATTTTATATTTGTTCTATACCGCTTGTATCTTCACCTTCATGCTGGGTGTCTTCCTCGTTACTGAGATAGCGAACCTGTTTCTAAACTTGGGAGATCCCGTAAAGATAATCGCAGGTGCGACTCTTCTTATGACGAATTGCATCCACGCTTCCAAGGTAAATGTAGTCATCCTTCCAAATGGCCACTGACGATGTTTTGAAAGAAATAACGGATATAAATAAAAAATATATATATATTTTATGTAGTGAATAATACAAATAATATATACTTTATAATAAATAATAAAGTTAGAAAAATTCATTTTCTGAATTTTATTATAAGGTATATATATTTTATATAATATTTTATATAATAATATACGTTGTATAATTATATATATTGTATACAAAAATGTATAAAATTATAAGAAAACAAAAAATTTTAATGTGCGATGGCCGGGAATCGAACCCGGATCAACTGCTTGGAAGGCAACTATGCTAACCATTACACCACCATCGCACGTTGATACTCTCACCAACGTTTATACCTGATATACCTCTTACTTATCGTTTACCATGATCACTGTAGAAGAAACCAGTTTCTCCATTTCAAATAAGACCATGTACAACTTTCAGTACACTATGCCTATTCTACAAACTGTATCTGTTGTAAGATATCGAGTACCAACGTGCGATGGTGGTGTAATGGTTAGCATAGTTGCCTTCCAAGCAGTTGATCCGGGTTCGATTCCCGGCCATCGCACATTTAATATTTTTTTATTTTTACAATGAACAAGGTTCTATAAACTAACTACGGTAATTTTTTCGCACGTACGATCGTTTGCTCATGGCGGCATATTCAGGTGATCATCCTTTTATGTCGTCAAGCGCGAATTCAAACGCTTTTGGATTCAGCCAACAGTCGCGCCTTCAATTGCCATGACAAAGCGCATCGAAATCTTCTGATGAAATACACATGGAAGGGTCTTTTGCACCATGCAACCTATCAAAGTTTCGGTGCAACAGCGGTACTCTGCTGGGGCTTCACTCCCATCGCTGACCTGATTGCCGGTCGTGCGCGCAGATTGCCGATGGAGGGATGGTACCCTTACAACGTGACGAGAACTCCAGCTTTCGAAATCACTGCGGGGCATCAGGGTGTCGCATGTATAATCGCGTGCTGCCATAATGTAGCAATGGATACGCTAATCACGGGTTTAATTACAGTCGCTTGTTGCCAGCTGGCTATATTAGAACAAAATATTATCTCGATAGATAACAAAAGGAGCATCCATGATCCCAATGCTCTCCTCCATATTCCCAATGCTAAGAACGAATCGAACGAAATCTCAGAAAATGAGCATCTGTCTTATCAACAACTCAAACGAGGCGTCATGCATAACAATATGATATTTTAGTAAGATCAACCGAAAAAAAATGATTATAAATTTTGAAATATGAATTCTGTTTCTATGACTATACCCACACAGCACACTTTATCTCAGGGACGTCCGACAGACATCATTCTGGGATACTGCAATATCTTGAAGATATACAAATGTTCGCTGTTTTAGATCCTACAGATATCCCACGGATATCCTTTTTAGTAACTTTAGTTCCTTTTCAGAAACTTTTAGTTTCCAAATATTATTATTACGAGATATCCGTAGGATATCTGTGGGATTTGAAACAACGGACATTTGTATATCCCCAGGATATTATTGTAGGATGTCCTTAGGATAACGTGTGTTGTGTGGGTATGCAATCAAACAGTTAATATCAAACTTTATACATATCCATGTATAAAAGCCAAATTTTATATATCATATATAAAAAATATACATAAAAAATGTTGTAGAAGTATAATTGAGGTAAATGTTTAAACATTTAAATTGCTTAAATTCTGGTAAATGATTTAAATAATTTAGCAAGTAAATTATTTATAACAAACCATGATATCAATTTAACTGAAAAAAATTATTTTTTCTTTTCCTCATTCAATGGTGTTGTTTTCCGTACGCACATACATAATTATATATATGACCGTATAGAGACAAAATTCATTCACGTGAGTCTAATTATATTGAAATTTATTATCGCAGTTTCACGAGGGAAATCCAAGACATCTTCGGCACCGTGATCTTTCTTCAATTTCTTTCCAACTGCGTAATCATCTGTCTAATCGCGTTTACTGTGTCGCAGGTAAAAAGGTCGACTTGTCGCATATCGATTGTGCTAGTATATTTCAAAATCTAACTAGCATTCTGCACTGCAGATGAAGGAATACATCCCAGCAGTGCTTATTGGCATGTTGATGTATATGTGTTGTATGACATACCAGATATTTATCTTCTGTTGGCACGGTAATGAATTGCATCTCCATGTAAGTATAATTTCCTCAATTACAGCATGCTTTGCATTAGATTATACAAACTTTCGATACATCTTGGTTCTATTTAAGATGGTACATATTTCTTTTATTATATATGAAGACCGACACGTTAAAACTAAACTATTGAACTACCAAGTTTGCGTAAAAAAGAAAATCTATCAACATCAACTAATGCGACATATAATAGAAATTGATCTTTCTATACGCGGTTGGGAAATATATATACTTTTCAGAGCTTACGCATAGTTACTGCAGCGTACTCGAGCAAATGGTTCTCGGGAACAGAAGGATTCAAGCGTGGATTACAAATTATGATGACAAGGGCTCATCGTCCGTTCACTCTAAGTGCCGGCAACATCATGTTGCTATCATTGGACACTTTCGTGCAGGTTTGCGATTTGCAGGAAAAATAGCAACTGTAACAGCTGCTGTTTTTACTGTGGATCATTTAACGACTCATCAATATCTATTATCCGAATCTATGACGGACTCAAAACCAATCTCAAACTAATGGTTTTGAAACTATTTGAAGGACTTTTTATATGTTTAAAAGAGACGTATTGAAATACTTGTGACGAAACCAACAGTTACCGTATGTTTTAGATACTAAAGATGTCCTACTCGATCTTTACGGTGCTTCAAAGCTCAGCCGCTTAGGTAAATTCGATGTTAACATTGGATTTAATAGCTATCCTTACCGGATTTCGCATAACTTCTTCTATTCTCCTAAAAGCAACAAGCTAGAAGAAATTATCAATATTTTAGTTTTATTTGTAATTAAATATTTACATATATAAAAATATGTTAAAACTTTTTGTATATAAAAATATTTTTGCCTCTTCTGTATAAATTCTATATAGATTCACGTCTTGCACCGAGTGAATTAAATTACAAAAATATTAACATTGTGATAAAACTTAACACCGATGGTTGCTATTGATTCTGTTCATATAACAAAAATTTCGTTTTAACTTTGGTAGTTTTAATAATTATAACGCCTCTATCATTAAGGCAATGCCTTGGCCACCACCGATACAAGCTGAGCCGATACCTAGTTTTCCTGCTTTCCGTCTCCTGTGAGAAAAAACACAGATACAGGTAAATATATCAATATATAGATAAAAGTATATTCTCATTTTGCTTATGACATTTTGAGAGACGTACCGAAGTTCGTACACTAAGTGAGCGGTGATTCTACTACCAGAAGCAGCTAATGGATGTCCCAGAGCAATAGCTCCACCATTCACGTTCAATTTGTTCAGATCTAGATTAAGTTCCTTTGCGCAGGCCAAAGTTTGAGCTCCAAACGCCTCATTAATCTAACGAAAATGATAAAATAAACGGTAAAACAGTTCAATTTCCCGTGTTATTTATTCTTTGCTCATTTTCACATTAAGAGTACCGTTTCACGAGGCATGATTTTTACCGTATAGATATATATTATAAATCTTACCTCCACTAGTTCTACATCATCAAGAGTTTTGCCTGTAGCTTTGAGCAAGTTCCTAATTGCTGGTGCGGGTCCAATTCCCATAATACTTGGATCCACGCCAATGATAGAATATCCAATTAAACGTGCCAGTGGTTTTAATTTTTCTGTCTTGACGGCTTCTTCGCTAGCTAAAATGACAGCACCTGCTCCGTCAGAAATACCCTACGGGAAACAAAGTCAATTATCATGAAATTATATAGATGAAATATATATCATAAAAGCTGCATAAATAAAAAATGGAGAATCTTTATAAATAAATAAACCGGACTATTCAATAGTCTATATATAGTTTATAAATAGTTGTTGCATATAATCTACTCAGCCGATTAGAAGTTTGGAAGAATTGATAATAAATAATTAGATAAACTAGTTCTTTTATATATGCGAATTAAAAGGAAACGTACTGATGCGGAACCAGCTGTGACTAATCCGTCCGCTTGGAAAACTGATTTCAGTTTCGCGAGGGACTCCAAAGTCGTTTGCGGGCGTGGATGTTCATCTACAGTGACAGTTATATTTTGCTTTTTGACTTTCACTTGTACAGGTGCAATTTCTTCCTTGAAATGGCCCTCATCGTTGGCTATAACATATATATTCTTTTAACAGATCCTAAGGAATCTATAGAGATTTGTCATTTAAAAATTATTTAATTAAAAGAAAATTGACTCAATAAGAAATAAGAAATTTCAACTTAATTGATATCTGGTCGATATATAATTTTATAAAGTAATTATATTATAAATATATTTACCGGATTTCCAACGTTGTTGACTGCACAAAGCAAATTTATCAACTTCTTCTCTCTTAAGGTTGTACATGGCACCAAGTTTTTCCGCAGTCAAGCCCATAGGTAAATTACAATAAGTATCGAGTAATCCTATCCAAAGTGAATCTTCAAAATCCAACTTTTGTCCCAGAACAGTTCCATAACGAACGCCTCTTACAATAAAAGGAGCTTGACTCATGTTCTCTGCACCACCCGTCAAAACGATCTTTGAATCTCCTGCTAAAATACTCTATAACAATACATATGTTAGTACGTTTGTATAGCATCCTATGTATTTTTCAAAATTATCTATTTATTTCCTACAGAAATTCAATATAATATATACAAGATATAATAAATTATAGATAGGTTAAACTATTTAAAAGGATAATATTTATTTATCTTCTACTTCTCTATATAAATTAAATAAAACTATTTTTTGTTTATAAAATCTTTGAACTACCTGTGCTCCATTGACAATTGATTGGAAACCAGAACCACATAATCTGTTTACACTGTATGCTGGTTTTTCAATCGGGATTCCTGATTTCAGTAAAACATGTCTTGCTAGAAGAATTCCATCAGAGGACGATTGCTATAAAACAGAAATTAAATAAAAATATATCATATACATGCTTGCAAAAAAAATTTAAAGTATTTAACCAAAAAATATTAGGTAATAGTAATATTATCGTCAGTGTAATATACGTCAGTGTCATATATATAATCTCCTATTCAACAATGTAAATATAACACATGTATATAACAGTTACATTGTTGAATGGATAATTATAATATTGGTATAATATTATTATTCTTTAACGTTTAATAGATGATAATTCTTATTTACAAATATGCAAATACTTACTGACATGATATGTCCAAACACAACGCTATCAATCTTTTCTGGAGATATCCCCGCTGTCCGGATTGCAGCGGTTGATGCAACTACTGATAAGTCTGTTGCAGTGATGTTCTTAAACATACCCCCCATTGTGCCAAATGGGGTACGCTTTGCAGCAACAATATAAATACCTAGAAGAATCTCAATTAGATAAACCATGTATAAAATATCCAACAGTTAATCTTCGATGGATATTTGGCATATTTTTGAATGACGGTATATTTTTAAAAGGATTTGATAAATGGATTCAATTAACAATAAATATGTATACATATTTCATCAAGATTAATAAACATCAACAATTTAATATTTATATAATTCTTATATAATTCTATATAATTATCTAATTTGTACTTTTTATATTATGTATTTCTTCCTTAAACTTGCTTATAAAAAAAAAGAAATTAATAATTTTCTTGTGAAAATAACGTTACATACATTTCATTTTATATTAATCAAGTATTATTTCTAACATATATTAAAAAAAAACAAATACGATAAATCTACACAATCATTTTATTCGATAAAAAGTGAATAACTTATTTACCACTTTGCAGCTTATCTACCACTTGCAACTGATGTTGTATATTGAATTTCAAACATGTGTTGTTATTCTTTACATTGAATGTTATTAAAAATATTTGTTTCTAAGTACATATGTTTGTTGACAATCATGCATCGCATCTTTGCATTATTTGAAAAGGCGTAAATCATACAGTTGCATCAAAGTGCGGTAGTGCAGCATTTTCTCTCTTGTCTACCACTTTGGATATTTTGCCTCGCAAACGAAACATTTGCTCGTCGAATATTTATTTTTTTTTTTATTATTTATGAGGAAATTGCAAAGTGTTACACAAAATAGGACTTCAATATGAATGATATATAAATGTTTTAATAGCTGTATCAAAGTACGGTAGTGCAACACTTTTAACATTGTGATTTATTAGTGATTATTGTCTGTGATTGGAGCATTCTTTTAGATTCTTCATAGACCCAGAAGTATTTACCAATCAGGAGCGAGAACTGATCACTTTGTTCTGCTGAACGCAGCCATTATGTATAATTCATTACATTCCACCTGATACCACCTCAAAGACGTAATATTTTCTCAGCAAGGCTGCGTTCGAAAACGTCATGTTTCTCGGGTGTTATGTTGGTATGAAAGAGACATAAAAATAAGACAAAGAGGGCGAGTATCCGAGTAATGTTCCCGAACCCGCAGCCCAAATATTGTTGAAGATCTTTTTTTCATTATTTCCAAGTGGAATACAGAAACGGATTATGCAGCTAAGCTAGAAGGCTAATACTGTGGCTGAGTTCCGATATTCACTGCCAGTACTGAAAATATATAGTTTGTGAAAATATATAGTTTGTGTCACGTATGCTATAGATTTTCAGTATTGACAGTAAATATCGGAATGCAGTCCAAGTGAATAACCTTCAGTTGCATCAGAGTGCAATAGTGCCACACTTTTTGTACTACGGTATGATAATTTTTTGATTGAATATTAAAGCGAAGAATAGAGATCATAATCCTTAGTCATAAAATCATAAGTCGTAAAGTTATAAAAAAATGTATCAATCGCAATTGTTTATTCTTCGACTGCAATCGAGGATGATCGATTGGTCAATTTATTATAACCTTATGACGTAGAACTTTACGACTTCTATTGAAATTGAAGGTTCCGCATGTTCGTATGGACGCAAGAGCAGGAAAGTTGGGTCATGCTAATGCAAACGAGCTATATTTTTCATATCTGCAATTTCACTTTGCAAGCGTCATATATCTCGCTTGGCAAATATTTTTAGCGCTTTCCTTGCATAATTTCCAGAGGATATAAATTTGGATTTTGCAATTGGGCCCTTAAAGGTTTATAATAAATAAAAAAATGTTGCACTCCAAATGAAACGCTCACTCTAGTAAATTAAGTGATTCTTATTTCAAACTTTAAAAGAAAAAGGAAAAAAATGATGTTACTCTGCGGGCAATTCTCCTGATCACCAAGTTTCATAATTTTAAAATGATTTTTCCTATATTTTAGACCAAAAATCTACAGACACCTTTGCTTTTCTCGAGGGGTTTTAGGAGAGATCTCAGTGTCCTCTCTATAGACTCTCACACATATACATATACATATGTACACATTGCATCACTCTACACACATATGTAGAATAATATAAAGTTGGCTTTATGCACAAAGCACCGGTCGATGTAGAGCAGATATTTTCGAGCTTTTTCCTACAAAAACTATAAAATAAGCTGCGATTCTTAGTGCAGTAATATTTTTAAACATATATCCAATAATGGATCTATTTCCACAAACACTCGTGTTTTATTTATCAGATATCGATCATTCTCAACGTTCACGAACACCATGCAGTTCTTGTCATGAAATTTTCGATCAAGTATTAGACACGGAGAACTCTAGTTTGTGTGATTAATACGTACCTTTCGTCAAGGCGGACATCGTGACGAATTACGTTTCGGCACAACAATAAGCAATAAACTGACGGTATGATTCCTAAGATCACTAAAGTCAACCTTTCGACGTCTGAGATACTACTGTTACTCGGTATTTATAGAGGTCGCTAATGGAGGAGGGACAATGACTAGTAAATTAAAATTTTTTTTTACATTTATCTCTTATTTCTTATCAAATTTTTGCGTAAACTCACGTGGTGATTTATATGTACTAATATGAACGTGTATTTAACATATCATGTATATTTAAAATATACTTCTAGAACATATATCTACAGAATATATATCTAGAACATACTTTATGGTATTAAATTCTCAATATTTTTTCTTTATCGACACAACATATATATATTTGATGATACACTATGTCGAACGCAAATTCTAATTGTACTTTCCACGTTGCTTTTTTCAAAGCAAGCCTGAATACATGTTTATTGTTAATATTAAATATCGATTGTTAGGGTAAAGTTGAATAAAGAATTACATACGAAATACGCAGTGTATTTAGATCAAGTTTCACGATTCTAATATATTTGTTGTAGAACAAATGAATACAAATTTTGTACGAAAAAATCATATGGAGATAAGTCACTTACCTGATTATCTTTTCAGGAAAAGTTTATATAATTCAAGATTTGGGCTGATCAATCTTTAACATCATACACCATTTGATAATTATATGAGCAATATGTTTTGTAAGAGATTTCTATTTCTCTACCTCAGAGTAACTCTTTATTATTTGCTATAACTATAAATAAAATCACATCACTTAATATTTACACAGTAGTTATTATTTGCTGCTGTAACTTCACAGCTTTATAATTTAGAGACCAATATCTTTCTTTTCTTGAGATATTTGAAATTTTAAATTGCTATTACAAGTGGAAAAAATCCTCAATGTGTATTCGTGTTATTATATCATGAATTATTATGAACATTTAACACGTGTTTCCCATCGGCAATGATCCACTAATATATGTCCGTTCGAAAATATAATTCTGAGATAATCATCGATATACTCTGATATAATTATCAATATAATTACGAGACAGTATTTTCAATGAGAAATAGAAAGCGCTTTCATAATTGGCACATATTTTTTTCTCTCTTTTCCTTAAAGACAAACTTATATTGTACAAAGAATGAATAAGCTAAAAATCGTGGCGTTTGATTTTCTCTCTATTTTTCTTCTCCGTCCTATTGTTATAAATATATAGCGCTGCTTCACGTAGCGTACAAAGTATCACTACGGAAACGCGCTTGTCTACACGAATATAAGGACAATGTTGTTATACTCACTTTTAACTTGCGTCTCAAGTTCAATAAAAAAAGAAGCTATGTATACATAATATAATAAAGATCTAACAATGAGTAAAGTTTTTCCTTACATTCGAGTAAAAGAGCAAATAAAGAAAAAAAAAAAAGAAAAGAAAAAACAATCCAGTTGCACTTAAAATAGGATGCTAATAAATGATGTAGTAACAGCCTATTCTCTTAGATATTACACTAAGAATCACTCTTGATATTCGACGACACCCGCCTGCTTTGCGCTCACCAGTCCCTGCGAAAAAAATATGTCTCATGAATCTCCAACATTACATTTTATACACCACATGTATGTAGTAATATATAGAAAATGTTTGAAGATTAGCTAAAACGTTATAGATCATGCCAAATTGAATACAAAAATCCTCTGTTATTTTATAAATCATATAAAATTTTAAATTATTAAATAATAAAATAAAAATAATAAAGACTTTTTATTAATTAAAGAAGATTGGTGGATAATCATAAGTTAATGTCTCAACACTACTCGCCGTTCGTCAATTAGCAACAAGCAAAAAGCAGAATATTTTTTTGTTGTTCAATTTCACTTAAAGCTTCTGGATGTTCACTGCAGCCATATTGGACCAGGTGACACCAGAGACGAGAAACGACATGTTGAAAATTTTTGCATACACCATTTATAAATAAGAAGATATTAGTATGAAAGAATAGTTGAGATCGCTAGAGCATATTTGAAAAATGCTCTCCTCTTGACGGTCAACCACAAAATAATTGTAATATGAAATTTAGTCATGCGCGTGTATAATCATTCTATATGATTAACTTCATACTACAATAATTACCTAAGTATTCTAGCGACTTGAAGTATTCGCAAATATCATTTTATTAAAAAATGGCACGCAAGAATTTTGGAAATTTTGGTTTCTTCGCTTCTGACCTCATCAATCAGGAGTTTCGCGACGAGGAACTTTAATTTATTACTACGCTTGTCGTCAAACGCTATGTCGTCCATGCATGCAAATATCAGTTCAATTTTATCCCTCACCTCCTCAAAAAATTTCTGCATCTCTTGTGCCGCCTGCAGCGATGAGAAAACCGCTCTTAGTACCCTCCTCACTGGTGGTTCCAAGGCGTAATCGATTCCGCTCCAGATGCACTCCTTGCCTTCCACCTGTGCAACAACCAACGCCATGATTACCGTGTGATTTTAATGAAACATTAATTTATGATCGATAAGACTGTCTTTCAGATGTACATATTTGCACGTAAATAATTACCTGCATCACCGTTTCCATGCTAATAATAGTGTTGCTCGCGTACTCCTCCGAATCATCGAGTTTCAGTACAATCCTCTCCGCATAGATCTCGGAATCGTAATGGATCGCCAGGTTCCCTAAGCCCACAATCTCCCACTTGGTCTCGTTAGGCCACCTAGAGAATACGGTGGCGCGTTTTTCCATTATGGGCATCATTTCCTGATCGTCCTCCTCGTCCTCTTCCTCCTCATCATCTTCATCTTCCTCTTCGTCGTCTTCCTCTTCTTCTTCCTCATCCACGTCATTGTCCCGGTCGTGTTCGCTCTCTTCCACCTCCTCATTAACATGACTCTCACCTATAAACATGTATAAATAAAAATAAGGTATATGTATCTTCTTCGTGTCATTAAAGTGAAATCACATACGTACATTTTTCATGAAAAAGAACACAAGTGTGCCTACGGCGACGCTCAAGTTTTAACGAATAACGCCGTTCACAATCCAGCTTTTCTCAAATATACAATTTGAAAGATCAAACATAAAGATATACATAAGATGTGTAACAAATTTTATTACAACTACATAAGATACACGGAGCATTTTCGATGCATAAAATAATCGACACGCGATGTAAAATTGTTGGTAAAGAGGTAACTCGACATTACGCAAGAATGCCATGAAATGCGTGAAAGCTTAAATCGTATACCTCTTCGATCGCGTACCAAAGTCCGGCGCGTGTAAACAATTCTCGTACATATAAAACTGCCGCGGCTTCGCTTCGACGCGGCGGATAAGTCACTTCAGATATCGGACGCTCTATTTACGACCGTATCACAAGCTCAAGTGAAGGTTCGAGCAACACGTGTGCGAGATAATAAACGAAGTGACACATCCGCACACGTTACATGTCCATAGTTAATTTCAGGTAAAGAGATGCATACATACAATATCGTGCAGGCAGAGCAAGCGATGGCGGGGCGGGGCGGAGGAGAAGGTTTACAGCGGGATACATACGTGAAAGAAAGCGTTTGTACAACATCCGTAATACCTAACGAATTAAGGACTACCTTGAGCGTCCTCCTTCTCGCGCAATTCCTGCTGAATCGTATCGATGAGCCCCTTAAACTGCTTGGCCAGCTCGGGTGATTTAAATTTAACCGCTAACTGTTCGACGCACGATTCTTCCTGGGCATGATTCATGCCGCCCCACATCCAGGCCTGCTGCGACATCGAGAGTGGGTGGAACGTCACGTCCGATGTAATTAGGAAGTTGCACACGATCTTATAAACTTGTTCTCGGCGCATCAGCAGCCGGTAGCTGCCGTACTCGGGGTGATGCAGGATCTTCATCTCGCCGACACCCCTCTCCTTCCACTCCTTCGTGGCGCTGTCATATCTGTACAGCTTGGCTCTTTGGCAGAACACTGTGAACCAGTGATCACTCGAGTGAGCTAAAATTCTTTGTACTTTTACTGCGAGTTGCTTTAAATCAATTTACTTGGACAACACGACACATTCACTCGTTAAATGTATCGTTCATATCAAATTCTTCAAACATGTTCACAGAAATTAAAGTATTAACCTAAAATGATAAATGAAGAGATAAATCATCTCTCTAAAGGTATCCAAAAATCACTAAATATATCTAAATGTATTTAAACACTACTGTAAACATCTAAAGGTATTTAAAGGTTGCTACGAACATGTCTAAAGGTATTTAAAAGCTGCTGAACATATCTGAAGTTTAAGAACGAAATTAAGCCAATAAGAGTCGCGCAACAGTCAATCAAAATTGAATTTAGTTATTCACCAGCAATATTCTTACACGGTTTCTATCGCTTAACTTTATTCTTAATGATTTGGACAATCTAAAAATCTTAATATAGAAATGATGTCTAAGAGTTACTTTCAATAAAAAAAAAATAAAATAAAAAATAAAAAAAATATTTAAAAGCTACCAAGGATTACCTTTCTCTTCATCTTCTTCGCCGGTTTTCACTTCAATGGTGTCTGGCAACGGAACGATAGGTTCGAAGTAAGGATCGTGCTCCTGTTCATTATCTACCTCGCCGGCGTCATCTTCCTCATTGTCATCCTTATGCATGGAATCTTCGCGCGTCGATTTGTTTCCAATCGTCGTCGAGACATTCAGCGACTCGGCGGACTTCGAGCCGAATACAGACGATCCTGCGCCAGCAAACGAGAAGTTGGGATCTGCAAAAGAAATATCAGAGATGAACACAGGCAAAGAGCGAAGCCCGACTTCAACGCGCTCTTCAGCCGTGATCTACCGCGTGAAATACCTTTCTTGAAGGCTTGCGGCTGCGCGGCATTGGCAGCAAGCGCCGTGAACGACATGTTGTTCGAAGGGAAGAAGTTGTTGATGTCCTCTTCTTTCTGAGCGCCATCCGACGGCTTCGTGTCGAAGACATTCGTGGTCGCCGTCGTTGTCATCGGCGCCGCCGTCATCGTAGCGGGATTGCCGAACACTGGGGCATTGCTATCGAATGTTATCTTCGAGAAGGGCGTGATTGAACTGGTGCTGAAAATCGCGCTGTTAGACTGATTAGATACGTCGAATGCGATCGTCGACGTGGTGGCGGTGTCGTTGACTTTGGAACTCGGCTGCACGGGTGCTGAGCCGAACAACAGCGAGCTGCTGCCAAAGGTGGTGCTCACGCTGACCGACGGCGTTGTCTTCGGGGTGGAATTTGTCGTGGTAGCAGCGGTGGTGGTGGGAGTAGTCTTCAAGGTACTGAAAGCGTTGGCGAACGACAGAGTGTTGCCGTCGCTGCTGCCGAATATGGGCTGTTTTGCGAATTTGTCAGTGCCGCCGAACATGTTCTTGCCGCTGTCGAAGGTAAAGACAGGCGCTTTGAAGATTGATCCGGTTGTATTGGCCGTCTGATTGAATATCGACGATGCGGTGGTCGCATTGGGAGTCGCGGCAGCAGTGGTAGTCTGAGTAATTGAAAGATTAGCGGGACTGCAAATCTTCATGCTGTCGAGCAGCGAGATGCCCTGTTTGTCCGGTGTCGAGACTGTCGGCGCCTTCTCCGTGGTCTCGTTGGCGCCGAATTGAGGATTCATGCCGAACGAGAAAGTCGTCGACCTGTTGTCGTTGAAGAGTTTCAGGTCGCCGGTACCGAAGCTCATCGTGGAGCCGTCGAAGACGCTCGACGTAGCGAATGTCGGAGTTGAGGTGGTCTTGAATGTCGTGACGGGTGGCATCGTGAAGGAGAAACCGTTCTTCATGGTAGATTGAGTCACTTGGTCGGCGACCTCGCCACCTTTCGCCTCGTTTGTCGACGAAGGAGTCGTGATTACGCTCGAAGTGAGTTTCAAGCCTGCAGCGGCGTTCGTCGATGCTGGAGTTGTCAGTTTTTTCTCTTCTGGTATAGTCGTCCACTTACTCGGCTGCGTCGTAGATGTGTCGGAATACAGGACTATACTCGGTTTCCTGCAGCCCCTGCAGCCTGGGCAATCTTCCTTGAGTTTGTAGGCATAGAAGTTCTCCGGTAGCTGCAGCTTCAAGGCCGCTGCCTTTTCCTCTGGTGTGACCTTCGCCTCATAGAGGATCTCGATCTCTTGGATCGGCGAGCTGGTCACCTTCGCCGTCGCTTTCGCCGGCGACTTGTCCGCCTTCTCACTGCTGGCGACAGCCGCTTTCACATCCTTCCTGGCATCGTCAATCGCTTTCTTGAAGCTCTCTGCGATTTCAGATGTTTTGAAGCGACACGCAAACTGCATGTACTCGATCTCACCCTCGCTGTAGTCCGCGGCGTTCCACAGCCATGTCTTCTCGTCCTTAGCCGTGAACTCCAGCTCGGCGGATAACATATGGTTCAGGCAGAGCTTCAGTACGTGGTCCCGCCGCATGATGAGCCGCAGCTTGCCGGTCTCCTTGTGGCGCAGTAACTTGATGTCGCCCAACCCGCGTTCCTTCCATTCCTTCACGCCGGTGTCGAACCTGAACAACTTCGCCCGGTGGCTGTACACCACCTCTTCGTTTTCCTCGCCGGTCTTCACCTCGATCTTGTCCGGCAATGGTATGATAGGCGAGAAGTGGATGTCGTCGCTCTCCACCACCTCGTCCTCGCTGTTCTCGCCGCCCGCGCTACCGGGAGATTTGGAAGATGCTCGCGCCGTGAAGTTGAAGCCGTAGGACTTGGTCGGTGTGCCGAAGGTGAACGGCGAGTCGCCCGAGCTCACCGCGCCGCCGCCGCTGCTCTTCGTCGGCATGCCGAACACGAAGCTAGTGCCTCCGGTGTCTTCGGTTTTCGTCTGTGGGGTCGTGGACGTGATCTTCGCGCCATCGTTCGTGCTCTTGTCTTCTGGCTTCGGCATCCTGAAGCTGAAGCCGCTGCTGATGCCGCCGCCGGTCTCTTTGGCGGCGTCCTTCGGGATACCGAAAGTAAACGTGGTCATCGGAGTCGTGGCCGTGCCGGAGACGCTCAGCTGGAAGACGTTCTGCTGCGGCTTAGGTGGCTGCGACGGGTCTTTGGGCTGGTCACAGGCGACGCAGTAGATGTTTGCGCCGGAATTCACGATATAACATCCTGGACAGTTCCAAGAGCCAGCGGGAGGCTTGAATAACTCAGACAAAGGTGGTTTGCTGGAGTCCACGAGTTTGGAGTTGGTAGTCGCGCTGAAGTTACTCACGACCAAAGGCGATGGAGCCTCGCAAGCTATGCACTTAAGGTCTGCGGCATTGTTCCTGGTGTAACAGCCATCGCACTCCCAAGAACCGCTCGGCGGCTTGAACAGCTCCGACAACGGAGGCTTGTTGTCCGCAGCGTTCTGACCCTTGGTCTCGGCTGGAGTCCGTGATGATGTCTTTCTGTCAAATTCTTTCGCGACCTCGCTCGGATTGCAGCCCTTGGCCAGCTTCTGTTGGCAGCTGGACACAGTGTTGTAAAACTGTGAGGCTGACTCCGATGTCTTGAAGGTCGCGGCGTGGAACAATAGAATCTTAGCACGTTCTTTCTTGGAGTCTACCGGGGCGGTCCAGTTAACAACCGTAGTGCCGGTCTTCAGTGTGAACGATGCGTTTAACGGGATGCCGTAACCGCAAAGGACCTTGGAGCTGCTCTCGTCCGTTATCAGGTGACGGAGCTTGCCGGATTTAACGTCCAACAGTAGCTTTAGCGAGCCTGAACCTTTATTCTCCCATTGCTTGGTGTCGCTGTTCTGACACTGGAGACTCGCGTTCCCGTCGAACAGCTTCTGCTCGTTCTCGGTCTGCGGCCGCGTTTCCTTCTCGTGGGAGCTTACTTTCGTTGCACCGGGTGCCGGTATGCGAGGTCTCCTCAGCAGCGCATTGAGAGTGGAGTTTTGGTCGAAAGTGGTCGCGTGCGCGGAGAACATCGGCGACACTGAGCTGGACACCGTGCCTTGACCCACCAGGTCAGACTGCGTGGTCGTCACCAGAGTCGCAGTCGTAGCGAAAACAAAACCCGTAGACGGTGTCGAAGTGCTCGTGGTAGTGGTAGTGATGGTAGATTTGGTGAAGGAAAATCCGCTGAACGGACTGACCTTCGGTGGCTCTTCGGCTTTCTTCGACTCGCTCGTCGTATCGCTCACCTCCTGAATGATGGGCTTCGAGCTGAAAGAGAATCCTCCTACAGTGGTCGTGCCGGATTTCGGTTTATCCGCAGTCGAAGCCGGCTCCGCGAGCAAGTTGATCTTGGCCTGCGGACTGGCTTGCGCTTTTTGCGCCTTGGTCAGGTTCTTGCTAGAGGATACAGAACTCTTATCACTCGCCAGCTTGGGAACCGTCTCTGCGGATGCCGTCAGACTAAGCCGGGCCTGGTTGAAGGCCTCCTTGAACGCCAACGCCTCCTCCGCGGTCTTGAACTTGATGCAGAGCTTCTCCAGCTTCACCTCCTCGTCGGCGAAGTCGTTCGCCACCCAGCACCAGGCCCTGTTGTTATTCGCCATGCTGGTGAGCTCCATGTCCGGGCGCAGCATATGGTTCGCGCAGATTTTCAGGACTTGGTCGCGGCGCATCAGCAAACGCACCTTGCCTTCAATGTTGCGCAGCAGCTTCACGTAGCCGACCCCGCGCTCCTTCCATTCCTTGTCCACGAAGCGGAACAGTTTCGCACGGCCACAGTACAACGTGACCTCGTCCTCCTCACCAGTCATCACCTTCACTTCCGCTGGCAGCGGTATAACCGGCACAAAGTCCGGTATCGGGTCGTGCTCTGTTTCGCATACGTCCGTGGAGATGTTGGGCGACTCGATCGTCTCGTAAATCGCGCTGAGGTTGGTCTTGTCGGTCAATCCGGCCCGGTGAGAGTCCGCTGTCTGCATGGTCTGCATGCTGGCCGGCGTGGTAGTGAGAGTGGGCAACAAGGGTGGCAGATTGACGGTGGTCGGTATGGTAGCCTGAGACGGCATGGAAATTTGGTAACAGTGAGGCGCGTTGGACGATGTCGTCGACGATATCATCGGCTCCGACGTCGCCGTGATCGTCGTACTGACAGAGGTGGCGACGATCGTGCCTCCCAGTCGGTACTGCGGTGGTATGGTGACGCTCAAGGTCGGCTGCACGGGCGGCGCCGTGGTCGGCAGCGTGTCGGACGTTGTGATGACCACGTTGACGGGCGGCGCCTTATTGACCGGCGCATCCTTGATGATGGTTGTCGGGGCAGGCTCAGGAGGCTTTGTCGGCGGCTCGACCTTCTGCAACGGCATCTGCAGTGTCGGCGGCGGATTCGTAGCGGGAATTGGCATGAGATCAGGCAATGCCTGCGATGGTATTCGCGACGCGAACAAACCCTGTTGGAGCAGGTTCTCGGGTACCTTCGCTGAGCGATTTGGATAAATCATCGGCATCGGATACATGTTGTGCGGATACAGAGACGGTATGGCCTGGGCGTTCGGGTCACTGAACCCGGGTATCGCACTCTGATAGTAACCTTGGAACGTGGTCGCCGAGGGATACATCAGCGACGAGTAGGGATGACGGTGCGGCGGAGTGAATATGTTACCGGAGATCGTGGACGCCGCCTGGCCGGATTGATTCGGGTAGTTCAAGTCGGCGTACTCGTCGCTGTCGAGGACGTAGAAGTCGTCCTCGACATTGGCATTCATGTTCATCTGCTGCTGTACGCGTTGTTGGTGCTGCTGTTGCTGTTGTTGCTGCTGTTGCTGTTGATATTGCTTCTGGTTGTCCTTGCGCAACTCCACCATCTCTTTCATTAAGCCCTCCATCTTCTCTGTGAGCGTTTTCATGTGATCCGTCATACCCTTCATCTGCTCCACCAACTCCTGCACTACGTTATCCCTAGAATGCATAATCTGGCGGATCTGCGCGTCAAGACGCTCCGGGCTTGGACGTGCTTCGGTGCGATTGCGTGATAGATCCAGGATATCGTGGTGCTGCGGCCTACACGGCGTACTGGTATGCTTAGGTGCGCGTTGAGTGTTTCTCTGTGGTGTGCTCAGGATGTTGTGCGCCGTCAGGTTCGGCAATGGTGCATTCGCGACCGTCTGATCAACGGCGCTGTGAGCGGGCGAGTAACTCTCGTCGGACATGCCGTCGCAGTCGTTCCTACTCAAGTCGCTCCTGCCGAGATCCGGGTCGATTCTCTTCAGCTCGTTCTCGATGTCGGCGATGTGAGTGCCCAGCTCCGAATTGAGCGGGTGCTTAGGATTCATGCCAGGGCTGCGTAGCCGGTCGAGCGTGAGGTAATAGCAGTTCCTCGCCTTGGACAGCATTATGATGTGCTGTGAGCGCATCTCCGAGGTAAGACTCTCGCGTGGCATCGAGTTTACGATCTCGTCCGCGAACATCTTGTAGATCTGCGCCTGTTGGAACGACGCGTCCGGGCACTTGAGTGCCTGCAGCGCGTCGATCGCTTGCTCGTACTGCTTATCGCGGACGAATCTCTGCGCCAACAGCAGCTTGCCCTCCTCGAGAGCATTGGTCAGCTCGATGTTGTTCATCTCTTTGCCCTGATAGTTCAACAGCCTCGATGCGGACATGCGTATCGTCTGGTTGTTCTGCAGACGCTCGAGCAGAGGCACGGCTGTGCTCCAATACAGCTCGGCGCGCGCTTCCAACATTGAAATGTCGCCGTGTTCTTTGTCTTTCTCCTTCAACATCTTCGTACGGTACTGGAATATACGCGCCAAATGAACCAGCAGTACTGGATGCAAGCCGTGATTGCCGATGCAGCGAACGACCTCAAGGCCTTGCTGCAACTCATGTCTCAGCTCTCCGATGTCGCCCTCGATGTTTTTCTGCTTGGAATACATTCTGTATGCCGCAGACCACCATTTCTCCTGGTTGCAAGTGCAGAGTGTCGCCGTCAGATCAGCCGGCAAAGTCGGCAACCTGTCAGGACTGAGGAAACTGCCAAGCTGTTGCTCTTCCACAATCGCCGATGAACATAAAATCGCCGCGTTTAAGAACGCGTCGATGTCAAGCTGGCACAAGCTGTCCGGTGCGGCTTGACTTATATTGTATACCGAGAACTGCAATTCTGGAAACACATGAGAGTACTGATGCGGATGGGGGCTGCCGTCCTTCTTCAGAAAATGATGCGATCGACTTTGTATCCCGAGCCAGACCTGATGATGCAACGAAGCGGGCCACACTCGTTCCGCAACTGCGAGTGAAAAAATCGTACGTGGTTACTTGCATATAGAAAGATGCAAGCTGTATTCAAGTAAATATTATTTGTTTCAAAAGTATTTCGTAAGTTATACCTGTAAGTTTATAACAAATTTGTTATATATAAACATCATTCACACACAAATATTAAATCTATTCTAGATACATTCTGAAGCCTAGTAAGTTTTCAATCAAGAATATCAAACAAGGACATTCGACTCGTCTCCCCTCCACATATAAGATATAACTTTTATAATATTATTGAAAAAAAAATATATTTTTTTCAAATAGATAGTTTTTTCAAGAACATGAGCAAATATTTTTCGAATACATGGTAATAAGTTTTTCTAAAATTTGTAACGAGTATATCTTAAGACTATTGTCGAAAATATATTCTTCGTTGAAAAATGTTACTTAAAAAGAGTAAACCGAGTTATCGTTTTCTTCAGTAACGATCTTTTTCTGCGTATATCTAACAGAAATTATACATATATAGAATGGCCTATATAAATCTTTCTAATAGAACGACAAGTGAAAGGAGTTAAACTAATAACATTGTCATCGTGTTTACTAAAGCTTGTCCATTTGAAATTTTGAAGTTACTCTACCGTTTAAGAGGGATAAGCAAGAGTAAGTTTTAATACAGATTTAAAGGAAAGAAAGGGTAAGTTTTGACACAGATCTGTGTTGAAAAATAAGATTGGTTACCTTCGTCGTAATGTTTTAATTCACTTTGCGAGCAAAGGCGCAAAGGCGAGTTAGATGCTGAATGATTGCAGAAATATGAATTTCGCGTATGATCAAGATGTAGCCTGCTTACAAAAATTCTCTGAAAAGTTAGAGTGAAAAACATTTAGTAAAATTCTGCATGTAGGTACACAATGATTAAATTATTACATATAATTAATCTTTTACCTGATAAACACGTTCTCTCCATTTATCTGTGCAAAATTTATCAATTTTGCCCATCAGCTTCTTTGTGTCGTCTTTACCATAATCTTGAAGAACGTGACCTACGGGCGAAATAATATCACTAGTGGTATTCTGTTGTATGTATTGCACAATGTTTCATAATATTTCACATACCAGCCTGACTGCATCGATACGAGCCCTCTATATGCCATAAATTGATTTGATTCTTAGACGGATCCTTTATATGCATAATCCATGTAGCACTGGGGTCTATTGGAGTTACGTGTAATGCAGTTAATAGCAGAGGTGCACACAGTCTGCCTGCTTCACTCCAACTGCCTTGCTCTCGTTTTGTTTTACGCAGCAACAAGCACGCCAGATGAAAGTGCAATTGACCCCACATGTGCGTGAGCATGTGCTCTGTGAAAACCTGGTGCTTGGAGAAATTCTTTAATTTCAACTCGGTCAGATTCTGATCAAAACTGAAACATTAACACAACTTGGGTAAATATTTCATAAAGATAATTGCATATATATGTTAAGATTATTTAATTTTTATAATTCACAAAGTACAATCCATCGATGTTAAATTTTGCGGAAAGTCGACTATGTTATAGTTTTCTATAATTACTTGAATTTGAATCTAGTGTCGAGAAATACGCGAGAACTGATATACATACTTAAATACTGCTTGAGTTGCTTCTGGAACGCTTTTTTTGATCTCACTGCCTTGTTCTTTGAGACACAATGCTGCATATCTTTCCAATGAAGAAATAAAGAGTACCCAGAAGGACCAGTCAGAGTGCATAGTCTCTTTGCATCTTGTCAGTAAATCACACAATGTCTGATACCACATGATACTGTTTCTGTAACCATGAGTGGCTTCCACACTGGCAACATGTTCATAAGCATTATCATACTTGTACTTTGACATATAATGTTTCAATAGTTTGACTCGGAGTTGGACATCATTTGGTCTTGCATTTAATTCAGCTGGAACAATATAATTTCATATATTGATTTTCAACCTTACTGTGCTATATGACATTTGAGTAATTTGTACTTACATGTAATGAGCTTCTCGAGATCCTCATTGTTGCTATTTGGTCTGTCCATAGTTAGTAACTTCTCCTTTAATTTAAAAACCACTGGATGATGTGGAAACTGTTTGTCCGCTCGTTCTATCCAGTATTTTATTTTATTAACATCCATTCCTACGTCTGTGTCAGTCAATAAATCGCATACTGAAAAAAACAAATTGAATGATTACAAATATACCTAAGAAGCAATGAGATAAGAAAGAATGTGAAAAAGATTCTTCTTTACCTTTTAAAACAAGATCATCCTGTCGTGCTTCAAGTTCAAGAGATGTCTTATATTCGTTCAAGGCTGCTTCCTTCTGACCAAGAGCCTCGTACGCATGACCCAATAACTTGTGTGCACTAGCAGATTCATCTCGTACTTCTAAATAACTAGATACATATCTCTTTGCAGACTCATAATCACCTACTTGATAATACAGTTTGGCAACGTTATAAGAACGAAGATTTTTCTGTAAAGCAATAAGAAAAGACAAAAAATTAAGATAAGCATTTTTCACATTTCTCATTTAACATACATACACATACCCAAAGCTACAATTATATTTCTCATAAGTTTCACATTTTTGCAAGAACATGTAATTTTAACATAGACAATATTTTTTTAATATTAATGTTAACTATTTAATTTGAGAAAGAAATTTCAACTTGATGGTTGCATTGAACAAATTCACGACAAAACAAATGTCATACAACAGCTAACGCGAACGATGTCGATATCTCGAGGATTTCCCGCGAAAACTCGCCATCATCGTATGTCGCGGCTTGTATGCACCAGTGTATGCAATTCTGCCTAGCGTGATAATTCAAGGTCTCGGATATATCGAACGGTAGGAACGACGACGCTTAACGTACTTAATATTGACATTCCGTCATTCGTTACCGGTATCATCATCACAGTTACTCCGCAAAAACACAAAGCTGAAAAACACGGTAGCGGCGCGCAAGTTCAGCGAAACGTACGTTAGAAATGTCTCGTGCGCAAAGCAAAGTAACCTCACCTCGTTCTCGTTCCACAGCTTGCTGAAGATGTTCTGCACATGCCGATCGACGTCTTTCTTTGTGCGGAACATCCTGTCGGCGATGTGCGCTGGTTAACACCACTTAGCCTTTCGTTGTGCTTGATCAGTAAATATCCTTTTCGTTTCAATCACTCACACGCTCAAGACGATACAGCGGTCATCGCAACGCACATCTCTTTCAAACGACACCGTCTCGAATTCAAGGGCGCCAACTGTCGAAAATTGATGCCACGAACTTCTCGAGTGCGACTACTAAGCTGCGTGAAAATCCCCATGAAAGCGACGGAAGCGTCTCGACGAATAAGCTTTCGATATCAGAAGGTAATAGGAGAGAATTTACTTTTTGGAAATGAGACTATTGTCAGAGCGAAGGTTAATTTTTGGGGTTATTGTTTGTTTTTGTTGAAACTTAATTGTTCAGTGTCCAACTCCTATAATCGTTGACTGGCGTAGGGGATAGAGTGTAAAAGGCTCTGCCCAGAGCCATTTATTGAACCAGAACCAGAACCAGTGTTCAACTCCGATGTGAATTTGATGTTCTTTATCGTTATTTTTTAATATATTTTTCAATATAATTTTTTTACATTCGATTTGAGAATTTCAGATACGATGGTAGAAGAGATAATCAGTCCCAGCAACAAACCCAAAGTAAGAATGCTCTTGTGATACTAACTGTTATGTATAGATTGCACGGAAAAAGATTGTTACTGTTATTGATATAAACTATCTTATTAAATTGTATTATATTTTGCAAGAACAAAACTACTCGACCTCGTCCAGTTTATCTGTGGAATGTATTAGATGTACAGAAGTGGCTCAGGCGACACTGCAGTGACTATTATCAGCTGTATCATGAAAAATTCTTGCATGTAAGTTTTCTATTTGTCATGAAACTTATACATTTCCAAATACCTTTATACTATCTCCTTTTCTGCTTTTGATGTTTTTTCAAACAACAAGAATAATTGATATTTCATATTACTTTAATGGAGAAAATTTAATTTATAATGATCTCTCATTAAGTAACCAAAGGCAAAAAGAATAAGTATAAATTAAAAATATTTTATATCTTTTTAAGCATGACATTACAGGAAGAGTATTGTTAAGAATAAATGAAAACATTCTGTTGCGGCTGGGTGTCGATAATGAACAACACAGAATGGATATCTGGAGGGAGATTATGAAACTGCATCTCAAGACAGATATGTTAGAAATTAGGGAATTAGAGCGACGTAATAATATGAACTTTGACTAAAATATATCAAATCTTGTTATATTTTAATTTTATGATATATTTAAGTTATATTTATGTTATATTTTAATTTTTTTAACTATACATATATTTATCATATTTTGATACATATGTAAATACATATTTAGGATATCTGATATATTTAGGATATATCTTGATAAGAATGTTGCAATATATAATGTATGCTATTTTCTAATTCATGAACTATATTCATTATATAATTTAATAATAAAACTTGTTTAACTTAATCTGTATAAATTTCTTAATGCAATCTATTTTCCTTCAAATAGAATTTATTAGTTTAAAGAAATTTATTGACTTAAAAAATCATGATCACAAAAAGATTTCATTGGCTGAAAACACAACGGTTGAGTAATTCGTCAACGTTATTGGTCTGAATGTAAGGATCTAACAGTAAGGAGTTATAAAGCGTTATAGTTATTAAGCGCTCAGTGAGCGCTTTGTTTTCTGAACGCAATCATTGGCTGCGTTCAGCAGAACAAAGTGATCAGTGAGCGCTTAGTGATTCTTGCTCCTGATTGGTAAATATTTCTGGGTCTATGAAGAATCTAAAAGAATGCTCCAATCACAGACAATAATCACTAAACGCTCTCTGATCACTTTGTTCTACTGGACGCGGTCATTGATTTCTGCAATGAGAATAACCCTAAAAAATCATTTTTTGGAATAATTGACTGGTTGGTCAGTTATTCCAACGAAATTGACCAATCACATTTGTCATGAGAATTGATAAAATGTGATTACTTAATTCTGAAGGAATAACTAACCGGTTATAAATTAACCACAGTTGGTAGAAACAGGCATTAATCATTTAGGCTACTGCGTAAATGTAGGTTATAATTCTGTACAAATAGAGAGGAACCTAAGAGCGGCCAACACGGCGTTTTCGGCGACACCGACTTTCCGCACTGGGAAAGGGCGCCATCTGCATCCAGAGGGGAACTGCGATACTACATTCACTTTCAGGTCTCGGCGGTAAAACCTGCATGTAGTGGTAGTCCGTACTACAACCACTTTTAGGCGATTTATGTCCGTGCTACAACCATAATAGCGTACTTGACAAGCACGGTATCGCACATTGTTGCGCGTTTGTAACATAAATTAACATGTTAACATGCGCAAAAAAGAAATAAGAATTGACATTGTGTATGATTAATATCATGAAGATCATACAAAGTGTCCGGCAATTAGCTGCCAACCCGAAGTGTGAAGGTAGATTGGGTTGAGACAAACATAAAAGTCCCATACCGTTTTACGAGATTCGCAATAATTATCGAGTTATTAATGAAAAAAATCTGAGAAGTGGGAGTGCGCCGATATAGGTGGTTGGAAAAACGTTGCAGCTGCTCAGGGCTGCGATCATGAATCTTTTCCCTAGCGTGAACTAGTGGACAATGAAAAACTTCTGTCAATTAGTGAAAAATGAAACATTTTATATGAATTTGTCAAATCGAAACATTTCACACGACAACTGAGTTGGTCAACATAGCAGTAATTGAAGAACGATGGCAATACCGATTGTTTTAACTACGATGAAGATAACGCAGACATTTAAACCATACTGTATTTCGATTACTAATGCGATACAAGTTACTAACGACATAGAAATATCGTATAAATGTATCGTTACTATAATAAGTCTGTTGCGTTGCTTGAAAGTTTCTCACCTCTTCTTGCTTCCTTCAACATTCGAATATGCTTCTGTCTCGTTTTAGATATAAAAAGTACGAAAAGTTGAAACAACACGACAAACCTAACAAAAGCTGCAAGAAATAAAGCATCAGTGCGCAATGTGACGTAATCAAAAGATTGCACAATATCACCAGGTAATAAAAATCTCTTTTAAAAGGTACGACAGTTTGCGCACTCGCGCACCGAACCCCATCACCGTCGGTTTCCCAGGTAACGGAGGCATCGCGTGGAAGCACAACAATGAACAGAGACTTCGCCGAACGAAGGACAACATAGCGCCGTCAGCAGCATGTCCTACGTCGAAAGCAACTGCTGTTGTCTGGCAGGGATATCGCGGTGCCGGCCAAGTTGCTGATGATCTTGAAGCAGTTCTGTAAAGCCGCCATCCGTACGTAGCCGTATGATCTGCTCAAGTGATCCAGCTCGTACTTTCGCGCATTAGCGGACGGCAAGGAGCCGCCGCCAAGTACCGCCTCCGGTCTGACTCTGGGCTTCCTCAGGGTGCTGTTGCAACAATTTGGAAGTACGACGTCGCTCCGGGACATTCCTCAATTAACGAAGAAGAACAAGAGAAAAGCCCGTTTTTTTAAAAAATCTATAATTCGCAAGTAGAGTTCTGCTTGCGTTTCTCTTCGACCTTGTCGTTTATGATTTGTACCACTAATTACAAATAGTCACTCTCTTGCTATTGTTATTTTAACAATATATGCAAAACACGATGATTTCAAATTTTATTAATTACAAGTTCAAAGAGAAATACAAGCAAAAAGAAAACGAGACGAAAAAAATACGAGTAGAATTTTGTTTTAGATTCTGTCGCGAATTTTAAATTATCTAAAGTTGGCTTACACTCTTGATATAACATTCCAACATATTTATTACTTCTCGTTGCAGATTACAACAAAACTCTACCCTTGGAGGCGATCGCGCGTTGTTGGGATTGTTTCTGCTTGGATCGTCGGGATTTTTAGACGATCGCGACGATCGGCAAGTTCCGCCGTAACTGCCAAGTGAAGAGGTCCTGGCTATCGCTGTGGGTCTTCTTGGCGGCAAACTCACTGAAACGATGATCATAGTCTGCCAGTTGTTCAGCCACAAGCCCGACGGCGGCTTCGCAATGATTCCGCTTAGTTTGTTCATAGAGATATATGAGTAAGTGCCCGGAGAACATGAACATGTCTTAAGACGTCTTGAAAATGTCACTGAGAAGCAATGAGACGTCTCTCATACGCTCGGATACGCATGTTGCACGAGGAGTTAGCAAGTCGACGGAACAGCGACATTGACAAACGTTCTTCCTACTCTTCTCTCGACTGAACGTAACTGTTGTGACCGACGGGTACCTGGCACTGATGTGAACTTAGCGCCCAACTTTAAAAATTTTTTTTAATGTTTACATCATAGGTTTGTATCTCGTTTGTACCTGTTTGTGCCACATTTTATTTTGTTTGTACCTAAAGGGTTAAAAAGTTATGGAAGGGTAAAAAATCGCCAGCGCCCAACTTTAAGATACTTAAAAACGGCCAACGCCATTCGAAAGAGCATCGTTTGTACCCGTTTGTATCTCCTTTCAAATTATTTGTACCTCAAAGGGCTCGGAAGTACAGAATGCTCTTTCGAATGGCGTTGGCAGTTTTCAGATATCTTGAAAAATGGCGGAAGTACCTTCAGCGCGTATTTTGAAAAGCCTGTACTTCCGAGCCCTTTGAGGTACAAACGATTTGAAAGGAGGTACAAACGATGCTCTTTCGAATGGCGTCGGCCGTTTTCAGATATCTTGAAAATTGAAAAACTTATCGCATTATACATATCCCGGATATTAAACAATTCTGTACTTTCGAGCCCTTTGAGGTACAAACGATTTGAAAGGAGGTACAAACAGGTACAAACGATGTTCTTTCGAATGGCGTTGGCTGTTTTTAAATATCTTAAAGTTGGGCGCTGGCGATTTTTTACCTTTCCATAACTTTTTAACCCTTTAGGTTAAACAAACGAAATAAAATGTGGTACAAACAGGTACAAACGAGATACAAACTTATGACATAAACATTTAAAACATTTTTTAAAGTTAGGCGCTAAGTTCACATCGGTGTACTTGGCGGGATTGGCGTGCGACGGTAACGAGAAGAGTTCCTGCGACGAGAAGACAAGCACACACAAGGACAGCTCCATCCATCACACATCCTCCGTGAACAGCCAGGACATCGACGCGAACATTAATCTGGAGTCAATGTCGAAGGACGAAGTCGACTCGTACGCAAAGAGTACGTTGTCCTCTTTGTCGATGTTCTCTAGCATTGAGTTCTCATACTGAGTTCCTCTCACATATTCGTATTATCCTCCGGCAGCCGATCTATCGACGGAACCGATGGAAAACAGTTCGTTGGACAGGGAAGAGAAACTGAACGCTTCGATCGGCTGGGATCGTGCAGGTGCAGGTAAGAGTGCCACGAGTGGCGGGAGGTTTTGCGGCACGAAGGACGCAAGCAACAGCGACGGGAGTGTCTTCTCCGAAACTGAGAATGACGCGAGAACCACGTACTGCCTGACGTATAAGGCCGGTAAGCCCGGTAAGCGATCGGATATTTCCCGTCAAACGTACTCTTGGAGAAATCCATCAATCGTGAGCTTGTAATATTGGATAAGTCAAGTTTGTGGCTTTGGATTTCCTCGACGGCAAGAAGTCGGCAAGAAGTCAGACGGAAGGGTCTTCTACGAGAGAAACATGACACTTAAAATTACTGATTCTTGAGATTTCGGACGTTTAGTTTTATTTTCAGTTACTTTCAGATATCTTTCGAGTCGTCGATCTTTAATGGAAAATCATACATTTTTAGAATCATGGATTTAAAAATTATAAATTTATATAGTTATAGAAAATAAAATCATAATTACGATTAGATTTGAAAATGAATGTCAGAAATCGAAGTGAACTTTTCGATCGTGCAGCCAATGCACACAGGACTGCCCGATTATCTCAACAATCCGACGAAATCCGAATGAACTTGAAATTCAAAATGCAGGTATAGGAGCGCGTCTGTCAGCCGGACAAGTTGCGAGCGTGGCGGCATGGATAATAGAGTGTGCGAGGCTTCAGGAGAGTATGGTCGGTCCGCGAAATATTCGACATACGGAGTGCCCAGCGCCTATGCACCAGCGAGTGACATCGGATTCGTGATGACGAGCATCGCGTGGGTACACGTAGCGCGCGGCTACGACGTGGAAGCGCTGTACATAACTCACAGAGGATCGCGGCTTCGACGGTTTTCCGTTAGAATTGAACTCTTTATTAAAATGTAATTACAAAACTGTTGGTTCGCCGTATCACAGAGGTATATCATTTTATCTAGTTATAGAGAACAACACTGGAAGTTCTTATCAGATAGAGATCCCTCCTCTTGCTTGATCCTGATCCTATCCGATTGAGAAACACTTAACTATAGTACTTGACTAATCTCATCCGTATAGTCGGATAATTCTCACACAAGAAGCGTAGGTAGCTCTTGGATTCTGCAGAGCCTCCGCATGTGATGGGAGGGCACGAGGTAGAGCGTGAGAGCAAGCAACAGAGTCACCAGGCACAGCAGCAGATTCCTGGCCTTGGCGCGACTCGCTTTCCATTCGAGCAACTGGTGTCGCTGCGAGAAACGGTTCCGATACTGCGCCAGCAACTCGAAGGTACTACGTAGCGGATAGAGGGAGCGATAAAAGTCATTCAGCAGAGCGCGACTGATCTCGTTCTCAGAGTGCCGGCTGGGATCCATGTCGTCGTTCAAGCAGATGAACTTCCTGGAAGAAGGCAAGATTGTGAACTGAAATTTCAAGAGAGTTAAAGCGGAGACTGGTTGACTCGTTGGATCCAATCTTTCATTGCTGATTGAATTCTGATCCTTATCTCAAAATTCTCATACACGCCAGATCTCCGATACCTCTAATACTTAGCCTGACACATACTTGGGATCTCATCAGACCTCGTTGAGAAGCTGCACCGTCAGCGAGACGTTGCTCGTCAACAACGCGAAGATCTCGTTCTTGCCTGCCCTGATCACCTCGTACGGATATCAGCTACTCACTCCGAATCTCGAAAGTATTCTCCTAGAAACTGATTCACAGCTAGTGATCAGTTCTCTAGAAATTACCGGCTGCAAAGAAGAAGCGCAGAGTTTCTCTAATTTGCTAAAATCGCCGCCTGCAGTTGTCATCGCGACACCGTGCCGCTTCGACACTTACGAAAGTCGAGTCCAGGTATCTCTCGCCGGGTGGCACGTTGACGATCTCCGGCAGGTTCGCGCGACGACAGCAATTCGTGATCGCGCTCTCGAACTACATGACTAGATTGTAGTCGAGGGGCAGCGGGTACAGCCTCGACAGAAGCGTCCTTATCTCTGTCTGACCAAGTTCTGAAAGAATGAAGTATATAATTTGCTTGTGTGAAGTTGGCAACTCATTTGGTGGAAACGCACAATCTATTGATAGTTTTGGCTTCTTTTTTAATAGTCCTATAGTTCTTGATAGGTTAAACAAATAGTTCCGCTAATTAAAGCAAAAAAACCGCTTCCGACAAACTAAAACGCCAGCTACACGTTGCGTCTCAAATTGACCTACATGATATCCGCGCATACATTGTGAGATTTTCCCAAATTTACAGTCCTGCAAGAGTTCTATAAAGAGTTCTGCTACATAAAAGCAAAAAAGAATGATTATAATTCAGAAAAGATTAATAATAATGATAATACAGTAAAAAGCATATACTTCAAATAACATAAAAATCTTAGTTCTGGCCTTTCCAAGATTTTTCAAATAGTTTTCAACATAAAAAAGATTTTCCTAAAGAGTTCCGGGCACTAGCATGAATGTTCAATTGTTAAATAAATTAATACTGCCCGAGCGTGGCATACTTTGAGATAATAGAATGATTTATCAATATATACATAACAAAGTTTTAATCTACGCCCAACATAAGAAAGATCCCCACAAATTACAACAAGATGCGCCTATTCGTTATCGAGAAATTAAAGCGAAAAGTTCAAGGCCGACGGATGCGAAAATAACATATCACCGGGTATAAGCTACAAAATTATTTGCTGTAAGACACTAATCTAGGTTCGAGATAAGATCGATCCGTGCAAACCGCATCGAGCTGAGATCACGCGTTTATAAGATATAAGACACGAAAGATGGAAAAGTGACAGGCATGGAAATGAAATATTAAATATGGAAAAATGCATAATAAGGTTTTAATCTAGACCCAAAATAAGAAAGATCTTCGCAAATTATAACAAGGTGCGCCTATTCGTTAACGAGAAATTAAAGCGGAAAGTTCAAGGCCGACCGGACCGAAAATAACGTGCCACCGGGTATAAGCTACAAAATTATTTGCTGTAAGACACTAATCTAGGTTCGAGATAAGATCGATCCGTGCAAACCGCATCGAGCTGAGATCACGCGTTTATAAGATATAAGACACGAAAGATGGAAAAGTGACAGGCATGGAAATGAAATATTAAATATGGAAAAATGCATAATAAGGTTTTAATCTAGACCCAAAATAAGAAAGATCTTCGCAAATTATAACAAGGTGCGCCTATTCGTTAACGAGAAATTAAAGCGGAAAGTTCAAGGCCGACCGGAGCGAAAATAACGTGTCACCGGGTATAAGCTGCAAAATTATTTGCTGTAAGACACTAATCTAGGTTCGAGATAAGATCGATCCGTGCAAACCGCATCGAGCTGAGATCACGCGTTTATAAGATATAAGACACGAAAGATGGAAAAGTGACAGGCATGGAAATGAAATATTAAATATGGAAAAATGCATAATAAGGTTTTAATCTAGACCCAAAATAAGAAAGATCTTCGCAAATTATAACAAGGTGCGCCTATTCGTTAACGAGAAATTAAAGCGGAAAGTTCAAGGCCGACCGGAGCGAAAATAACGTGTCACCGGGTATAAGCTACAAAATTATTTGCTGTAAGACACTAATCTAGGTTCGAATAAGATCGATCCGTGCAAACCGCATCGAGCTGAGATCACGCGTTTATAAGATATAAGACACGAAAGATGGAAAAGTGACAGGCATGGAAATGAAATATTAAATATGGAAAAATGCATAATAAGGTTTTAATCTAGACCCAAAATAAGAAAGATCTTCGCAAATTATAACAAGGTGCGCCTATTCGTTAACGAGAAATTAAAGCGGAAAGTTCAAGGCCGACCGGAGCGAAAATAACGTGTCACCGGGTATAAGCTACAAAATTATTTGCTGTAAGACACTAATCTAGGTTCGAAATAAGATCGATCCGTGCAAACCGCATCGAGCTGAGATCACGCGTTTATAAGATATAAGACACGAAAGATGGAAAAGTGACAGGCATGGAAATGAAATATTAAATATGGAAAAATGCATAATAAGGTTTTAATCTAGACCCAAAATAAGAAAGATCTTCGCAAATTATAACAAGGTGCGCCTATTCGTTAACGAGAAATTAAAGCGGAAAGTTCAAGGCCGACCGGAGCGAAAATAACGTGTCACCGGGTATAAGCTGCAAAATTATTTGCTGTAAGACACTAATCTAGGTTCGAGATAAGATCGATCCGTGCAAACCGCATCGAGCTGAGATCACGCGTTTATAAGATATAAGACACGAAAGATGGAAAAGTGACAGGCATGGAAATGAAATATTAAATATGGAAAAATGCATAATAAGGTTTTAATCTAGACCCAAAATAAGAAAGATCTTCGCAAATTATAACAAGGTGCGCCTATTCGTTAACGAGAAATTAAAGCGGAAAGTTCAAGGCCGACCGGAGCGAAAATAACGTGTCACCGGGTATAAGCTACAAAATTATTTGCTGTAAGACACTAATCTAGGTTCGAATAAGATCGATCCGTGCAAACCGCATCGAGCTGAGATCACGCGTTTATAAGATATAAGACCGAAAGATGGAAAAGTGACAGGCATGGAAATGAAATATTAAATATGGAAAAATGCATAATAAGGTTTTAATCTAGACCCAAAATAAGAAAGATCTTCGCAAATTATAACAAGGTGCGCCTATTCGTTAACGAGAAATTAAAGCGGAAAGTTCAAGGCCGACCGGAGCGAAAATAACGTGTCACCGGGTATAAGCTACAAAATTATTTGCTGTAAGACACTAATCTAGGTTCGAGATAAGATCGATCCGTGCAAACCGCATCGAGCTGAGATCACGCGTTTATAAGATATAAGACACGAAAGATGGAAAAGTGACAGGCATGGAAATGAAATATTAAATATGGAAAAATGCATAATAAGGTTTTAATCTAGACCCAAAATAAGAAAGATCTTCGCAAATTATAACAAGGTGCGCCTATTCGTTAACGAGAAATTAAAGCGGAAAGTTCAAGGCCGACCGGAGCGAAAATAACGTGTCACCGGGTATAAGCTGCAAAATTATTTGCTGTAAGACACTAATCTAGGTTCGAGATAAGATCGATCCGTGCAAACCGCATCGAGCTGAGATCACGCGTTTATAAGATATAAGACGCGAAAGATGGAAAAGTGACAGGCATGAAAATGAAATATTAAATATGGAAATATGCATAATAAGGTTTTAATCTAGACCCAAAATAAGAAAGATCTTCGCAAATTATAACAAGGTGCGCCTATTCGTTAACGAGAAATTAAAGCGGAAAGTTCAAGGCCGACCGGAGCGAAAATAACGTGTCACCGGGTATAAGCTCAAAATTATTTGCTGTAAGACACTAATCTAGGTTCGAGATAAGATCGATCCGTGCAAACCGCATCGAGCTGAGATCACGCGTTTATAAGATATAAGACACGAAAGATGGAAAAGTGACAGGCATGGAAATGAAATATTAAATATGGAAAAATGCATAATAAGGTTTTAATCTAGACCCAAAATAAGAAAGATCTTCGCAAATTATAACAAGGTGCGCCTATTCGTTAACGAGAAATTAAAGCGGAAAGTTCAAGGCCGACCGGAGCGAAAATAACGTGTCACCGGGTATAAGCTGCAAAATTATTTGCTGTAAGACACTAATCTAGGTTCGAGATAAGATCGATCCGTGCAAACCGCATCGAGCTGAGATCACGCGTTTATAAGATATAAGACACGAAAGATGGAAAAGTGACAGGCATGGAAATGAAATATTAAATATGGAAAAATGCATAATAAGGTTTTAATCTAGACCCAAAATAAGAAAGATCTTCGCAAATTATAACAAGGTGCGCCTATTCGTTAACGAGAAATTAAAGCGGAAAGTTCAAGGCCGACCGGAGCGAAAATAACGTGTCACCGGGTATAAGCTCAAAATTATTTGCTGTAAGACACTAATCTAGGTTCGAGATAAGATCGATCCGTGCAAACCGCATCGAGCTGAGATCACGCGTTTATAAGATATAAGACACGAAAGATGGAAAAGTGACAGGCATGGAAATGAAATATTAAATATGGAAAAATGCATAATAAGGTTTTAATCTAGACCCAAAATAAGAAAGATCTTCGCAAATTATAACAAGGTGCGCCTATTCGTTAACGAGAAATTAAAGCGGAAAGTTCAAGGCCGACCGGAGCGAAAATAACGTGTCACCGGGTATAAGCTCAAAATTATTTGCTGTAAGACACTAATCTAGGTTCGAGATAAGATCGATCCGTGCAAACCGCATTGAGCTGAGATCACGCGTTTCTAAGATATAAGACACGAAAGATGGAAAAGTGACAGGCATGGAAATGAAATATTAAATATGGAAAAATGCATAATAAGGTTTTAATCTAGACCCAAAATAAGAAAGATCTTCGCAAATTATAACAAGGTGCGCCTATTCGTTAACGAGAAATTAAAGCGGAAAGTTCAAGGCCGACCGGAGCGAAAATAACGTGTCACCGGGTATAAGCTACAAAATTATTTGCTGTAAGACACTAATCTAGGTTCGAGATAAGATCGATCCGTGCAAACCGCATCGAGCTGAGATCACGCGTTTATAAGATATAAGACACGAAAGATGGAAAAGTGACAGGCATGGAAATGAAATATTAAATATGGAAAAATGCATAATAAGGTTTTAATCTAGACCCAAAATAAGAAAGATCTTCGCAAATTATAACAAGGTGCGCCTATTCGTTAACGAGAAATTAAAGCGGAAAGTTCAAGGCCGACCGGAGCGAAAATAACGTGTCACCGGGTATAAGCTACAAAATTATTTGCTGTAAGACACTAATCTAGGTTCGAGATAAGATCGATCCGTGCAAACCGCATCGAGCTGAGATCACGCGTTTATAAGATATAAGACACGAAAGATGGAAAAGTGACAGGCATGGAAATGAAATATTAAATATGGAAAAATGCATAATAAGGTTTTAATCTAGACCCAAAATAAGAAAGATCTTCGCAAATTATAACAAGGTGCGCCTATTCGTTAACGAGAAATTAAAGCGGAAAGTTCAAGGCCGACCGGAGCGAAAATAACGTGTCACCGGGTATAAGCTGCAAAATTATTTGCTGTAAGACACTAATCTAGGTTCGAGATAAGATCGATCCGTGCAAACCGCATCGAGCTGAGATCACGCGTTTTAAGATATAAGACACGAAAGATGGAAAAGTGACAGGCATGGAAATGAAATATTAAATATGGAAAAATGCATAATAAGGTTTTAATCTAGACCCAAAATAAGAAAGATCTTCGCAAATTATAACAAGGTGCGCCTATTCGTTAACGAGAAATTAAAGCGGAAAGTTCAAGGCCGACCGGAGCGAAAATAACGTGTCACCGGGTATAAGCTACAAAATTATTTGCTGTAAGACACTAATCTAGGTTCGAGATAAGATCGATCCGTGCAAACCGCATCGAGCTGAGATCACGCGTTTATAAGATATAAGACACGAAAGATGGAAAAGTGACAGGCATGGAAATGAAATATTAAATATGGAAAAATGCATAATAAGGTTTTAATCTAGACCCAAAATAAGAAAGATCTTCGCAAATTATAACAAGGTGCGCCTATTCGTTAACGAGAAATTAAAGCGGAAAGTTCAAGGCCGACCGGAGCGAAAATAACGTGTCACCGGGTATAAGCTGCAAAATTATTTGCTGTAAGACACTAATCTAGGTTCGAGATAAGATCGATCCGTGCAAACCGCATCGAGCTGAGATCACGCGTTTATAAGATATAAGACACGAAAGATGGAAAAGTGACAGGCATGGAAATGAAATATTAAATATGGAAAAATGCATAATAAGGTTTTAATCTAGACCCAAAATAAGAAAGATCTTCGCAAATTATAACAAGGTGCGCCTATTCGTTAACGAGAAATTAAAGCGGAAAGTTCAAGGCCGACCGGAGCGAAAATAACGTGTCACCGGGTATAAGCTACAAAATTATTTGCTGTAAGACACTAATCTAGGTTCGAAATAAGATCGATCCGTGCAAACCGCATTGAGCTGAGATCACGCGTTTATTAGATATAAGACTCGTAAGATGGAAAAGTGACAGCATGGAAATGAAATATTAAATATGGAAAAATGCATAATAAGGTTTTAATCTAGACCCAAAATAAGAAAGATCTTCGCAAATTATAACAAGGTGCGCCTATTCGTTAACGAGAAATTAAAGCGGAAAGTTCAAGGCCGACCGGAGCGAAAATAACGTGTCACCGGGTATAAGCTGCAAAATTATTTGCTGTAAGACACTAATCTAGGTTCGAGATAAGATCGATCCGTGCAAACCGCATCGAGCTGAGATCACGCGTTTATAAGATATAAGACACGAAAGATGGAAAAGTGACAGGCATGGAAATGAAATATTAAATATGGAAAAATGCATAATAAGGTTTTAATCTAGACCCAAAATAAGAAAGATCTTCGCAAATTATAACAAGGTGCGCCTATTCGTTAACGAGAAATTAAAGCGGAAAGTTCAAGGCCGACCGGAGCGAAAATAACGTGTCACCGGGTATAAGCTGCAAAATTATTTGCTGTAAGACACTAATCTAGGTTCGAGATAAGATCGATCCGTGCAAACCGCATCGAGCTGAGATCACGCGTTTATAAGATATAAGACACGAAAGATGGAAAAGTGACAGGCATGGAAATGAAATATTAAATATGGAAAAATGCATAATAAGGTTTTAATCTAGACCCAAAATAAGAAAGATCTTCGCAAATTATAACAAGGTGCGCCTATTCGTTAACGAGAAATTAAAGCGGAAAGTTCAAGGCCGACCGGAGCGAAAATAACGTGCCACCGGGTATAAGCTCCAAAATTATTTGCTGTAAGACACTAATCTAGGTTCGAGATAAGATCGATCCGTGCAAACCGCATCGAGCTGAGATCACGCGTTTATAAGATATAAGACACGAAAGATGGAAAAGTGACAGGCATGGAAATGAAATATTAAATATGGAAAAATGCATAATAAGGTTTTAATCTAGACCCAAAATAAGAAAGATCTTCGCAAATTATAACAAGGTGCGCCTATTCGTTAACGAGAAATTAAAGCGGAAAGTTCAAGGCCGACCGGAGCGAAAATAACGTGTCACCGGGTATAAGCTACAAAATTATTTGCTGTAAGACACTAATCTAGGTTCCAAATAAGATCGATCCGCGCAAACCGCATCGAGCTGAGATCACGCGTTTCTAAGATATAAGACACGAAAGATGGAAAAGTGACAGGCATGGAAATGAAATATTAAATATGGAAAAATGCATAATAAGGTTTTAATCTAGACCCAAAATAAGAAAGATCTTCGCAAATTATAACAAGGTGCGCCTATTCGTTAACGAGAAATTAAAGCGGAAAGTTCAAGGCCGACCGGAGCGAAAATAACGTGTCACCGAGTATAAGCTACAAAATTATTTGCTGTAGGACACTAATCTAGGTTCGAAATAAGATCGATCCGTGCAAACCGCATCGAGCTGAGATCACACGTTTATAAGATATAAGACACGAAAGATGGAAAAATGACAGGCATGAAAATGAAATATTAAACATCGAAATATACATAATAATGTTTTAATCTAGACCCTGAATAAGAAAGATCTTCGCAAATTATAACAAGGTGCGCCTATTCGTTATCGGAAAATTAAAGCGAAATTCCAAGTCCGACCGCGGCGAAAATAACGTGTCATCGGATATAAGATGCAAAATTATTTGCTATAAAACATTAATCTAGGTTCGAAATAAAATTGCAAACCGCATGGAGCTGTGATCACACGTTTCTAAGATATAAGCCACGAAATATGGAAAAGTGGCAAGCTCGGAAATGACTAGTCACGAAATATTAATAATCGAAATATGAGTGATAAGGTTTTAATTTAAACGCAACCTAATAAATTGCAACGTCATGTGAATATTCGTAATCGAGAAATAAAATCCGATATGTTACGAACGGTCAATGCGAAAATAACGTGTCACCGTATATATGCTGCAAAATTATTTGCAGCTGTGATTACGCGTTTCGGAGTTACAAGCCACCAAAGATGGAAAAGTGAAATGCTGGACGACGATCTGTCACGAAATATATAATTATCGAAACATAAGTTATAACGTTTTTTAATCTAGGCTCAAAATAACATAAATCCTGGTGACCGCAGCTTGAGCTGCGATTTCGGCTTTCGGAGTTACAGAGGACGAAAATGGAAAAGCGATTGATTTGGAAATGACGAGTTATGAAGTGATAAGGTACGAAAAGTGAATGATTATGTTTTAAACTAGATCCAGAATAACTTAGGTACCCGTAAATCGCAACTAGGTATGCCTACTTGTTATGGTGTATTTAAAGGGGTTAGATCAAGATAGATGGATGCGAAAATGAATTATTGGGCCTAAGCGTGCATCATGTGGCTCCTTCTGTCGAAAGACATGTGATTCACGGAACAGAGGTCGTTATCTCTGGAGTCAATTCTAGGAATCGACAATTTTCTACATGGATAGCGTTAGTTGTAAGAATTGATCTTCCTATTGTCAAGTTAAAAGAACGCGATAACGTGATGGGAATTTTGAATTTTATAATACGAGGAATGTAAAATAATCCTACTCTTTAGTCGTTTCTGAAGATCCTCTTCACAAAATATATCCAAGGACACTTAACAATATTTCTTCGTAGCACAATTTAAACACTTTCACTTTAATAATAATTACAGGCCTTTTTCACAACACTTATCACTTTCCACTTGATTCACTTTTCACTTGTGCACTAACTCGATGAACACGTCTCACTGGCGTCCTAATCCCTCGTCGTCCTCATCGTCGTTCTCGTTGCTCTCGTCGTCCTTCTCGAACCTATCACGATGTTTCACTCGAATAGAGTCCGCCATACGATCCTTCCTTTCTTCCTTCCTTCAATAGATGGCTCTGGGTCTGTCGCTCCGGCCATACGATCCGAAAAGTCGGCCATGATAAAAAACGGTCACGTAGCTTGGCTGGGTATTCCCGATGAAGTAGATGACCGCTTCTAGCAGATATTGAACGATGCTATGGCACATATGCGTTAGATTATTATATCTAACGATTCACAGATTTCGATTCAATCCGTGAGTCGAGGACGCAAATCTCAGCAACACGAAAGCCGAAATGCCGTTACATAGCGAACGGACAAAACTTTTCTCGGTACTTCCACGACTCACTTCACAGCTATTGAACAATATTCTACTGTAATATACGCGCGAATTTCACTTTCGGCACTCCCGTTAGCGACGATTGAAACGCGCGACTCAGCTATAGCGAGCCAAAATCACGAAAATTTACGGGCAACGGTTCCTCGCACGACACTTCACTCCGCAGCCCGCGCCATAACTGACCATGATCACAGTATACATAGTAGCGACACTCTCTGTTGGATTTGATGTAGTCAAACATGAACTGTGCATATGCTATCTTGTTTCTAACCATAACTGATAGGGTCCACTTGAAACTACAAATGGTTTGAGCCCTAAAAAAGGCTATTATACGACGTTCAAAGCATTTATACATTTAATGATTCTTATTCTATATGATTTAATAAAAATTTAAATAAATATATATTTAGAGAGAGGAAAAGAGAGTAACAGCGACACATCCATCTATCTTCCGAAATGTACCAATCACAAGGCAGTATTTTATTGCAGCAAGCAGTCCAGCATGAAACAAGCACCGTGTGCCGCTGGCTTTAGAGAAAGCAGAAATTATAACAAAAAGTTGATCTGTTCTTTTTAGCTGCACTGCTGAACTAATTAATTAACTGAATTCGTGCAGAGAGGAACGTGAGAGCGTCTAACACGGCGTTTTCGGCAACACGGACTTTCCGCATTGTGAAAGGGCGCCATCTGCATATATTTTTAGAGGGGAACTACGGTGCTACATTCACTTTCATGTTTCGGCGGTAAAACCTGCATGAGGTGGCAGTACATGCCCAGGTAGCAGACTGACGTCAAATGACGTACTAATGACGTATTAATGACGTTAGCTAACGTCATTTGACGTCAGTCTGCTATCAGGGTGCTATATCCACTTTCAGGCGGTTTATGTTCGTACTACAACCATAATAGCGTACTTGACAAGCACGGTCTCGCACATTGTTACGCGTTTATAACATGAATTAACATGTTAACATTAACATGTGCCAAAAAAAAGGTATTGACATTGTGTATGATTAATATCATGAAGATCATACAAAGTGTCCGGTAATTAGCTGCCAACCCGAAATGTGACGGGCATTGTTTGGCACAGAGATGGCAACTATGGTTGCAGCACGGACATAAACCGCCTGAAGTGGGTGTAGCACGGACTTCCACCACATGCAGATTTTACCACCGAGACCTGAAAGTGGATGTAATATCGTAGTTGCCCTCTGGAAAATGGATGCAGATGGCGTCCTTTCCTAGTACGGAAAGTCGGTGTCGCAGAAAATACCGTGTTGGCCGCTCTCGGGGGCTGCACTCGTATATCGACAGTTGTCGGTATCGTTAGCGGAATTGCGCAAGTTTTTCATATAACAAAATAGCTGCGCAAAACTGCTAACTACACCGACAACTATCGGTACGCGAGTATAGAATACAGTCTCAGGTTTGTCTCTGGTACAAAGAAAATGAAAAATTAAAAAATCTAAATAGAATTTACTGGAAAAATTGAGCGGCCAATCAAAAGTCAGATTTCTTTGACATGGGGTCGTACGAGTGGTGATTGGCCGTCACTTGCAACTAGCAACATGCACTTCGACTCTCGTCCGCAAGAGTCATCTGTCTCAGTGCATTATTAAAATTATATTTGAGTCGTTCTTGGTCAGCCTTTCTGTGAAAATTACGGTGTAGAATGGTAAGGAACGTTGTTTATCGTTCTTATTTTTTAAATCACCACATTTCGTATTTGATTTTCTTTATATATTCTTGCTGTTTACGTAACTTGACGCGAGGCGTGTTTGAGAAGCATAAATTTTCCGTAAAATAGACATCTTTCAAGATAGAAAGCGTGTTTGCCGCGAAGTAACCATGTGGTGTGCCACGCCATGTGATTATTACTGAGCGTGTTACATTGCATTCTAACTTGTATGAATCGTAATTTGATTTTTGATCTAAATTAACTATACATGTGATTGTTGTAAAATTGGCGAGACAAAGATTACATTACAAATTATAATTTAATTTCTGAGGTTATGGGTAGCTATGCGCAGTCGGCCATGTTGAATTATTGTATAAATTATGTATTTCTAATTGCTGTATGCACTTCATTGAATAGCTATTTTATTTTGTTTTGCAGACTTGCAAACGTAGGAATGGTGGACGCGCCAAGCATGGCCGTGGCCATGTAAATCCAGTTCGCTGCACCAACTGTGCTCGATGTGTCCCTAAGGACAAAGCAATCAAGAAATTTGTTATTCGCAATATCGTTGAAGCTGCTGCTGTTCGGGACATCACTGAAGCAAGCTATTATCAGTCTTATCAGTTGCCTAAGTTGTATGCTAAGCTTCATTATTGTGTCTCATGTGCTATCCACTCCAAAGTGGTGAGAAACAGATCTAAGGCTGATCGTCGTATCAGAACACCTCCTGTACGCAACTTCCCAAGGGTATGTAGAAATATAAGTAAATTATATAGTTTTCAGATTGTTGAGTATATTAAAAGATGATTATTCTTAATGATCTAAATACTTAATTCCATCCTTTCCAAAATTATATATTGGATGATTGAAATATATAATGTATCAAATATAATGTACATATGTAATTTCTTTGTATGTAACTAATAAATAATAGATTTTTAAGTTTGTTTATAATATAAGCGTATATATTTCAATATTTTGTATGATTATAATATATGTATATATATATATATCTTTTTTTTATTTTCAGGATCTGCGTCAAGGCCAACAGAACAGGAAATAATATGACTATGTAAAGTTAATTTCAATATAAATAAAACTTAATAAAAACATGTTGAAGACTTTTATTTATTTAGATTATATCATTGCAATGACTATATAAATTACAAAGCATAATATATTCATATTATTCCAAGTAAAATTTTATATTGAGTAGTGATTGAATGATTAAGAAAAAGAAGAAAATTTACTTATATTAGCAAGATATTTGTCATGTGTATATTTATTGAACATGACTTGCACATAGGGTATGTAATCTAAATATTTGCTATTTAGATATCTTTCTAAGTTCATAACCTCTCAAGACTGTTTACAAACAGTAAAATTTAAGTAAAGTCTGAATTCTGCTGGTAAAGTACTTACACTTCATAAAAATATCTGCATTCAATCAGCAAGACAATGATTGTAATATAATTAGAACAAATTATATAAAATTAATGTACAAGTGATAAGTAATTCCTGAATATATATATTGTACATTGAAGAATCATTTATTTGCCTCTTCCATTGCTTTCTTCAGGGTCTTTTCAAAGATTTTTTTAGAATCGCAGAATCCTTGCTTGGTTTTGCCAAATGAGTTGGGCCCAGCTGACGTTGGCGTCTCACGGCCGATGTTTCGCATTCTCATCCTTGCTTCTGCTGGCATCTCTTCTGGTTCATCTTCTTCATCTGCGTTAAATACTGAGGCCACTGTTGGTTTTTGTGTTGTTGTTTTTGCAGTTGGTTTCTGAAAGAAACAAGAGAAAAAAGACTTAGAATAAATTAGAAAAAAAGGATCTTGTGTATATACCTATGTGTGCACATATGAAAAAAAATTTGACATGAAAGTTTCACTTACAGAAACTGAACCTAATTTGATTTGTATCCCCTTCTTCTGCTCACTACCGGTCTTTTTCCCAAAGCCAAATGCCAGCTTCTGTTTCTTCGTATCTGGATTGTAGTTGACTGATTCACAGCGCTCCTCGGGCCTGAGAGGCGAACGGTCCCTATCCCTGTCATCCTCTCTCATATCCTCCGCTCTGTAGACACTTGACCCTGACAACGTCAAACACTGGCAAAGTTCAGATCAAGTTAAACAAAGTTGATATTTTAACCGGAAATCTTTAAGCACCTTATGCTTAATGCTGTATTTATGCCCTACAAATTCAACGATTAGAAATTAGGTACACAATATAAATAACACAAGGTCATTTAACTAATTGTATAATGTACAATATACACGCGATGTTTTTTTATTACAAGTATAAACGCGACAGAGAACTGAAAGGTCATATTGGAACGGAGAATTCAAAGAGCAATAATGAATTGCATTTTTTGTGCAAAAAGTTGGTGCAACCTCTTCATACGCTTCAAGGATATTGTATTGGGGATATGTACAACCGGTAAATACATATTAAATGAAATTTGTTTCGCTATTCTTCTCTTGAAAATGTGAGTTTTTAATCTTGCGATTAATATTTTTGAGAGAACTCTATATCGGACAAGTCTCTATGGAACTTCGCATTAATAATTCTCGCGGATATGCACATTAACGTAATCGAGATAAAATCGGACAAACGATAATGTAATAAATAAAGTGAACAAAACCTTTTCTATAATCGTCTCCGGGATTCCTCCTGGACATTTTATCGGTATCCTGTGGACGCAGCAGCGAATACGTTGATTCGAAGTAACCTAAATATCGTTATTGAAGTTCTGATGCTCTCGTTCGTCACTATCGCCAACCGAATGCCCTAAAATAGTCCAATCGAACTATTATGTTATTATTGGGGCGCTATGTATTATCTAAAACATCTTCTTAGATAATGCATAACCAATAAAATGCTTCTGTGTAACACAGTGCTCCTTGCTTTGAAAAAGTAGGACCCTTGTAGGGCTTTCGTAGAGTGGCAAATATACTGTTCGATTATGCCCTCTACACTTCCTCGTTTCAATGGCGGAAGCGAATCTGTAACATTACAAATAAATAAAAAATTAGAGAAACATAATTAAACGAACAGATTTGCTTTATGATGAGAACTTTTTTCGAATTAATCAACTCTATTCTATTTCTTTGTATTATGTAATAGGTCTGTTTGATTTTTACTGTACCTACCAGCACTTTCTGCGTTTAAAACGAGATGAATGCATACACATTCAGGTATTGGGAAAGGAAAGAGCGACAAATCAAGTGCAAGAAGTACAGTTAAACAGACATGTAGAAGACATTGTTCAAGTGCGATTATTATTTTCGTACGAAAATAATTATAAGTAATCGTGTTTGTTTCCATATTTTATAAATTGATAATCCAACTGGAACAATTGTAATTTTCTAATATGTAAGTTTAATAAATTGTTGTACGTATTAACATAAATTTAACATACGATTTTGAATTTTTATAGAAAGCCCATTTTATAAACTATAAACATATATAATACACGCAGGTTATAACATATGTTTTAGTATTAATTCATTCTTAATATTTCCTAATATTACAAAGGATTGTTTAGACTTGTTTATGAGTTATTAAATAGTAGTATTTTTGATCGCTCAAATTAGGTTAAGTTGATATTTATTGATTGAACTTCTGATATGCTGAGAATCAAGATTTACTAACATATTACTCTTGTTTAAATATTTAAGAGATGGCACTTGTGTATTAAAATTATTTATTTCTTCTTACAGCTAAAATGAATACTGGTTTACTGCTCAGATCAGTATATCGAGCAATCAATATTGTTCCAAAAATTTTAGTCTGGCAGCCTATCCAGAATATCTTGGCTCGTAATATTCATTTCATATGTGACAGGCGAAAATTAAACCTAACACCCAACAGTCTTCCTGACCATTCTACATCTGTTATTTTGCCATGTATCACCCCAATGTATAATTCCATATGCAGTCTAAAAACAAGGGGAGTTCTGCAACGTCGTTGCAAAGATTGTTATTTTGTTTCAAGACATGAAAGACTTTATGTAATGTGCAAATCACACCCCAGACATAAACAAGTACAGATGAAGAAGAGAGAATATAAAACTTGGATTTTGACATCAGTTTCACAGAAAAAGAAAAGAGACTGGTGATGCTGATATATATGTATTAATTATAAATAAAATTTAGGTAAAACATCAATATAAAATAAACATTATATTTCATGATCTTCCTAAATATATTTTATATTCATCATATTATTAATGCGCACCTAATCTTGAATATATTTTTTACTTTTATCTCTTAAGTTTCTCCTAAGTATTATTTTATTTTTATATAGTCCTATGTGATAGAAATTTAATTTTATTAATAGAAATTTCTTATTATATTGTTCTAATAAAATTTTACAAGTGTTTTTAAGATTACTTAAAACAATTTTTTGTTTAAAACAAATCAACTTTCGCTTAAAACAAAAAAATTAACTTTATTATTGGTAAGTTAATGTAGCAGCTTTCAATAGAATTGTGAACTTTAAGATTATGGATATTTTAAAAATCTATTTTGGTAATGGAAATGTAAAAGGTATGATTGTTGAGTCATTGGCATTCACTTCGTCCCATTCATTCTTCTTTACTATAGGTCTATCTTTCCACAAGTCTTCTTGTACAGAAGATATGACGCCCAACCAAGCCTACATATAGTTATAATTATATAAAAAAAATATATATATGAAATTAATAATAAAAAAAAAATATATATATATATTTATATATAAATCATATAATGATTACATAAAATAATATGTAAACTTACTTGAGTTATAATTATAAAATTAAATTACGAGAGAGAGAAAAGAAGAGGGGGAATCATGTCGTACCTGTTGACAATGATTCGCCCACATGTAGATCATTTTGTTATCCACTTTCTTGGACAATTTTTTCGTTTGTCGCAGCATTCTCATCGCGGTTCCTCTTTGCGATTGAATCATATAATAATAAGCCCTCAGCAACATATATCTGCAAATGGAGAATCTTTTGTAATAATTTTGCGAATAGAGAGAAAAAAGAGATAAGAGTATGCGTGTATGATTATTAATAAATTTATTCGCGAACCTGGGAACCGCTATTTTTACAATCTTTATCATTTTCTCGACACGCTTGAAGGTATCCTTAATCTCCGCCATCGTGTTTATCGCGTGAACGTTCTTGCCGGTAACGTCTCGCACTACGATGAGTTATCTTTCTTATTTTTATCACAATTAAAAATTTTGAGTTTAATAGTGATGTTTCGATGTTCGGACTATATTACACATCGGCTGGTGTGTATGTACTTGTCGATCTTTTTACCGTATAAGATCAGAAGACCTTCGAGTTTCTTTAACGCGGTGATTGTTGCTGCCACTATGTGCTCGTCCATCACGCTCTCGCTTGTCACATTCCTGCTATCCCAAACCCTCGATGCTTCCCATTGTTGCGTCCTGACGCACCTGCCGATAACACGGGTGTATCAATACACAGAAAGATTTAATTACGAGGATATAAATAAATTAAGCGCAAATTATTGATTAGCATTGATTAGTCTTTTCGTATTGATTATTATTTTCAGGATCTTGATCGACTTCTCAGCGGTTTTTCGTGATAACTATTTATATTTATTTATATCTACCACAACCACATGGAGGTGAAATATCGCCGTTCCGCCTCTGGATCCCGCAGGCTAATCATGGTTTCTCCCTCTTTAAGGTAATACTGTTCGCAATTTCGATAGGAGAGAATTGTAAGCCCGGTGTCGAGTTGCACGTCGGCACATATCGCGTAGTACCAGGTACGGCCTGACTTATCCAGATCGCTTTGCGACGTGAATTCTGCATTGAATTTACTCTTAAAGCTAATTTTATATCATATAATGTTATATACTATATAATATAATATATATATATATATATATATATATGTATATATATAGTGTAATAATATAAATAAAGTCGATTTTTAATAGCAAAGTCGGCTTTTAAAGTCAAGATTACATATTGTCACATAATATTGTTATTAATATTATTAATATTATTAAAGTCGACTTTATGTAATTTGTCATTCCTGGTAAATGTGTTTATGGTTTGTTCGCGATCTATTTGTATATGGTGAAAACTACCCCCAACTTGGCTGTCCGCTGAATCCTTAGCCACTGAAGAAATACCTTAATTGTCCCTTCAAATTTATCCTTCGACTCGAAATTCCCATTTACTATTTTTCGTTTAATGAAGAAAGAAATACTACATTAAAAGTGATTGATGCCACGATGCTCACCCAATTCTCTCAACAAAGCCACGACTTCCGAATGACGACAGGAGATCATGAGGAGGTGAGCTAACATCGGCAGTACGAGTAGCTTGAGAAATATGGAGCCCATGGTCTGCGCCAATCTTGTTGCAATAAAGCCGATCTTGATCGCCTTGTGGATCTCCCCTCGCAACCATCGGGAAAAAAATACGCTTGCGTAAAGCTCGGCGATGGCCTTGAGTTCTTGAAACTCGAGGTAATCTTCCTTCTCTGCGCAAAAGTTGAGACTCGCATTCTCTAGATAGGGAATGATTGATCTGCGCACACAAAAAAAGACGGTTATGTTAAATACTGTTAAAAAAGAATTATATCAAATAAATAGATCACAAATATCGAGGGCAATAATGTTACGTTATTTGTCAAATTATTCATTTGTATAAAAGTGTATAAAAGAGAAAATAAAAGAGAACAATAAAATTTGATAACGGGATAAATTGCTCTGGATTCTTACGAGATGATTAGCGATTATTCTTGAAAATCGATATTATAATATTAAATACGTAACGTCGATTAATACATGACGCGAATTATTAGTGACCCAAACAAAAAAGATTATATATAATTAATCCATATATACGAATTTTGTTATAGGTTGTTACAAAAACAAGCAGTTCTTTTAATTATATTTGTGCAACGGCAATTTGTTTCTGTGGACATATATGATTATGTATGATTATGGACGTTCATACAATAATTACATGTAATTATTTTTTTTCTCAAGAAGTTATTAGTTTCGAATTAAATTAGGCTGCAGCTCGAACGACTTTCACTGAATTACTTGGTTTGATAGACGTGTGCGGTGATCATCATGTTGGTGAACGATGTACAGATCGTGAGGAAATCTTGTGATGAATCTAGCACAGTGTTCAAGCTCCACGAGACTGCTAGTCGTGCGTGCCTCTTCATTCCCTTCGTCTGCAATTAACATTTCACAGAACTTCACATTGCGGAATTTCACGATCCGACGTTGAGAGAATTTTGATAATTTCGACTTCATGTAATTATTTCTTCTCGAGTGTATTCCACCCGTGCGTGAAAGTTGAAGAAAAATGAGTCAGGCACGTTACTGTTAATAAAAAAAAAAAAGGATTTATCCTAAGAAAGGGATTTATCCTTTCAATTTTACTCTGTAGACTTCGAACATCAGCGCCAAGCAATTAGCCAGTTGTTCGATATAATTCTTGGTGTCTACATCGACAGCGTCGTCTCTCCAGCGTTTCGGATAGGCCAGTTTCCACTTCAGCAATTCCAGTTGAGTCACTGACTTCAGCCTGATGAGGAATTCGCTTCTCGGAAAATGGTATCCCAGGGTTTTCATCGCACTGTCCAGCTTCTTCTGTGCCTCGGAAATTATACCGCTCTCTAGGTAACACCTACCTTCGAGTGTCTGGATTTTTGCGGTGAGGTAAGGCAGGACTATCAATTCCTCCTCGTCGGCATCGAATATCTGTCAAAGCGGTCGATTATTTTCACTCGATCTGCCGTTTTTTTCTCGATCTCACCGCTTCTGCCATTTTCCGATTATCTCTCTTTACATCCACATCTTACATTGCAAAGCAAGTTCTCGGCCTCGTTGAGCAGGCTGCGAGCTTGCGGTATGTTGTAACTCGTCAAACAGACCTCTGCGAATTCCAGAATCGCCGTCAGCATCAGCTCTTTCTTTCCTAACAACCGTACGAAGCCGCTGAATTGTTGCGACTTATCAATTAGGAAGAAACGATGTTACTTCCGCATGTAATCATAGACTTTTATACATGCTAATTAGACTGTTGACTCTGGCTGATGGGAATGACCGGCATTTCCATAATTTATGAAATATTTCAGAAAGATAATGTTCTTGAAATATTTTAAGAAATATACCTCAAGAAATGTAAAAGAAATTCATCCTTTACATTTTTTTTATATTATATTTTTTTACGAAGCTCTTTCTTTGAACACCCTGTGTACCTGTGTGCTCGTTATATTTTCGCTAATTGTTATACACATCGCGTCGACTCACCGATCCCGTGGCAATGTTCCAGCATCTGCGAATACACGGTCGTTAATATGAGGTGACATCGACAATTGGCGAAATCGACGTTGGAGAAGGTCTTCATCGGCTTCCTGCTTGTTTTGCGAAATACGTCCAAACACGTAGCTGCTCTCTCCTCGTCCGCCTGCTGCAAACCGTCCGAACCGTCCGAATTATTCTTGCACTATTAGAAGATGGCTTCAATAATTCGTAGACGCACACACATTCAATAAAGCAGCGTTCTTCTCTTCCTTCTCGGGGATGGAGTTCGCTTCGGTGAATTGCTGCTTATTCAACAGACGTTCGACGGTCGGTCTCCTTTTTCTAACGCTTTGCATGGTCGTCTTGCCTAACAATTTGACGAACTGCAATTCGCCGCACGTCAAGCATCGCCGCGTGTGTTGCCGTAGAAATTTCAGCGCCTTGCTGTGCAATTCCATCTTCTGGTGTTCCGTCAGCAGTCTTCCCGTGCGAAATTAATACCGTGGATGCTTGTATTAACTTGCAACTTTTTGCATTTGACAGAATTATTCACGAGTCTGTTTACTCTTTGGATCCACTACGATTTACTCAGGCACGAATCAGACGCGATGTGAAGTCGAAATTGATGAAAGTGACGGGGAGATTTTACCTGTAAGTAGTCTCGCGGAACATCGATATCTTGAAGCGCATCAGACCGCAAGAAGCGTATCGCGGCAAATCGGCGAGCTCGTCTAGATGAAAATCATTTATTCTCATGGCAAAAACTTTTTTTATACGCATTGACTGTCATGATGATTACCAAATGATGCTTTGATATCGCCGCAATTCACTGATTTTCGCATAAAGCGGTATGCAACAAATTAAATATATAGCCGATAAAGAGTCAAAAAGAAACGAGCTAATGAATACATGTATTACGATTTAATTTACTGCATCTTTGGCGATTTAAACTTTAGCTGAGCGCTGAAATTATCGGCGGACATCAGTGTGGCAGCCAACGTGTTAATGAAGTCCTGTCGTTTTCTGTTCGACATTTTTCTGAATGTCTCGTAAAATTATTTCTAATCGGCATAAAATTATTTCTATCTAAGTAAAACTGTCACCCTTATTTGGCTAACGTTTATGGATACATTTTTCAGATCTAATGCATACCTGGTATTGTGAGACCTATACACTCGCACCTCACTTCTTTGCCGACGCTGACGTTCCTTATGTTTCTGTGAAATATCAACATTTTGGAACTCGCGGTGAAGTCGCCCACCCCGCATCCGAGGATTCGAATTTCGAAGAGTTTCCGGACGGCTGCGACGATCGCGAAAGGACGTTTTAAGACTTTTTCCTCCAAATCACTCGTGAACGTTAATCGCGTTTTCGCAGACTTTCGTTTACCAAGTGCCAATTCTCGCGCAGATATTTCCTCCATCAGGCTCTGCAGCATTCTTCTGTTAACGTTTTCTCCCAACACCGACGCGCATTTCAGCAAAATTTGATCCAGCGGCGTTAACGAGTCGAAAAGCTTCAAGATCATCACTGTCACGTGAGAGACGACTGTATTATTTTATAACCGAATAACATTGCATCACAAGAGAGATACAAAAGCTCATACAGTGTGGATTCTAATCTCCGCATTGTCCGAAATTCAAAGTGAATATCGTCTCATAAAAATATATATAAACTGTCAAATTGCAGGCACAGACGATAGTGACGGTAACAAATAAATATTGAAATAAATAAGTACTTAAGTCGACGCTGATGACCAACTGAACGATGATATGCAGACTCGAACTTCTTACCGTCCATCGTCATTTCGACTGATTCATCCTCTAAGGTGAAATTCTTCGCAAATTTACAAACGACGATCGTCGCACTGTCATTGTCTGTCGCTTGCATTTGGTGTACATCGTTTAGAGGCCTCGGCGAGGGTATTGCGTTATCCTGGGAATTTACTTATTTATTTATTTATTAAGGGAAATCATCCTTTCAGTGTAATGTGTATAATACATAAATTATAATGAAACATGTCAATACAATACTTTACTGAAATAAAACGTATCAGTTGTCATTGTCACGAAACCTAACAGTTGTTCAATTATCTAGAATTATTCAATTATAGTTATTTAATTATATATAATAATAGAACATGTCAGTCAAAACGAAAACAATCACAGAACCGAATCTTACCTTGAAACTCGTCTTGTACATCTCCCATTTGTCCTCTCGCTCGTCCTCGTCGTCCTCGATGTCCACGAGCACGGTGTTCTCCGCTATAAACCTGAATAATACTATTAAGATTTCTTCGTTTCCCTTTACCAAGCTGAATATCAGCTTTGCGTCCAAGAGAAGGAACAATTTATTTGCTCTATATATTCATCGTTTTATCAGGCTTATATTCGAGAAGAAGCATATCGGGCACTAGTTTAGAATGAAAAACGAAACCTCTTCAACATAGCGACAGGTGGAAGCACGTAGCCCATTACTTCCGCTTCCGTCTTGTGGACATTCATTATCACGAGGCCGCCGGATTGCATGAGGCTCACGAGAAAACTTTCTATCCATCCCGGGTTGCCGTGGCTTTTCTCTTGTATCAGTCTAGACAGACGGAGAGAGCACGCGATACTGATGGTTTTCGTTTCCTTCGTCAGTGAGACTCTGTTCTTTCCTTTCTTTAATCGAGATAACTGACTTTTCGAGTTCAACGGGGATCCCCGAGACGTTGAGGAACTGGCAAGCGAGGGCTGCGTGGTACCACTTGTCTATGTGTTTCAATTCGATGATCTGTTAACGAAGGACAAGCTCGGTATGTTTTCGCAGGTGCATTCTTTATGGAATAAAGATGGTTCTCATTGGTCGAGCAAGGAGATCGCTTTGATCATTTCAGCTTTAAGAAAAATCGGAAGATTCCAAAGCCGTCTCTAAACTGTCCGACCACTTATAAGTGTTTCTGACTATTTGAACAGTTAATTATTATTTAATTATTCAATTACTGTCTGATTTCCCAACTCTTTATTTGGCTACTCGACAATTTAGATGATCTTAATTTGACTATTTGGTTGGACAATTTTCAATCGAATTATTTATCCGTTTAACTATTTAGTTATTTAACGGTTTTTATTCTATACCTAAGAATATCTTCGGAGAGGAAGGAAACATCGAAAGAGTATTCGTTATTCAATTCATACCTGCGCTCGTTCCATAACGGCCGGGTGCAATTCATATTGCATGTCGATCCTGCGACCAACGCCAAGGACAAAGAGCACCGTGTCCTGCTTGGCTATCGTGCGAAATAACAGCATAGAGTCGTCGTCGCTATATTCAGCATCGTCGATGATTATCACCCACAGCCTTTCGAAACAGCCCCTCGTCAGCTTTGACAGTAACTTTTGCAGCACTTTGTGCTTCAGCGTCTCGGTCAGGGCTTTATACTGCTCGCTTATCGCGAAATTGACGTTGAAGGGCTCGTTGAGAGCACAGAGGAACTCCGGCTGACGTATGCGGCCCAGTCGAGGGATCAGCTTGTTCTCGCGCTCCTTCGGGGTAGTGACGACATTGAAGCCCAGCGGTATCGAGAAGATTAGATGGATCAGACTGTACGAGATCTGCGTGAGAGAAGACGATTTCTGATCATCTTCAAATTATCTTTTTAATGAAACTTCACTCAAAGAGTGGAGCGGCGTGCCTCGCGAATTCGAGTGCTTTGTTATTTTTCTGTGAAGTGAATTTCCTATTCCTGTATCGCTGAGCGAATGTTGTCCTTCGAAACTGAGCGGATCTGATGCATTTCATAGTCACCGAAACAAATTCGCTTGAACCAATCGAAACATTCACTCGTGTGAAGTCAGAATTCAACTCTGAGCTTCAAGTACTCACACCTAATTTCGGGTATTTTTACTCGAAAAATTTTAAGGAGTATTTTGGGCTCGTTGGATTTTTTCTTAATCTATCATGCATCGAATTGTATTGAACTGAAGGTAAGAGCCCACTGAGATAGGATTTTCCAACTAAAGCAGACGAAAAAGGCAGCTTGAACGCGATTGAGCGGAGTGCAAAGGTCGGGAAGATCGCACGGAGGCTCGTCGACCTTGGCGTCATTCCTGACCAAGGAGATGTAATTGCACGACACACCCGTGGGAATATTCTGCGCGATTTCGTCCAGCAGCCTCGTCTTGCCGATTCTGTGCTCGCCTCTGAAAATTTCGTCGACTTTCAGACTCGCCGGCAGTCACACGCGAGAATCGTGTCGCTCACTTTATAATCAGCGTGTTGTACTCGGGTCTCGCACGTTGCGTCATTTCATTCACTGCGGTCGAGTGTTTTACCAAGTCCGCCAGAATCCGCCGGAAGACTCTGATTTCCATTTCTCGTCCGAGCAGAGGATACTTGCTCCACACTAACTCAGGTATATTATACCTGCGCGCGCCGAAATCACACGGAATGAGAGGTGATCTTTCACCGCGATATTGACGGTAATTCCCGGCAAATTACTTCTCTTGTTCCCGAAACTCGTAGATAGGCCCGACTTTTGTGATTCCCTTCAGGTATCGCGGCTCTTGCAATATAAAGTGCCTCGCTTCCAGGTGAGAATGCAGGAAACTCTCGCGATCGCACACCACCTTGACGACGGGGATAATCGACTCGATGGAACATATTTAAAAATCCATAGACAAATTTCTCACTTTTTAATCAGCGATAGTCGATATGTTGATGAGGCAAAAGTCTCACTCAACGCACTAAGAGAGTAACGTTATAGATTTCAAGTAGTAACTGATGGGAGAATAAAAATCGTGAAATCCGATTCCTTGTATTAATTATCGCGTGTACAAATGTCAGATAAAAGAACTCATCATGACTGTCCGATCTTTTCACAGTTATATCACCTTGTTGTTGTACGCGCACATCAAACGCGCCGCCTTGTTCACCGAAATCCCGATCACGGTGTATTCTCTTCGCAATATATGGCCGACCACGCCGCAATACGTGATCCCGGTGGTGACGGCGATCGTTACGGATTTCACGTACTCCATCGCCAGGAGGTCCTGCCGCACCCTGCTGGCGCATCTCAGTCCGATCTGCGACTCCAGCTCCTGCTTGTCGCCGCGCAGACCGAAGACGCATAAGAATATCAGGTCCTTGTCGAAGAGCGATGTCTTGTTCACGCATCCCCGCATCTTGTCGACTCTCCTTTAACATACCCAGAGATATTTCAACGGCTGTTCTCCTTGGAGATTGAATATCTAGAGAGTCTTGATAGGAACTCTCGAAGACGAGGAGACTCCTGACCAGTCTCTTGAAAAACAAAGTTCGCCTTTGGAAAATGAGAAGAAACTTTGCTGTCTTTTGTAACGGTAATTCCTCGTCTTCATAGAGGCGAATCCTCGGTCTCGCGCTCACCCGCACACCAATTTGTAAGACGAGTTGACGAGCGAGATCAACTTTTTCTTCTCGATATCCGCCGTGATGACGTTGATGAAGAGGATCACCACTTGCCGCATCTCCGTGAGATGCTCCAGCGACTCGTCCATCTCTACAGATCGTATTACCGGCCTGAGCATGTAACTTCTCAGGGAGTCCTTTATCTGCATCTTGGCCACCTTTACGACCTTCGGCCTCACTGCGCGATTACACCGTTAAGTTAATACCGCAGTTAAGAGACGCGATCTCACAATTGGTAATTCGGAACGACGCGGTGGCGGATAATACAGCGCGATCTTCGAGCGACCTTCTTTCCGTTCGTTGCGACTCACGGCTGTAATCGACTTGCTCGAAAGTGTGAATCTTCAGGGTGTCGCCGGTCAGGTTCATCAAGACCGCGCCAGCCTCTGTGCTTGGCACGTCGTCGTCGAACAATGACGAGTCGCTGGCACTTTCATCGTCGCGCAACCGTTCGACATCCTTTTTATCTGACGATCCTGTTTTTGTAATCGTTAGTTCTCACGAGAACTAAGAGTTCTTTTTACATATCAATCGTCTAAAAAATCACGAGTTTTGCAATTTTACTTGCAACTCTAAATTTAAACGAAGAGAACAGGATACTTGAGTTCCATCTAAGATCCATCTGCCACCTCACAATTTGTAACTTTTCGCCACTTTACGATTAACTTCTCTCTCGATTCCATTTCTTTTTCCTGGATTTTAGGGATCTCGAAGGATCCTGTCGACCACTATATATGCATGATATGACCGATAAAATTATATAAAAATCTTCTCGGTTCTTTTACTTGCGGATTAAAAATCACATTGGAGGATTTGAAATTCTTCGCTCTTTACCTTCAGCATTGATATCCTGAGTCCTGGCTTGGTACCACATCGCCGAGCAGGCTATGATTAACGTGTGCACGCCGTCCGGTAACTTCTCGTGAACGTACTCGTTGGGGTTCGCCCATTGCCAGCTGCTGGGTGCCACGATAATGTCGCCACCCCTAAAAATAAAAATGATTTTGTCAGATTGACGTTCTGTCTTTTATCCGTTGGTCTATCACTTGACTCGTAAATTTAATTGAAGAGAAACAAATATACTATACGATAAGTACGGATAAGTAAATAGAAAGATAAGCGAGAAATCAAGAAACATAGATCAAATGCGATATACCTGCACAATCCTTCGGCAAATTTGACGTCCCACACGGGTTTGCCGGTGATGAGGTAGTAAGACATCGTTCTTGGATCGCCGATCGACGTAAAATGCGTCTTTCCGGAAGCGATCGCCAGCTTCACTGTCAACAACCTTGGCGTTTACGACGTGTACACGCTCGCCGGTTTGTTATTATTATTATTATTGTAATTTTTAACCTTTCGCGGTCGCACGGAACTTGGGATGTTTTCGGCAAAACTGTTCAGTCGTTTTCACACGAAACGTTACAGAATATCAAATAAATTTCGTGTGAAGCATTCAATCCAACGTTATTAATAATTCAAAGCGATTATAGTGACATAATATACGCCATGAAAAATGAAGCGATTTTCTTATGCGATACTCTTTCCATTCAGCTGGGCTAAAATAATTCCAATTAACGAGGGATGTATCGTTAAGCGACTCTCGACCGCAAACGGTAATTAATAAATTACATGATAATAAAAAATAGGGTCCGATATGCTTGAGTAAGACTTCTATGATGATAATATAAAATTATTATTATTATAAGACGTTGGAGAGAACCTCGCAGGGTCACGCCGACGTCGGTGTGGTAGGTCCCGAAATGCTTCTGGATGACACAGGCGGTCTGAATCGCTTCTATCGCGAGGTCGCGCATCACCATACCCGTTTGAAGCTTCCACATGACTATGAAGGCATCTCCGGAAAATTTCAGTACGTCGCCGTTGTGCGAAAGTATCTCTTGCACCATGGCGCCGATGTAGCTGTTTAGAGTTTCCGTCAACTTGGACGGACCGCCTCTGCCGGTCTTTGTGTACTTTTCCGTAAGATCTGTGAAGCCTGCGGTGTGATAACAATAGGATGATTACACCTGATATCAATTATACCTGACTATTTACGCGAAGAGAAAGACTCACGCGAGAGAGAATGAGGGAGGGTCTCGTGAGTGAAACGACGAAAATAATAATTTAAATTATTTAATTTAAATTATTAAAAAAGCGATTAAATAAGAACAATTTTAACTGAGTACAGTTAATTAAAAACAATTTTAATAAAATATCACGGATTTGGATTAAGATTCAAGATATCTTCACGTTGTCGTATCGTTTGATTCCGGTGTCTGTGACTGCGGGTTAAATTAAAAAAGCTGATTAAAAAATAAATTAAGAATTATATGATTCGATACAAAAAAAAATGAAACGATTCGGCAATCCAACCTGAAATGTCTCCGAGCATCACCGTGGTGTAGTATGTCCTCGTATCGTAATCGCCGTAATAATCAAGGATCTCATCGGGGCACATAGAGGCGTATATTTTCGTGTGTTGCTCCAGTCGGATACTCGAGGCACGTCTGGAGCCGTGGGCTGTCGATCGAGCGTATATACGCACGCGTACCGTAAATTAAATGAAATCGCAAATTAAATATCTTACAAATTGCTTGGTAAATACTTGAACGTTCGACATATTTTTTGCGCGTGTATTTTAATGATCCACGTTAGCAGGGGAATATTTAACGAGCTTTGTCGCAGTTAGGTTAGATCAAACTAATCCAGATGTTCTTATTAAATGGATCGACCCACCTTCCGTCATTGCAGCACTTGTGCTTTCCGGCACAGTTTTTGCGGCAATTTTTCTCTCCATATATTATACGATGAATTTGTATTCTTAATATTAACGTGCGCCCGCGATCACCGCGTCCCTACGTAAGAAAGCAACAACTGGAGAATTATTAATAAGTGATTAAATACGCTGAAATAAGAGAAATGTCGCTCAAATAATGGGCAGCAAATTTCAGGATGTTAAGTTATGATAAATTACATTATCTATATTTTGAAAATGCGTGAAACATAAGGTCATACAATATTGAAATATATGTTTAGACAGTAACAAATCTGAATCTTATATATTCTATATATCTTATATATTATATTGTAACATCTTATTAATTATTATTAGTTAATTAGTTAATAAGTTTATTATTAGTTAATTATTTAGTTAATTACTATTTATTTGTTATTAATTGAATATTATAATATATAATTAAATATTATAATATATACATATAATGTATTTTAATATGATACAATATAATATATAGTAAATATAGTAAATATAACATTATAGTAAATAAAATTACAAAATTAACAATTCAAAATTCGAATCGAAAGTCACTAGGAAAGGAAAATAATATTAATAATATTAATAATATAATAACAATAGCTAGGAGAGTGCTGTATATCTCGAATTAAATTTCGTTGATGTTCATATTTTACAAAATATCACAAATCTCTGTTTAGCCAAATCTGTTTAGCGTTCTAACAAGCGTTCATTTCAAAAGACAACTTGGTACCGTCTAAATTGTTAAGAGAGAAATCGATTAGTAATTCAGCGGTAAACTCGCTATTGACGAAATTTCTAGTCTTTAGAAGATTTCTGATTGGTCTTCTTCAAAAACTTCATTTGGAGTTGGGATATTGTGGATACTGAAGAAATTCTTTGAGTAGTATTCTTCCAAATTGATTGATTGCACTTCCTCCTTGAAAATAAGATCGGCGTGTCGCTTCATATAAAAATCATTATCCTGGAAGAAATCGATAATCAGGTGACTCTCTCTATTTCGCTGCTATTAAATACTCAGACTAAATAGATTTTTTAGATAGATAGACTAGATAGATTTTTAGATAGATAGTCTAGTTAGATTTTTTTTTCAAATTACCCTCCAACATATTAGTTTCCCCAATTGCTCATCTATTTTGTTTAAGCAAATCTTCTGTATTTTTATATCAGATAGATATTTCAGATAGTTTGAGTTACCAAACGATGGTTGATATGAAAATGCGTATGTATTCATGAGGAAATAACAGAGTTCCAGAGAGTCAATGCTGCAAACCAGTGATATAAAAAATAAAAATCATTATAAACATACACACACATATATATTATTCATTCTACAAAATGAACCAAAAGCGAAAATCATTAGTTAATTATGTCACAGGAAAACCCAAGGAAGTATCTCCCTCCAATCTTAATAATTTCCAGTAGGTTATAATCTAAATAAAAATAGCATATATTTTTTACATATTTTTTAAACGTGCCTACATGCATTTTTCAGGAACAAAACATCCTTTTGGAAAAAAAAGTCGGTATTTGTTTTCGATGCAAATATCGTCGAAGAATTACGAAAGATAGAAAATAATGTTTTAAATAGAAATAGAATATATATATATATATATATATATAGATTATATATATATTTAATATATAGTTTTAAGCATATTTTTAAATATGTCCAGATTTTTTAAAAGTTTTTCAGCATATCCTCACGCCACTTATTGTTTTTTTCTAATTCAACAATCTTTTTTCAACTAAATGAAAAAGTATGTTACGTCGAATTTAATCGATTTCAATATGCAACAATATTATATTTTGGAAAAACCATTTCCCTGCAACAGATCTTTCTATTTCTAAAACGTAATTTTCTATCTGTTAGAAAGAGAATTTCGATGATATTTTTTTCAAATAAAAAATAAATAAAAAAACCAATTGGTCCCCCATAGAGATTACAATATATTATTTCTCCTCTTTCTTTTCCTCTCTCTCTCTCTCTCTCTCTCTCTCTCTCTCTCTCTCTCTCTCTCTTTCTCTCTCTCATCCTGTCTTTTTTATTCGATTTTTAATTCTTTCATAACGCAAGCGTATGCACATTGAGACGAAAGTGCCAAAAGCATTGGAGAACGTGTACAAACGAAAAAGGTCCAAGAGTTGATTTGAAACACGCACTTTATTCGCAACAGTTCTATGAGCGAATAGTTGCTTGATTCTTTCACTTGATGTACTTTTAAATCCAGCAGATTACACATATGGCATCTTTTGACGAAATTAGGGGCACTGCTCACATTCTGCGAGTATATGGGCCTGTATTCCGACGAGGAGACCTGATATGATAATTTTCGAGAATCTCTATATTGCATCGCTTTTGATATAATTTTAATTAAAAACAATGGAGAAGAGACTTAAACATACAGGGGCGAGATCTTCCTCCATCAGATTTTCTGGTGTTTTCACGTATCTATATGTGATTGACTCCACTTCTTCCTCCGAATTGCTATTTCTGAAGAAATTTAGCAGATATTCCCAACACTGTTGTATTCTTGATCGATGCTTTGGTTGATTGTCACGTATAACATATGTCTCGTTTCTAAATTCATTTGTAACACCCATACTCGGCATGAAAAGCTATTAAACAAAGCTTGTTTAAGTAAATATTTTTATATCATATCATTCAAATCATCTTCAAATCGCTCGGTTTTGTTTTCTTCTAAGATTCTCGAGTATTCGAATATCTGACTATTCGAAGGACAAATATTACGAAACTATTCGAAAAGATTTCTGATCGGAACCGTTTACTTATTGTCCAAATATAATTTTCATTGTATCCTCTAGGAAAAACGAAATTATTTTAATCGGAAACGGTCCGGAATAGTTTCATAATGTCTGCCCGGATCTTCGAAATCGCTTCCGATCCGAAAATTTAAGACCGTATTATTCGAATAATCCGAATTATTCGGATTCAAGTCTAGAGCATAAGAAGAGACCCAGATTTAAAATTGAGAACCGGGTCTAGAATTGAATTTGTGTCTTTGAATTTGAATATGAATTGAATAAAAAAGAACAGATAAATAAAAAATGATAAAAAATAAAAAAATTAATAACACAATTATCTAAAATAATTAATAACCAAATAGATAAATAAGCGCAATTATTTCAGACCAAGCCGTTAAATTGCAATCGGAAAATATTTATTTATTCGTTGTAAAATTGTCGGGAGGAATCTACATTGTTGCGATAACGATGATAACGAATCAATGCATGCTGCGTTCACAACGATCCTCTTTGTTTCTAACGTTGTTGCGAACGTCGTCCGTTTAGTCGATTTCTCCATCAACTTACAATTAGATTCGCATTCAAATTTAGATTCGAACTAGATGCTTCGATTATTCCCCGGATAACGTAAACTTATTGGCAATTCGATTAATCGAATTAAATGTCCAAATAATGTTAGATCCGTACAAACATTTACAAAGTCCTATTATGTATATTCTCGCTCACCATAATTCAATTTTCGTTAATTGCTTGTTGTTTTTGGAAGAAGAATTTGAATCGGCCAACTATCCGTCGAATGCTCTCTCGTTGTATTTCAAAAATTCGCAACGACGATAATTTCCTCCACGACTTCTTTCGACCACTGCACCTTCGTTTTCGATGTTTATCAATGCTTTGTCTTTGCTACTTTAATGCTAGCTTGCAAGACTAGACGCCGAGGAAACACGAAGACGGAATAGCCAGTTTCACCGAACGGCAATAACATAACGGCAATAACGTAATAAAGTTGGATTTGTGTTTGCAGAAGGATGAAGAAAAACAAACATACACGTGTATGTTTAGAATTGCCTATACGTTTCCAAATAATCGTTAAATTCCGAAAGTTCCTACCTTTCAGTTTTATTAACTCTTACCTCTGTTTCTTGTGTTCGAAATTATTATACGAAAATAATACACACGCTTGTAATATTATAAAATGAGTTTACTTGACATGGTAAAGTTTCGATAAATACAATATATGTCTGTCGTATATTTCAAATTATATGTTTTTAATACCAATGAGACATCCCGGTATTATTGCATGCGGGTTTCAAGTACTCTTCTCCAATTTCTGTCGAAAAACAGACATATTATATTTCAACACAGAGAAAGAGAATAATTCCGAATTTTGATTATTCGCAAGTCTGCTGTAGCGGATTACTACTGCTGTTTTCTGTCATTTCTTGCTCTTGTTCAAACAAAACGTTGGTTGGCGTTTGATTGACGTCAATATTTGAGCGTTCTTTCGATATGTTCTTATCGTCTAGTGAGTCGCTATGGCTGACGGTGGAACTATCGGGATTGTTGTCATTATAATTCTCCTTATCGGCTTTCTCGTTTCGGTTTGGTGACAAAATGTTTGCTTCAGAACTCGGTACATTAGAATCTCCTGCCGATGTAAAGTTAATCTGAAAAAATATCGATATCAGTGACTTTGTCTCATAGCATTAAGAGCGCACGAACTCGGCGGACTTCCACGCATTACCACATCTCTTTTCACTTTGATTCTTTCTCGCAGTTGATTTTTCATCACAGTTAATCGGCGTTTTAGTTTTTTGCACAACAATTGGTTTTTCGGAGACATGTTTTCTGTACGTAGAGACTTGTTCATCATACATAAAATAGCGGTTAACTGCTGTATCACGGTTGTCAATATATAAAACCTGCAAATCGGGAATATTAGAAACAAAGAGGATCGTTGTGAACGCAGCATGCATTGATTCGTTATCAATGCATAAAATCGTCTATAAGAGACTTTTTATAAATTACAAGATGCGTCGTTCCTCATCGCTTTTTCATCCTTATCTCGAAAGTATAAGCGTGATCCCTGAACGCAAAAGATGTAGAAGAAGCTCTAATATACGAAAGAAACGAAGAAGCTTAAAAATTGAGGGAAGTCACACGTACCTGATGAAATTTTCATCGTAGAGTATCTGTGTGAGATACTTGGCGCAATCTGCTATCTTCAAAAAGTTCAGTTTGCAATTGTCGCACTGTTGAACCGATTTGTTAATCGACCAGTCATGCAGCGACCTAGGCTAATGAGAGAAAACAGAGACTTTTTAAAATATTTCTTGCAATCACGTCATACTTTTCGTGCAGTTAATTATAAGCTGAACAATGCCCTCAAATGGAAACATTTATACATCGTGAAGCTTTATCTCACATTTGTTGCGGTGTTGTTTAAGTTGTTTAAGTTCTCCTCGACTGCTAAGCGATCCAGCATTAATTTGTTCAGCAATGTTATTATTTGGTGCGACGCCTTTCCCAACCGTTCCCGTTTATTTTTATATTTATCATAAGTCTTCAGCTTCAGCATGTCACTTGTCAGCATATTGAGGGTTGTCTCGTACTTTGTGACATCCTCTTCATCCAGTCCTCTCTTCAAAAATTCACTTCTGGCTTCACGCAACTTTGTTACCTGTGTCTTCCATTCAGCATTTTGTTTCTTTAACTTTTCATTTTGTTGATACTCTTCCACACATTGCATCAAGATATTTCTGAATTCTTCCTTATACACGTTCTTTTTTCCATTCTCTCTTTTAATATTCTTCTGATATTTTGAGTCGTGTAATGGGCCTTGTTCATTTGAATTTGTATCGTTTATTGTCGCGTTGGAATGAGTTGAATTCGTCTCTTCATTTTGAACAATGCTCGCGATTGTTGGGCCACCAATAACTAAAAATAACCAAATAAGAATTAACTGCGCTGTTTAGTTGAAGTTTATATATCGCAAGTTTTTACGTTATAAAAATATTTTAAGTCACAAATATTTCTACCAGCATATGTGCTGTATTATGAAAAAAAGATTTTATAAACGAAACTGCGATGGTTTCAAGGAAGGTTTTATTACCGAAAAGAGATTCTCTTCTATTGTGCATTATTTTTTCGGTCAACTAATAAGACACGATAAAAGTATTTTAAAATTCCGATGAAAGTTTCGTTTAAAAAGCCTGGATTTTGTCATATCGATAGCTTACTGTGTCTAATAATTTTCATCTCCAGTTGATCGATCTTGCAATCTTGTTCCTGCATCTCTTTTTGTTTCTTGATGATTCCGGTAGCATTGATTTGTCTTATACAATTGTGTAGATTTGACATAGCATTTGTGATTGGGTTGATAAGTAACAATGTGGGATTGAACATTTTCGAGAATATTTTTTCTATCATATGGTCATCTTTCATTATATTTAGCAATTTCACAACATCCAGTTGTTTAATTATCATAGCTTGACATCTCGGGAAATTCCCTTTTTTCTCACGCACGTTTTCATCAATATTCTCGCACAACTGATTTATCTTAAATTGCAGAATTTGGATTTCTCGTTTATATTTCTCAATAAAGAGTTTTAAGCGCGCCAGCTCTGCCATCCCTTCTGTTTCCACTCTCCAATCTATACTTTTAACAATCCAGGTATCCTTTGAGTGCTTCGATTCCGAGCTTTTTTCACCATCTTCATCATCTAGTAGTGCTTTTCTCAAAGATTGTACCTCATTTCTCAGTTTTGTAAGTTTAATACCGATCTGTCTCCCACAAGATAAATATGTTTCTGTCCTTTCTCTCTTCGCTTCAATATTTCTATGAACTATCAAATTTTTTAGAATATGAATGTATTTAATCTTAGTCACCAGTTCCGTCTTCCGATACTTTATCTTTTCATCTACCGACATTTTCTTTAATAATATCATCTCATATTTAACCGCCGAATATTTCCAGTGTAAATATTCTATATTTGTTTGGTGCCAGCGAAAATTGCTCATCGATAGAACTTTATCATGTTGCTTGCATGTTTGTAGATTTTGAAACTGACACTTTGCATCTTTAATATTCACTTTGTTCCGCTGATCTGCGGCCTGTGGAAGTATCCAGGGTAATGCCAGATTATAATGACATAATGTATCAAAAACCGCGTCAAAGTTATATTCCTCGCAGTTAATATAAGATTCCATGTCTGTAAGTATCATGTGATTCTTATAAGCACTGCTGAAAACTTTGCTGAAAGTCACACCAGAAGTTTCGCTGAAGGCCTCACCGAAAAGTTCGTCGCTGTCCATACGCTGGTACTGCTTCGGTATTATCTCGCAATATATATTCCTCGATGACAGATTCTTGACGAGACTTTCGTACTTGTTCAGCATTTCCTCCATCAAGACCTCGTTAAACATATCCAGCGACGATTTTTTGCATTTGGCGATCTCCTTTTTCGATCTTTTGACACTTTTCGGCGACGACATCTTTCTTTCCGGCTGAATATCGGTACCTCAGTATCGAGCGGTGCTTGCCGTTTGGATTCGTCCTTATAACGAGAACGAGTCACTTTCCCCGACAGTTATCAACTCTCTTATTTAGTAAATATACAACGGATCTTTTTTCCTCACGCGGATAGAGACTGAAAAGTTCTAAGAGAGACAATCGACTCGTACGTTAATAAATAACTCACGTGTACCTTTCCTTCGTAAGATGTTTATTTAATCCAATATCCGATAGCGCTCTTGCAGAAGGGAACGATCAGCGTGTCAACAATAAATACACTCGTCGGACAATAGACAATATGTGTTTATTTAATAGTCTCGCTATATAGATACTTATACGACTTGTCGCTCTAACAGATCGCTGCCTACAACGTGACGGCCGAATTTTATTGTGCCTGGCCCTACTAGTCTTTATTGTGCTTGAATCTATAATGGGTCGACACGTCTCTCTCACTTCTGGTTTACATAGTTACTTGGTAAATCTCATTTCGTCTCGTACACCGCCGACCGTCAACTAACGATCGGCTCGTACTCGCTGTCGCGAGACATCACGCTACACGAAATCGGCTTATGTGGCCGAGGTGATCCGTTGCTTCGTGGTCGTCGACGAATCGCCATGTACTGTCATTAGAATTCAACGAACATGTAATATTTCTGCACTTTCGACTCTCTCTCTCTTTCTCTCTCTCTCTCTCTCTCTCTCTCTCTCTCTCTCTCTCTCTCTCTCTCTACATTCGTCGCAAAAATAAAATCAATTTTCCCTGTCGTCTTGGTGGCTTCTCCTTTTTTCTTTCTCTCTTCGCTATGTATATATATATATATATATATATATATATATATATATGCATGTATATATGTGTACTTCTAATTTATATTTAGATCTATCTAATTTTCAAATACAGAGATTGAAACACTTAATAAATATACAAATATAACTTTTAAATCTATATTTAAAAATGCTTTTTTTTTTCGTATCTTAAATATATATATACCATCACTAAAATTTCCAAGGCGCGAAACAATTCACTAGACACTCAGCGATCT